GTGGGCAAGCAACTAAAGCTGCAAAGACCACCCTCAGACCCAGCATGTCAAAATCAAAAGGGCTGTTGTTATGTGGGAACTAACTGTGCCTTTCAGCTCTTTTAGTAGTCTCTAGAAATCACTAAACTGCAAAATTTGCATGTTGATGGAACCGTCTTTTGGAACCATCATTTACATATCAAAATGTGTTGCATTTTCCACAAAGATACTCAGAACAGAATAAAATGTATTGCGTTTTTATTAAAACATATGAAGGATGAAGAACTGTAAGCAAACTTAGATGCTTCTGCTAGAAAAAACAGCATAGGCCTATATAGCTGGTCACCAGTACATGCTGTATTTTGGATGCTGGTATGCAGGTCAACCATCATGAACATGATGAGTCACCAACTAAACCAGCACCAGACCAGTACCAGAATTCATGCTGGTATAAGCTGTTTTTTTCCAGCAGGGGTGAGTGCATGAACTTCAAAAATTGGTATTAGAAGTCAGATATGAGAATACAGCTAAGCATTTCAAGTTTTATACAAATGACAACAGATTACGTGTGGGGGAAGTGGTGAAAAAGAAACACTTTTGCTGTTGCGAATCTCTTGGAAGTGATGTTTTGAGAAAGTTCAGAATTTGCTCTGAACAAGGGACTCCTCACAACAAAGAATTTAGTTTGAAACAGCAATCAGAAGGGGGCGCCAGTCCACAAAGCATAGCTACAATAAGCTGCTGCTTCGTTAATCAGAGTGTAAAAGATGTTTTCAATCATATTAAATCATTTTTTACATAACAAACAACAGTATGATACAAATTATTTAACTTGTACAATAAGATGATGTTTTAATTCTGGTGAATAAAAACAGGCAGCTTCACCACTTTTCATGCTTATATTGCAGAGGTGGGTAACTAGTTACATTTACTAAAGTACATGTACTTTAATGAAATGTTGATGGATTTGTGCTCTCCTTAGTATTTTGAAATAATAACACTTTTACTTATGCTCAAGTATGTCAGTGAGTAAAATGATGTGAAATGCGACATTCTACAGAAACTTACCAAGGCAGAATTGTTCACAATGGTGACGATAGGAATCAGATGCCTGATGGGTTTAGTGCCACTTTTTTGACCTGTTACTTTTGTACTTCTATTCAAGATGTTTTTTGGGAAGGTATGTTTCCGTTATTTTGCCCAAGTATTGATCATTTTACTTGAGTATTCATGAAGGCCACTCTCCCCACCTCTGCTATAGTGTTCAATAAGCCAGCACTTCCAGATCTTAGAACTTGATTTGGAACATATATGTCTATAGTCTGTCAAGCATGAGAGATGTTTGAAGGAGTTCAGCCATTAAGAGCTTTCAATCAAATCAATTCTAGATGAAACAGCTAGCGTGGAAGATGCTATTGAAACAGGCCTACAATGTTCTCTCTGTCTGCTGTGTGCATTAGCTACTTTTCAAACAAGTTAATCTAAAATTTATAGGTACTCATAAGAACAAATCATTACAATAGACTAAACAAGAAAACATGTTTGAGTCAACTTCTTTTGATTGTGCAATATGTGGTAGGTTCTAACTGATGCTAGTGAATATTATCAACATTATAGATTTTATATTTCTACATAAAGTCAGATATAGTCTTGTTTAATTGCAACAAATCCATCTGTAGCTGGTCCCGGTTTTAACGTTTTCTTGACTCAGTTTTAACATTAAGTATAATACATACATGTCTGAAGTAATCTATATAAATTGTAATCATTTATATAACAATTACTTAATATTCATACTGTTAATAACTAATATTTACTAATCATAACTATTAATTTTGACTGACTCCTTCAAGTGCCTTCCTGAACACACAGACACACAGTCTATCAACATGGGTTTTGGTGTCAGCAGATATGCACGTCAGATAATGGATTCATCACATATTTTTCAACATTGGCTCACAAATCCCTCAAAAATTGCAGCATATTTTCTAGCATGTAGGATGTATGATCTATAGCCTACTGTCAACTGAGGCGGAAGTGGATTCACGAAATGACAACGTACGCAGATACACGGAAAATGTTAAATGCGGAACAAAACTCTACTTACTGTACTCACTCCCAGTCATAGCCTTACAGTCTCCGTAGCCAAGAAGGCAACCCATTATTACAGGCTTAAAGGAGAATTCCACCAATTTCATGATTTCTGCATATTTCAGAGGCTGAGATTTAAACAAAGTCATTCAGAGTGTTTTGATGTGAAATGGTGCACTGTAGAGAAACTTACTAATTGATTCTTTTTTCAAGGAAGTGATAGGAACCAGGGGTCACAATGTCTACAATGCAAAAATGGCATTTTTATTTACTACCCAAAACCACCAGTGACCTTACACATGTCTCCTGAACTTTTATATGTTTATATGTCTGAATTTGGGGACCATTTGGCCTTATAACACCCTGCATGTACCCCTCCACCATTATCTCACAAATAATGTCATATGCACCGGGCAGCGTGTTCTTAGTCATTTCATGTAATAACTTTCTGTAAGGGGGCTTTCAGACACATTAAATGTTTTATACATCCGGTTCTTTTCACCACTGCTGTGAACAGTTCTGACTCAGAATTTCATTAAGTTCCTCTAGAACAGAACATTTCACATCAAACCACCTGAGTGACTTTGATTAATGACTGAATTATGCAGAATTGTTGACAAATCGATTGAATTGCCCTTTAAGACGAATGAAAGTCGTCAAAGATCGCCCTCTACTGTTTCCACTCAAAATGTGGTTTAACAATGAACTGAAGTGATGCACGTTACAAGGCAGATTAAAGTGCCCTTATCATGGAAAAACACATTTGTGTAGTTTTTAATTAGCTTTGTTATAATATGTAAACACTAATAAAGTTTCAAAATGTACCATTTACTCCACAGTCCATATAGTCTATAAACGGAAACAAGGCTGAAAAAACAGCTCGTCTTTAAAGTCTCAAATTACAAGCATTTCCCCAAAACTGCAAAGGATGTCACGTCGATGATGTCATACAACAACATCCTACAAGGCGGCAGCACCAAACCGCGGGAATCTCAGTTAAAAGGTCTCTGTTACCTGACGCACAGCATCTGTAGGTCTGTGAATAGAAGTGACGCAATGTAAAGTGTCTAACATAACAGTCAAATGGGTCAGAAAAATGAAAGGTCACGAAAGTTCCAGCTTAAAGTCTTTTAATCAACCATCAAACCATCCACTCTGGCGAAACTGATAGTGAATAAAATGTTTAAAGGCAGACAGCAGGTGGCGTAGATCGCTCTCTATTCCCCTGCAGGTGCTGCGTTGACTGTAGAAGTTGATCATTATATATTTGTAGCACGTTATCTTACTGACGACCTTTCTCACGCAGTTGTATAATAAAATGAAATATTTTTTCATGAGGGGTAGCATATATTTTTCGATAACGTTGAACAATAATTGCTATATTCATGCCCATGAAGTAGGCTACAAGTTCACTTCTTTTTGTTTGGTTTGTTTGGATTTCTACAAGTATACATTTTATATGCTAAACTACTTCTGCCTCAAAATCCATAACCTCTTTCTTGATGGAACCAAAACACTGTATGTACACCAGTTAGGACCGACACCTGTAACATGCTGAATAGAAATATAGAAATATTAATAGAAGAGAAGTTAAAAATGAGAAGAAACCAAACATTAGAATAAAATACAATTTGAGGATCTGAAGTGTCAGAACTTTGCCTAAATAATGCACTTTTCGTCACAGATTAACACATTAGGCTAATAGAAGATAAAAGAAAAAAAAACGTATTTTATAAGAAGTTGTTTGATTTGGTTTCTTAGACGATAAATATTTATATTTACAGTGCAGTAGTGTATCACATTGCAGAGATCTGTAGTCCCTCGCATAAAACATCTTTGGTGGATTTTGGCCTCCAGTTCTTCTTTTGTGAGCTGCGTGAAATCTCTTCAGGAAACGTTTCAGTGTAACGTGCAAAAAAAAAAAAAAATCCATAACTGTTCATTTAGTTTTAAGTTTCAGCACTATGATTACTGACAGCCGCAGAAATGTACAGCTTTAAATATATTTCTTACAACAACAAATTAATCAGTAAATTAGCAAGAATTAAACAAATAGACAAAGTAACTTTATATGGGATAGCTTTTCCTTTGATTTCTTTAGACGCTGAAGTGTTGTGGGTAAACTTGCAGACAACCTTTTTAGCATTCATGGCTTTAATCACCTGAAAAACATTGCTAAGCTAGTTTGTGTTCAAAGATTGACCAAATATTCTCTATAGGGTTGAAATCTGGGCTCTGAACAGCCCAAAACCGTCAGTAAAACCATTATATTTTAGGCTTGGTCCAGTTTTTGCACGGGAGTGTAAATCATGAAATAATGTTTTCTACATCTAAATAGTTCTTCATTTGTCGAAGAGAAAGCCATGTATATTCAGTCATTAGCTGCATGACTCTCGATCTAACATTTAACCGCTATTTGGGTGTAGAAGCCACAGTTTCATGACCAATGCACAGCACTTTATACTGAGTATGGAGCCATTTGACAGTCAGCCTATGTAAAGGTACAACAATGATTTTAAGGTCCAACTGTGTACCTTAATATTTTTTTCTGGGAAGAGGCACATATTTGTACATTTTCATACCCTAATGTTTTAAAACAAGACAACAAAATAGACCGGGTGTGTGGAGTCAATACAATTTAAAAAATACAAGTGCAAAAGATTTTGGTACAATTATGTTCCCCAACTAAAGGTAATGGAGACGAACTTTTGAAGGTTCCACCCCAGTGACAGTGTAGAGTACAAATAACAGAACAAGAATCTGTGTCGACTCACTATCTGAAGAACAATGAACTCAAAAGTTTAAGGCGGCTCAGTAACATTTTTGGTTACAACACCGTGTTTTAACAGTGCGTCCCCTGGTTTAATTTGGAAAATTCAGTTCTGTAATAATCTAGGACACTATTTCCTCAGACTACTTTCTCCGAACTGTTTTACTACTTCTGTGAACTGAAAGAAAGGGACTAAAACAATACAGAGAAAGCTTTCTGTAAAAAATCTATTCACTAGACATACATTATCTTCAAATATATACAAGCCATTTCTTATTTGCCATTGACTTTATTAAATGCTTTATTAACCGTTGAAGAAAGAGTCTGAACACCACTTACAGACGTTTCATTTGTACAAATATACAACTTTAACGGGTCCATCATGAGGCATGAGCGGCCCTGCAGCACAATAACCAGTCAGCCGTCCAGTCTTCCTCCTCTCACGGCCATCATAAGGCCGCTGCGTACGCTGGGTACGCTTCGTGCAGGCTTTTGCTCATGCCTGGCAAAAACACGTAAGCTACGGGAGGATGAGGGGCAGAGGCCGTCCAGCCTGGGCAGTTGCAGGGCACCATGTATCCTGGGTTCGCGGGACTAGGGTGCGTGTGCGTGGCGCCCCCCAGGACGCCTACGGTGGGAAACGCAGCCACACGGCCCGGATATTCAAGCGAGCCATGCGCAAAAGCTGACGCGGGAAACTCGGACATTTTCGAGTGTATGTCCACGTACGGGTAAGGGCTGGTGGGCAGCGGATGGCCGAGCAGCGCTCTGGTAGCGGCGGCCACGGCTGCAGCCTTTTCCGCTTCCCCGCCCTGCAAGAGTGCCCCCTTCAGGGAGTCGGGCTCTCCGAGGCTGTAAGCCACGTTCAGCTGGTACCTGTCCTTCCTCGCCGCGTTCTTGGGCTTCCGCCGAGGTCTGTACTTGTAGTCCGGGTGCTCCTTCATGTGCACCGCCCTGAGCCGCTTGGCCTCGTCGATGAACGGCCTCTTCTCCGAGTCCGACAAAAGTTTCCACTCTCCGCCCAGACGCTTGCTGATTTCCGAGTTGTGCATCTTCGGGTTGTCCAGTGCCATCTTTCGCCTCTGAGCCCTCGACCAGACCATGAAGGCGTTCATCGGACGCTTTACGTGGTCAGTCGGCTTCGACATTTTGCTTTTCGCTTCGTTTTCTTCTTCTGGCGCCGAGTTCCACTCTGAGCTCCAGTTCCCAGAACTAAAGCCGTCTTCAACTCGAGCAAAAACCTGTGTTCCTGACACATAAGTAAAAGACTGTGCGCTAGGGCAGTGACATGTTTCTGAAACTCAACTCTTCGTCAAGGAGATGACAGCCTAAACGCCTTTTTAAGAGAGAAAAAAACTTCTGCAGAGTGTCTTGTGTTGGTGGGCGTCCTGCGGAGTCCGCTCTCTTACTCAGTTAGTCCACTTAGTCAAAGCTGTGCTCCACTGAAGAGTTGCGCGCCTGGGACCCTCCGGCTCACCGGCTTCTCGCTGTGTGAGCGTTTCTTCAACAGGTGCTCAGAGATCAGCCTGCTGGACGGAAGAACTGATTCGTTGAGAAAAATAAGCGTCAGTAACATCAGCGCGTGAGAGAGGACAGAGCCTCTGGGCGGCGCTTTCCAAAGCGCGCTCACGCGCCCGTGTTTACTGCGTTATCACGGTTTGTTAAGCCATGATCGATGAACGAGAACCGTTTACGTGTGACAAGTACAGTCTATTCATTTCACACACAACATAAGCGTATTATAAATGCTTTAATCAGCACCTGCTCGTTTTCACTGATTACAGTTCTTATCAGTGTTTCCTTTAGTTGGTAAATTTATCAAATTTCTTCTTTAGGCGATACACAGCTCCCTCCGGAATCCTCCAGAACCGTTAGCACATTGATAGATATGAGGAATAAAAAGGCTGTAAACTGAAACATTAGAGAAATTAAACCTTTAAATGTGGATTCGGACATTTTTCGATTTTGTTGATAGGAACCAGACGTCTGAAGTGTTTAATGCCCCTAAAGCTCCCTCACAGAAAGACATTATTTAAAGGGAAAGAAATCCTGTGGAAACATCTTTTTCCGAAAACACATAACATTTTTATACTTCAAACAACAATTCATGCTCGACTTTTACACTCTTGTAAACTTGCGAGGTCTGGCCTCAGTTTAAATGTCCTCTGAGATCACTGTGGGCTTAAAAGACTGAACATCATTAGATGCATTAGTCGAACAATTAAACCGGTTCGTTACGTCTCCTGTAAGGTTTGTATTACACGTGTTTATTACTCTCTAAAGAGAGCTCGCAGTTAGAGTAATGTTCCCGGGCTTAGCGACTGCATGGTGCTGAGAGAAGTCATTGTTGGAGTGAAAGAGCAGCAGGAGGATTAAGATGATAATGCACCTCAGCCCGTGCCATGAGCCTCTCAAAGAACAGGTGCAGATTGACAAGTGTAAGTTTCTGCGTGGTTAACAGGCGTCTCTCAGCGTGGCTGTGCAACTGTAATGCCCGTCATTAAACAGCTCTCAAATGAACGAGGCGGTTTTCATAGAGCCTAAGTTCCTTTAGAGAGGTTAATGTTTTTGGAGACGATCAGAAATCCAATCTGTGGCCGCCCCAATAAAGCTTTCTCTTACCTTTCATTCACACGACGAGTGAAAATAAAGCAACGTCATTTAAGCACGCATCACCAGCCTTTACAATATAAAGTAGTTCTATGTAATCTACCTGTTATCAAAGTCGCTATCTGCCTTTTTCTGTTTATGAGAATGTAAAGTAGCATGACCATGATATTATCATGAACTATTTAATTCGACTTTTAAAAAGTAGCAGTTGAATGGTACTGTACTGCTATATACTACTGTACTGCTGTTTGTTACTGCATTAGCACAGTGGGCCTCACTTTTATTATATTAGGTGATAGCCAGGAAGTTAGAGAGCTCTATGAATGTGCTGGACCAGTGAAAGCTGCATTTTCACATAAAATAGTACGCCATGCACACTGTTATCAACTGTGCCTGTTACCTACAGACACCCTCACATCTGTCTCTGACATGTTTAACTGAGCCTTTTTGCAGCCATTTTCAGTTCTAGTAAGTGTAAAGGATATACTGAGTTTATCTGTCAAGTGAGATTAAACCTTCGTTGGATAAAACTGGGAATGTGGGCTGGTCAGTCCAAAAGAGAGAAAGAGAAAATAAGTTGCGTTTCACATAGGAAGAGGTGAATTTCCGACTGTGCATTTTAAAATTTCTCTATTCTATATACACTAAATGACCAAAAGTATGTGCACACCCCTCCTAATTACTGAGCTCAGGTGTTTCAGCCACACCCATTACTAACAGGTGTATACCATCAAGCACATAGTCATGCAGTCTACATAGACAAACAGTGGCAGCAGAGTGGGTCATACTGAAGAGCTCAGTGACTTTAAACATAACTCTGTCATAGGATCCCATAAGATATGAAATCTCTGCTAGATCTGCTCTAGTCAACTGTAAGTGCTATTGTTGTGAAATGGAAGCATCTCAGAGCAACAACAGCTCAGTGGTAGACCACACAAAGTCACTGAGAGTAGCAGGTAAAAATAGCCTATCCTCTTTTCAATCACTCACTACAGAGTGATTCAACTTGTGCTGATGTTGCTGCCTCTGGAGGCAACTATGCATTGGGAGCTGCACAAATTGGGCTCCCATGGCTGAACAGCTGCACACAAGCCTAAGATATTTTTTTTCAGGTTTTGGGCTCGGTCCCTGAAGGATAATATTGATGCTAGAACATACAAACATATTTTAAGAATTATATGCTTCCAACTTCGTCGCAACAGTTTAGGGAAGGCCCTTTCCTGTTCCAGCATGACTGAGCTCCTGGACAAAACAAGGTCCATAAAAACATGGTTTGGTGAGTTTGGCACAGAGGAACTCCAGTGGCCTGCAGAGAGCCCTGACCTCAACCTCACTGAACACCTCTGGGATGAATGGGATGTCAATTGTGAGCCAAGCCTTTTGGTCCAACATCAGTGTCTGACCTCACAAATGCTCTTTTGACTGAATACAAATTCCCACAGACACACTCCAAAATCTTGTAGAAAGCTTCCCAGAAGAATAGAGGTTGTTACACCTGCAAAGGGAGACCAACTCCATATTAATGCCTTTGGAATGGGATGTCCAACAAGCTCATATAGGTGTGATGGTGTCCAAATACTTTTTGCTATATAGTTTGTATACTATGTATATGCATACATTTGATTTTTGCAGTCCTTGCCGCTGCTGTCCATCTTCATGTGATTCATGAATGAAAATTGCAAAAACAGTAGTGAACTCTGTAGAGCACCACTTGTGTCACACCATCCCGCTGAATTTGATATGCTAATTTGTCTCTCATTTGAGGTGGTACTGTCCCAACTGGCCTAAAATGCTATGACCCTCTGGGAATTCTCCTGACTCTCCCAGTTACCCGCTCCAGCATTGCTAGCATCAATAAAAAATGTAACTAAGTAAGCCCACTCTCTACAATGGAGTAATCTACGAAAAATACCCTTCTGATGAGGTATATTAAAGGTGTGAGGAGCTTTTAAAAAACCACAGCTGCATAGAAGTTGATTTTTGTGTTGCACTGTTTATTTATTTATTTATTTAGCTTTGAAGGAAGTCAGACATCTTATTGCAACTGTATGGAGAAAATGTATTATCTGAGCAACAGAAATTACTTGTTAGATGAGGTGGACAACAAGGTAAAAGTTAGTTGTTAAGGTAGCTACTTGACAATCTAGATAACTTACCTGGGTTTAGCTCCTATTTTCTGGCTGAAAGGATAAAAAAGCCCATTTTGTGCTGAGTATAGATCAGGGGCTAGGCCAGCGGTCAGAACTGTTTGACACTACTGGCATTCCCAGTGGCTCTATGTTGTATTTGCGTAATGCATGCTAGGTATTGTAGTGAGAGAACACTGATGGACGAAAACATGAAAACAACATAAAATTGTGTGTTCTGTAAAACCCGAAGGCTCCAGTACTGTGCTACAGAACACTGCATAACGCAACAAACAACATATTGAACTTTTAGGCTGGAATGCCGCGCAAGTTAAACAGATGGGGAGAGAAGCAGCATGTTTTGTTTTAAAGCTATAATGCAAACTACTGTTTTTGATGACATTTTGTGCTATGGCTGTGCTTTGAATTCTGTTTTCGTTTAAGAAGTTCTCAAGTGTTCATGTTGGTTTATTCATACTAAGTCCAAAAACTGACAGCAAAGTCAGAAGCTTGTCAGTGGTTTCCAGACTTGGTATAGCTATTGCTTTGCAGGGATGTTAGATATACAATATATACTAAGTTCCATGTGGTTCACAGTGCTCATGTACAGCTAAAATTGATGGGAGCACAGAAATACTTACTATTTCGTCCCCAGTCCCCAAAAAAAAGAAGCGATTCCAGTCCTTCAGTATGGCACAGTATAAATAACATTTGCATCTGTGATGTGGGATTATCAGTTTTTTACCCTTTTCCTGATTTTCTTATGAGCTTTCAGGTTCTTCCTCCCTGTGGTTTTAGTATGGGCGTTTCAATGAGAAAGTTCTTGCTGACGCTTTTAAAGCAGGCAGCTACTGTTTGCTCAGGACACGCTGGCTGGTCTGGCTAAGAAAGGCCAGTATTCAGTCAGTGACAGCTTGAATGTGTAAACAAAGTGAAACCTTGCAAGAATCAAGATGGATTTTTGCTAGGCTTCTTTTGACTAGCCATTACTTTATTAGGGGGTTACCACGGCATCCATTATAAATAGTCTGTCTATATTAAAATCAGGGCAATTCTTCAAACATTTTGACCGAAAAACCAAAACTAGTCCTTTAGAAAGACCGGAAACAATAAAAGCTTTTTGCAAGTGCCCATATGTAGACCTCACTTTCTAAGAACCAAAAAGGATGCCTAAGCCAAGAGTGGATAACATCAGAACAATGCGGTGAAATGTAATTAAAGAGACAAATGATTCAAAGTCTGGTTTGAATTTGCTCTGCCTCTTCCTCTCTTAAAACTTTCTCTGGTCAGAAAGCTGGAGTTGCATTGCATGGGTGATCTGAATTATCTCTGAAGGAGAAGCTCATTTAGTGGCTGAAGAAAAGAAAGTTCTTTTGAGAAAAGGGAAGGAGGGAACAATGCATTCAAAAAAGGCTTTCACTTCTCATCATTGAAGAAGAGGGCCCCTTCTCTTCACACAGCTGTGCTCTGTTCTTTCTCACAATGATGTAACCTTGGTGCCATAACTCATGGTACTCAGTGCGCTTGCATTTGGAAGAATAGGGGAGCGCTGCAGTAGACACTAAAGTATATGTAAGAAACATCAATAATAGAACTGTGTGTGGTTTAGATGAACTTTGTGTTGACTGGAGTAGTTAGCCATGCCACGCTATTTGCTGCAGCACTGGAAAGAACCATCCACTATAACACTGTCGCATGGTGCAAATACACAAGAATTCCACTCTTTTATTCCTTATCACATTGTCAAAGATCTACTGAAATGTGGGTAAAAGTAAAAAAAAAAAAAGTTTTATAATATATCTCTGCAATACGTTAAATATAATGATTGTTTTTTCTTGCTTAAGGTCCTGCCAGACAGTGGAGCGCTGAGGTCCTAAAATGTTATACTGATTACATTCTTAAAAATGAAAGTGCTATATGGAGCAATGCCACAGAAGAAACACGTTTGGTTCCTTTTAGGACCATCCATTGGACATTTCTGTACAGAGCCTATATCCTGAGTTTGTCCAGTGTTTTTTTCATTTCTATATGACCATTTTAACCCCTAGAACTAAACAGGCCATTTTTTTCTTTTTTTTTTTTTTAACAATGCCGTAAAGACTGATATATGTAAATCACATATTTTCTGAATAGTTGCCCAGTATTGTGCCTTACTCAAAATCCAGTCCTGGCTGAAAAACTCCCTATAACTTAAGTGTGAATGAGTGGAACTGAACTGCTGTAACCTAAAATATGTGAATGTGTAAAAAACAGCTAATTCACAACCTTATTCTCCATTTATGGACGGTGTAGACTTGAGAGTGAATTGTACATTTTGAAATCTCAACGTTTCCAACATTTAAAAAAAGTTGGAAAATTATTTTAAAAAAGTAAGGACAGTTTGATCTTTAATGATGTGGAACCATTTTTGTAAAAAGTTCGTCGAACCTCCACATAATGTTAAGCGTATATACCACAAAGTTTTTTTCTAGAACCATATGTCTATTTCTCTTTCGATGTGTGTTTAGACCACATGGTAAAAAACTGTTGGCTTTAGTCAAAACCTCACTCATTTTAAGCTTCCTCCCATTCCAATGTCCACCTCAGAGTATCCTCGTCTGTTCTCCCATGGGGAGGCCAGAATCCAGCTGACATCACAAGCTGTTTTGTTGGCTGTTCTTTGTGGTCTGTAATGAATCTAATGACTGTGAAAGGAGGGAGGAGGATAACTCCAATGAGGGAGAAAGACGGTCACGCTGTGTGGCTAATGCCATGAAATTTGTGACTCTGGTGAATGAGCACAATGGGAGTGAATGGCAAGACAATGACCAGTGTTTTTGTCCACTCAATTTGTCTTTGGTCTCTCGACCTAATCACATTCACCGGGAGTCTTTTGAAGCTTTGGCTTGGGAGAAAAACTGCTGAGAGCTTTTTTCACTGAACAAAAGGGCAGAAAGGATAGGAATCCTCATCTATCAGCAAGGCAACAGGATTTAAAGAGAGGGATCAGGGTCCTAAGGAAATTTAGAATGAAAAGTGGACAATGGAAAGGAAGGACAAGTTGTATTATCTTGCCAAGTCATCAAAATTTGTTTACCATCACTGGAATATAAGCAACTGGTTTATGTGTTCAATGTTTTTTATTTATTGAAGACTTCAGACTCGACTTTCCAAATTTAGTTCCTTTGAAATACTTGCATTCCATAAGATGCTTTAAAAAAACATTTTGTATTCAGTTCTAAAAGAGTGACAGATGTTAATCTTAATCTTGAGTAAAATCTAACACAGTAGGCAGTTGCTTCCTCAGTTGTGCCAGTTTCACAGAGCGCATGGCCACCTTTACCAGAACATCATGGAGCTGCAACCGAAGTCCACCAGGTCTTCGTCATGTGTGTTTACCATTTACTTTACCTTTCTCTGATCTGGCCATTTAATGGAAGCACTGGAGTATTCAAAGAAAGACCGGATGACTAATAAATTAATTACACTAATTACACTCATAAAACAAAGGTTCCTAAATGGTTCCTGGCTTGTATGAACTGGTAAAGAACTTTGAAAAAGTACACTCATCTCATTTACAAAGAATTAAGCATCCATGAGAGATTTTTAAGGGGAAACAACAGTGGAGGCCTTTTTGCATTTTTATTTTCAAGATTTTAGAGGCACCAAACCAGACTTACAAATGCACCCAGTATATTCTTAAAATAAAAATGTCTTAAAATTTGAACAATGCAGGTGGGGAACAGGACGTGTAAAACCATTTATTCCTTGCTTTTTTGGAAACAAAAAGTTTGATGAGGAAAGGTAAATGTTTAACTATCAAGATGTGCCATTCACTCACCAGCCCATACAGTCCATGTATGGAAAACCAAGCTGCAAAAACAGCTTTGAATTCAGTTTTTGTGATGTCACAAAAACAAATACTTTTACATATATCCACATATTCAGCCTACTGCAGTTTATCCCCACCCACCCACACTGAAGTTATAAGAAACGTTTATTGAATAAGGCTCAACACAGGGCAGCCAATCAGAATAGAGGTCATTTACATATATCAGTCTTAAAGACACTGTAACAAAAACAGGCAATTTAATTCTGATGTTTGTTTTTGTACATAAAACCACACAAATGTCATAACGCCTCAAAGGAAAATAAATAAATAAAAAACATAGGCTAATTAAATACAAAGCATTTATCTGTCATCACTGTATGACTAATCAAGACAGAATACATGTGTGCCTATCACAGTGTAAATCCATGGTAGCATACCATTAAAATATAAGTTACCCATACCCACATTTTCTAAACTGTGTAGTGTGCCTTAGCATAAGATTACTGCTCCAGGGAGGTATACCAGGCATCTCCAGCAAGAATGGATTTTGGTTATCTATTTCATATTTGCCCCTAACCTTGTGCATTAAAAGCCCCTTTTTAAATGAGAGTGAAGCCATGCATTCCTTCACATGCACACCTTTGAACTGGACACAATGGGAACCTCCTTTGCAAACATCTCACACTTTTGTTTGCCCATCGAAGAGGAGAAAGGCCCAAAGTATCACTTACGCTCTCAGGATTGCGTACATGCAAACGGAGAGGGCAAGAGAGTGAGATTCGACACCTGTTTTGCCCAACACTTCCACTCGTTCACAGTTAAACCACCATTCTGCCTTCAGGGTGAAGTCTTTTTTTTGCACAACCATAGTGCAATCTCAAAACAGCGCAGGACTTTGCAGGACTGTAAACAAAGGCCCACCAGCCCCTTCGGCATTGCACAGCCTTTAAGTCCATTATCTATGCAAAAAGCTTTGGAACAATACAGAGGTGGGGGCCTTCCTTCTCATGCTCACTGCTAAAATACCTGGAGTTCTACAATATTTATTAATGGGGTTACATGTGAAATGTTTTGTTGAGATTTAGGTTAGCAATTCTTTTAAGATGATCATAAACTAAGCATTTAAAGTAAACATGACAGACCTGTTATGCCAAATTTGTAGGGCTCTCTTGATTATTTGATTAAAATGGATTACTTGATTAAACATAAAACAATTAAAATTTGCACTCAGTGAATCAGCTTAGTGCTAGTCTGCAGGTCATTATAAAGCCGTGTTTAGCAGTGTGAAGGCAGGGATGCAGGAAGCAGGGCATTACTGCAATTGCTAAAAATAACAACAGAAAAACAACAAAATAACAGAACTATAATTTTTTTTAACACAGCAAACAGCCATGTGTGCTTTTTGTAGGGTGGAATCTTTTTTTAAATTTTGTTTTCAACATCTGAAGTACCCATTATTAAAGTTATTGCTCAATATTAGAGTGAAGTGAATTCCTTTTTATCGCCAGTAGTTGGCCACTTTGGGTGTGTAACTTGGGTGTGCTGCTAAAACACAAGTAGGAGCTGTATGTTAGTTTTTTGCCTTGAAGCAGTCTAATATTGTTTTAAAAACTTTGTTTTCAACTGATAACTGTCTCCCATTTTTGATCAATCATTATAATAATCTGCTAAATTTGCATGTGTAGCTTGACCATGGCCATGACAGTGTTTTTCACCTCACATCAACAATGTGATTGGTCGATGCTAAGTTCATCCACATAAACTCTGTGCAGCATGAGAGAGCAGAGACAGTTGGGTGTGCATCAGCTGTGGTTGCTGTGTTGGTTAAAGGGGCACAGCTGTACCTCGTCATCTCTCTCCAAACAATTCAAATGAAAAAGGAAACACATAGTACTTAGCATGGTGTCACTGTGTTCATGAAAACATTCAGCACCCCCAATGTCCATGCATTACATGTGTCACTTCTGTGAGCATCACTGAAAAAGAGGAGACTCATTACTGCATAAATGTTCGTAGTTCTAGACTGCATGTATATGAAGTGTTTCTGGTACACATTGTGCATATATTAAGTAAAAAATATTGCTTAGCTAGGTCTAAGCTGAACATCTCATCAGACAGCTAACAGCAGATTGCTAGCCTATATGTATCCCTTGCATGTGCACTGTATTACATTTTTTGGCACTGCCTCATTTGTACCACACATACCTGTCTTTTTACGACATTGCGTTGCATTTTCTTAGCTTGGAGAAACATATTTTGTTCTGTGCTCAATATTGGCAAATCTGCTTTAAACTGCTGTACAATTATACACAGTGAGTGATAAAACAATGCAGCATTAAAGATTTTGGCATTACAAAAGACACAAAAAGCATTTAATTTGAATTTGCTGGTACCTGCAGGTTCCCTGATAATGCATATTTTAAATTCTCCTGCTGGTCTCTCTTATAGTAAGCACCTGAGTGCTTACTGTAAAAGAGACAAACATATTTCTGCATTTTTTTATGAAGCGTTTTCAAATGCTTCCTTTTCATTTTTTCATTTAATTATTCTGGAATCTTCGAATAGGCTCTGCATAGTATATTGTTCAAGTAAACCTAAAAAACTGAACAAAACTGCAGATCACTTGATTAATCGTCAGCATAATCAGTTACTCAATTACTAACGCAGTCAATACTGACAGCTCTACAAATTTACAAAAATTAAATCAATAAATATTTTGCTTTTTGTAACAAATAAGCACACAGAGTCATCTGTGCTCGTTCAGAAGAAAACAGTGAACACGTAGGCTCAAACACTAAGCTGGCTTGCAAGAAGTTTCATGATAACCACTGAATTCATTTACACACTGTTGTCATGCACAGGCAAGAAACTGCACATTGCCCCTTTTAATAATGTGTATGTTTAAACATTAACCGATGCATTTTCCATAAAATAAGAACACAGGACAGACAATTACATGATACAGTCTATAATACAAGCAAGACTTTCAGCAGAAAAAACTCCATGTAGGATGAACCAGTGCAACAATTAATCAGAGATTTTGTAGTTTAAAGTGAGCTGCTTGAGGATTCAGTTTCTTTCTCATTTATGCCAAGAAGAGTCAAAATAATTGGACGGTTCAAATAATTTTGTAAGTAATAATCTTCAACATCAAAACTGATGACTGATGACATCCAATATGCTAGAAATGAACTGTACTGAATAATAATCATCTCTCTTTAACTGGCCCTTTCTTCAAAAATATAATACAAATAATCGAGACAAACAAAACAATTTGGTCATGCTCCAAGTAAACCCATAGAGGATTAAGAAGAAGACTGGTAGTGCAACAGCTGAGCAAACAAGCTCACAATGAAGGCACATAAACCTTTGTACATTTTCATACCTGCTGTCCCTTTCAAATTCACAATTCCCAAAAATAACCAGCTACTGAACAGTCTTTTCAATAGAGAACACAGAACATGGGCATGTTAAGGACCTCATGGGACAGTCTGTAAGGCACGAACAAACAAAAAAAGCTGTTCTAACAGTGGATATTAACATGTGATTAAAATTATTCTCACTTGTGAAAGGAAAAAAACATTCTGTGTCTTGGAAGCTAAATAAAATTCTTGGACAGGACAATGTTTCATCTTGACAAATTATAACCACAGACAAACATAGATATTTGTTTTTTTCAGGACAGACACAATACATTATCAAATAGGGGTAAAATAGTTATAGATTCACTATCACTGTGATGTGTAATTTTACAACTAGACACAAAAAATATACAATATTTATGTATATTTATATATTTATTTAGTATGTGGGGTCCAGTGTCTAATAAAAAGCACTGCAAAAGAGAGTAATCATTCTGTGATATTCATCCTGAGCAACAGTGCAGCACACGAGAATCGCAGACACAGTTACATGACGATGAATGCCCTATGTTGGTGTTTGTAACAAGTGTGTCTGATGAGTTTGGCCAGAATTAACTATGGAATGTTTAATGTGCCATTGTTTTTATTACAATGACTGAGATTTTTGCTTGCAATTAAGATAGAGATGGACAAGATGGTGAAGATGGTGATGGACTGTGCAAGAGAAGATTTTCTACATCAAGGAACGGCCACCCTAAAATCTCCCACAGCTCTTCCTAAAATATTTTATGTTTTACATTTTACTTCCATTCTGTCACAAGGCCACAGCAATAATCAGAAAGTACTATGATCCCATCAAAATATTTCAAGGTTTTCTTATGGACTGTATACCTAAAAATGTTGATTTATCACAGTGCAGTTATTTGGTTGACTAGTTTTAGCTAAAAAAGTCACCTTTCGACAATGGAATTTAAAGAAATACACATTTCAAAAGCAATAACAATAGTAATAAATAATGTTTCTAGAAGCAGTACAAAAATATCCAGCAATACCATTAGCTATATAGCCAGGGGACTGAAGGCAACAGCATAACCGAAAGAAGCAGTTAAAGTTAAGTCGAAGAGGCTGTTATCTGCTTCTGTGAAAGAGCTTAATTCCCTGGGAACTTTGGCTATATAAAATCTCAGCACATCTCCTGTAATCCTGGTAGATGATAAGGCACATACTACAGTGATCTACAATCAAAAGTCCTCCCAGATGTCTTAGGCGCATCACTAAAGTGAGCGGTGAAATCATTACAAGTTTAGAGTGCTGGTTTAGGAGGTACAATCTAATGCCTGGAGAAATGCAGGACAGCCTTGGTCTTCGTTGATTATTACTGAGTCTTTGCCTCTCTCAAGCTTAGTGTAGTATGTATCCAGCATGAGCCTGTGTACTCTGGGTGTGCGTTGTCCCTCTTTTTTAATCCTGTCCACGAAGAGGGGTTTGAGTGTTGTGGATAGGGCAAAGATATGCCTCCAAGGGCTCTATAGAGATATGTGTGGTGGGACAGCCTTGTGCAGCGGCCACTAGGCCCTCACAGGGCTGTTTCGAAGATAACCAGGTTAGCCTCTTTGCTGGAGGTCAGACCATTGGCCAGGTTGGGCCGACTGCGGTTCATATACGCCTGCGGACAGAGGAGAGAAAGCGTGGGGGAGTGTTACATGGATAAGGAGATGCATAAGGTCCTTTCAGAAGACTTGGAGGGAGATGAAACATACCTCTCATTTCCTTTGTCAAATGACAAAGCATTTCCAAACATGAGAACATGCACAATAGGCCAGCGAATGGCTGCAAAATTCCCCCTTCTTTAATATCATTATTTTGCAGAAATTAAAACCTTACATTGTATCTGTGAGCACTGATTGGCTGAGAAAGAAGTCAACAGACAAAAAGACACCTGGCGTTCCATTTCTTTTTCGGCTGGAAAAGAAAAAGTCCCGACGACACAAATAGCAACCGACAAACAGTTGGCCATACTATCAGATATACTCCCAATTGAGCTTGCATTCAAAAGGCACAAAGGCAGAGTGGTGCGGTATCAGGTGATGTGTGTTTGAAAGCCCACCGGTCAGCTCCAGAGGGCCAGCTCAGTGAATGAGCTCAGCGGTGAGGGAGGCAAAGGGGAACCTGATCCAGAGAGAGAACGAGGGGGGAGAAAGGCTCCTACAATAACCCCCATCAGCCTGCCAGTGCAGTGGTAGAAACTGATATGGATGAAGGGCACAATGGCCAAGGCTCTTTGAAATGCTGAGTTTTGTGCATTTCTGGCACGGGCGCATGTGGCACAGAGAACAGGACACGAGAAAAGAGGACATGCTGTTTGTTGTTTGTGCAGGAGGGGAAGCACCATGGTTATGTTTTCGGTTGGAGCAGAGGGTTCATGTTTGTGTGCGTGCATGTGCAAATAAACTCACAGGACAAAAAAATTGCCGAATGCATCATCTCTTTTCTAATACTTGGTTACGTGTCCCCTTGCCTTAATAACAATGCCAATCCTCTTAGGTACAGGCCAATTTATACTACTGCAAAGATGCATATAAACGTATCTGTGGCATGACACAGAAGAGGGGATCTCAGGCAACCTCGAGGCTTGTAGAGGCCATGACGTGCTCTTTATCAAAATTTCAACCGTGCGTTGTGTGAATTGCTGGCTGATGGCTGATTGGCTGTCGAGTAGTGTTTGGGGAGGGACAAAATCCAAATAATACCCAACCTCAAATGAAGCAAACATGTTTTTAACCAATAATCAAAATATTACAAAAACAGTAAATAATAATTCTTGGAGAGAATGTGAGACATTCTTGTTTGTACACTGTCCCCTAGTGTATGTGTTACGTTATGTTCAAGTATGTTTGGCAGACATCTACACAAATGCCAGCGCACAACACCTGCACATGGTTCAGCCTTAAGGATTATACCAGTCTTCTTGTCCGTAATAGCTCACTCTTCCATGAACTAAGTGCAGATGTCAACCAGAGTTTGTGTGAGGCTATTTCAGCATTTCACCCGCTGTTCCTAATTGAGAATTGGGACTGAGGCCTGCTAGTCAGTGAAACTGTCCCAGTGTTCCATCATGTCTGTTGAACCAGTCACATATATTCCCTACAGTGTCATCCAGGAATATGGCAATGTCATGCTTAGACAAGAAGCACAAAGTTAGTGGATGAATGGGCTAAAATAGAGATTGGTGTAGTCCTTAAGGCTTATTTCTACTTTTGCATCTGCTTATCTGCAAACATCTGTGGGCATTGTCTGTTCTCAAGAGAGTGGTGTAATCCTTAGCTGACAGAATTGGCACTATCAATGCTACTGGATGACTAACTAAGTATTAAAGAAGAAATGATGCATGCAACAAATCTTTTGGCCAGGGCAGCTTGTGTTTGTGTAGATTTGGTGCATGTGTGACAGAGTTTAAAAGGTATGTATGTGAGTATGTAAATAAGTGAGAGTATGTATATCTGTGTTAGAATGTATAAAAACTGCATGACTGCATTTACAGTATGAAGTATGACTCTGTGTGCTGCTGTTGTGTGTACCTGTTTTGCCAGCTGTTTTAGGGAGGCTGCCTCCGCCTTTCCTGTCTGTTGCACCATCTTGTAAAAGATTCCATCCTGGTTCTGGAGGAGGACATGAGGTTCATCATAGTCATGGATCCGGCCCGCGTCGAGAACCTGCAAGCAAGGACCCTTATTTCACTTGTTTTAAGTGAGACCCTCTAAGTAATATATGCAGTGGTGGGCTAATTATCTATATATGGACATGGAATTTGTAAGGTTAGCAGTGTTCAAGAGTCAGTATTCGCATCAGGCGTCAGGGTTTATGCCCCTTGTTTCAGACCTTGACCAACAGTAATTACAGCAGTGGGTAAGCCAGTAAGCTGTAATAGCGTCAGTCAGAATAGGTATGTATGTGAGTAAACAATAATTATATGAGGTGTGAGTTTGGGGTGAGGGGGGTGTGCTATGGTTTAGCTAATTACACAGCCACATTGTGGGTGACACTGAATTGACCACAGAAGAAAGAGAAATGATTGAAAGTAGCATGAGCCAGTCTGAGTCAGCATATCTGTGTATTACTACAGTTTGAGTCAGAGTCAACATAGACAGGGCAGAAGACAGCATATCCAGTGTTTGCGAAAATTCTGGTTTAAAGTCATTGGGAAAACAGAGAGTCCATTGTTTGTAAACAGAAACCCTTCAGTGAAAGTAGAGGTGCGCATTGTGTAATTAAAAATTCTGACTGCTTCAGTTTAACATACAGAAAAGAAGACAAAATATACATTGTGCTTTTGCACAGGCCACATTTTATGGTTTATTATTTTTTCCAGTATGTTAAATTCAGCAAATAAACAGCAAATGTATGTTAAAAAGTAGACTGATTATCCGCTAAGGATACTTATTTTTGCTTAGAAAATCTTGATGCTGAAGTAAAACTCAAGAAAATCTATTTTGTAGGTTAACAGTGGCTTATTATTCTGGAATGTCTCTTCAATTTTAATATTTTACTGAAGCGACTGAAGCAAATCTAAAATATGTGCATTGAGCGAAGTACTAAAAACAGGACACAACAATATACAAATACACATTCAATATTGTTTTCTAACCCTAATCCTACCAATATCAAAGGCTTTTCAGGGCCCAATAAAACTGTGCTTAATTGTCGTTTCCTATACTAGTCTAAAAGGTTGGAGTCTATGCTGGGCTAAAAGCTAACCTCATATATATACATACATATTTATCCATATTTGTTCGCACCCTCAACAACAAACTGGTCCTGACAGACTGTAACCGAATACACAGAAGGAGATTGTACTGCCATGTTTTCCTTTTCACCTGAATGCGACTAAAACATTCTTGACTAAGCCATTCAGGTAAAACAGCTAACTTTAGTATGTTTTGCATTGTTTGCATATCGCTGTTGTCGGAAGAAAACCTTGTATCTCCAAAATTAGAACTTTACAGGAGGAGGAAAAAACAAATTTACTTTTAATGAAAGTCAATGGAACCAGAGTTTTTTCGAAGTCATTTTGGGCTGTTTCTTTTGGTTCATTCTTCATGAAATTTACACACAATATAAAGGGCAAAAAACGGAGATAGACAAGATAGGCAAAAAAATGGAGAGACAAGGTTTTCTTCCAACAACAGCGATATGTTGCATTATCTGCGCTTATTAGTAGCACACCAGTATAAAGATTATAACAATTCATTAGTAGGAATTTCAACCAGTATAACTGACGAACCGCTATGTTACCCACTACAAAATGAAAAAAATACTTTATACATTATCAGACAATTTAATATAGACATTTTTACTGCGTACCAAGCAAATCCTCTACATCAATGACACAGAACCAAGTTCTTGCGTAGCAACCACAACTTGCCAATATCCATCACTACTGGAATGACTTTCTTTTTGTTTCTCTGCCCACTCCTTCCAGCCAACTTGTTCTGACACACAGACAGCTTTTTAATGTTTGTATTTCCCGCTGCTTGCTGAGGTGGTGAGGGAAACAGCTGATGTCAACACAAAGCACAATGGTTGCTATATTACACTATAAACATGCGGCAGATAAGGCGGCACATCAATGGCATTATGTTTCCACTGCCAGGCTGCCATCAACGTGCAGCCTTTTGTCTAGGAAGTCAGTGATCGTTTGATGCTACTCATCTGTTTTTGCTGGAATTAATAGTCTGTGTGAAGATCACTTATTTCTGTTACTCTTCATAATAGAATTTTTCCATTTAAAGGTGTCTTTTAAAGAACATTTGGCTTTTAGGCCTGCATGGTATCTGTAAGCACAAGGCTCATGCTGAAAGCCAGAGTCTATGTCAGTGCTTTTTGCCACTCACCAGTATGCGGTCACTGTCTATGATTGTGTTCAGTCTGTGTGCGATGGTGAGGACAGTGCACTCCTGGAACTTCTCTCGAATGGTCTTCTGAATGAGCTCATCTGTTCTGTAAAATGCAGGCACACAACCACAGCTTTCAGAGATAAGACATGGGTGAATGATAGTGTAATTCGTATAGCGCACCACAAGATCTTGTGTAATCACTTGCACAGTTTACTAGGTATATTAAAACTCAACAAAAATGAGCACGAAGGGTTTGTGGTAAAATGTAAAACGCTACAGGCTCTTACTTCGGGTCTACGTTAGCTGTGGCCTCATCAATGATGAGGATGCGGTTCTTCCTCAGGATGGCTCTGGCCAGACAAACAAGCTGCCGCTGGCCTACACTGAAGTTAGAACCAGATTCAGCCAGTACTGTCTCCAGCTTACTGGGCAACTCCTCCACCACAGACTTCAGCTGAACCTGAGAGTGTATGCAGGTGTATTTGAACATACATACACACGAAAATGGACTTTCTATAATTATAATGTACATCCCTGGGCTCAAGCTACTAATCCAATTCTGAGTGAGCACATGCTTATTAGTGAAGCTGGATGCGTGTCTGTGTTTCTATTTGCATAGTTATACTCCTAGATGAGAACCACATGTCCTCCCAGGGATAGCATAAGTTTGACAAATATGACTTGTGAGAACATTCTGCCATTTTTGTGTGTACCTCCTCCAAAGCGTTCCACAGGGCCTCGTCTGAATGTTCGTTGAAGGGGTCCAAGTTCTTTCTCATTGTGCCAGTGAATAACACAGGATCCTGTGGGATGATGGACATCTTCTGGCGGAGGTCATGTAGGCCAATCTCAGGGGTCAACACGCCGTCCACGTAGATCTTACCCTCCGGCTCTGCCAGACGGAACAGTGCAGAGATCAGAGAGCTCTTTCCAGCACCAGTTCTACCAACGATACCAACCTTAACAATGCAAGGAACAGACAGGAAAGATTAGCTAGTGCTAAACCAAAGACAGGAACAGTCAACAGCAAGCTTAATAGATGATATGCTAAGAAACACGCGATATCTACAATAATTAGTGGTGCTTTATTTGACTTACCTTCTCTTTGGGTCTAAACATTGCTGTCATGTTTTTGAGGACCACAGGCCCATCAGAACTGTAGGAGAAATTGACCCGGTCAAAGGTGATCATGCCCTGACTAGGCCATTCAGGAGGAGGTCGCTTCTGTGTTTCCCATGGTGCTTCGTTCTCGAGCTCAGTGTATTCCACCACTCTCTCTACAGATGTCATCTAAATACACACAGGTTATGGATCAGTCTTACAAAAACTTTCACACCTTCTCTTTTGCCTCACTGTGTTTACTTGAAGGCTACTAAAGGAAGTACTTACCATGTTCTCCACTTCAGCGCTCTGTCTCACACCCCACTGAAACATACCCGTCAGGGTGACTGCATATGACAAGGCCAAGCCTACTGCACCTGCCTCCAGATCTGATAGACAGAGGCCAAAATGGCATCAGAACTGTCCCAGTCACATTAACGAAACAGTAGAATACAAGATTCTTGGCCCAACTTTCTCCACTGAAACACATAGTCCAGAAAACAGGCACTTGGGACTGATTTTAAAAGTAGTCTTGTGCTAGACCTGTCACAATTATTACATAATCATCTAAGCGTAATTATTTGAGCTGATCACAAAAATGTTGAGCTTATTTGCCATATTTGGTTGAATTAAAGATAAGAAGATGAAGATATGAAGATAAGAGAGAATTAACGTAATGGATCTTCCAAAAACAACAAAAACTTCTGACTCGGCGCTATAGCAACTTTAGAGGGCAGCGGCGAGTAATGTTTTTTTATTTGAGCTATGTCTGTGTTCGCTTGGGAGCTACTAATTATCAACAGCTAGGAAGCAAAAAAAAAACAAAAACAAAAAAAAGCAATGTAGCCACTTTAGACTTGTATTTTAACAATTACATACAATGAACGAAAAGACAAACTTAATCGCAAATATATATATATGGCAATTTCATGATTGTGATGCCTGTATTATGCTGCCTGGCAAATACTCAAATAATATTCAAAAGGACTCTGAGGCTTTAAAATGCAGACTGCTTTTATCAGTGTGGTGTGTGGACATTGCTCAGAGCAGTCTCTAATAATGGAAGATTTCTCACTGTGTCTCAGCAGAAGGCATCCAAAGGCAGTGATGGTAACAAACACGGAACACATTCCATCCAGACGCACAGCGAACCAGCGTGATGTAGTCAGGAACAGAAACCAAGCCTCTGTATAAGCACACATTCAAGATTACATTTCTGTTTGCCTGCAAACTACAGAATATAGCCCTGGAACTCTTTAGCAGACCTGAGTGCAGATCTTGATGAGCATCAAAGGTTTGCTGGAACCTTTCCTCAGCCTTGAAGGCACGAATAGTCCAAAGGCCTTGCAGTGAGGATGACAGGTGGGAAAATACAGGGCTTCGAGCTAGAAGAAAGCGTGACACACATACAAACATTGGTGTATCTTTTCTTATAACCCATTTGAATTCTACTCCATCCCTTATCATATTCTATATACATATATTCTATATTCACAATATGCCATAATAGTTAATTAAAAGACACTCACTAGTAGATTCAAGACGTTTGACATCACGAGAGGTCTGCAGAAAGTAGCGCCGCAGGAACAGGAAGACTATCAGGAGGGGCAGCACAGGGATCATAATCCACGGGATGACTGAAGCAGCCACAGCGATGACACCTATAATCTGCAAAAACACCTAGCAAGAGAGATACTGTATAAGCTCTTTGTCATGGTGGTCAACTGCTGAGTTGTTAACAGTACTCTGAAGAGCCCCTTAGTGTTAAAGCTTTCACCCACAGCCACTTCAGGGCCTTCTACAAAACCCCACAGAGTATTACACCATGACTCGACACTTTCTGCTGGTCTCCATCTAATAAAGGTATCTCCAATGGTTTTGATGGTTTTCATACCTCCCACTCTTTCTCCCTTCTTCTAACATATAATCAGGTCAACATACTGCATGTTAGCAAACTCTGGCATAACGTAACTGAAGTAATGATGACCCCATGTTTTGGTACACCACAAAAAGACAAAAAGCTTTTTCTTAGCTAGTGATGCTTTCTTGTTGTCCATTCAAAACTTTTGCTGATGGTATGGGAACTCTCCATAAAAGGCCCCCCCCCATAGCAAGTTGAGTGAATTCTTTCTCTAGAAGCTTCTATTCCAAACCACTGGCTTGGTTATAACATCTGCAATGCTGTTCACCCTGCTAAGCATGAGAAAAAGTAAAACGCACTCTCTCTGGGTGGCACAGAAATAGCTGTCCCATCTTTCTTAGTAAAACCCAGTGAGCCAAGACAGGGGTCATTCTTTTGACAAAATGGGTGACAAATGAGGGTAGAAAGGGAATAGACTGTGTTTAAAGGCCCAAGCATTTGAGGGCAGTGGGTCTGCTCACAAACGCAAGGAAAAACTCAAAGCCCTTCTACCTACAAGGGCGTCTTGATGGCTTTAGTCATTGTCTATAGATTCTCTGTTTTGCCTTCACACCAAAGCAGCTAATAGTGAGAAGAATAGTGAGAAAAAGACAGTGGGAAAGGCCCCCAAAAGGATGAGTGACAATAGTCAAGATGGTAAAGTCCTTTCAGTGTGCTTGCCACCGAAAGAGAAAAAGGAATCCCCTTCCTGACAGAATGAAAAGCGCTTTAATGGAAGACTATTGTGCTTTTTTTATTTAGTCTGTCAAGTGGTAGACAATGGCACTTTGTGGACATGAAGTGGCATTTGTCTTACACAGACACATGCTGACCAGATTCTCTGTTGCCAGGAAATACGCTGATCTACACTCTTAAAAATAAAGATGCCAAAAAGGGTTCTTTACCCGATGCCAGAGAGGAATCATTTTTGGCTCCCTAAAGGACCTTTCAAAGGATGTCCTTTAGAGAACCATTTTTGTGAACGAGATGTATGAGCATGAAGAACCTTTTTAAAGTTAAAAAAAAACCTACACATAATGTAAAAAAAAGTTCAGACAGTATGTAAAATGCTAAAAAAACGAAAGCAGTGATTAGTAATTTGTTTGACTTTTATTCAATTGAAAGCTGTACAAAAACACAATATTTGACATTTAACCTTATACATTTTGTTGTTATATATATATATATATATATATATATATATATTGATGATGCTTGCCACATATTTAAAAAAAGTTGGGACAGGTGCATGTTAACCACTGTATTACATCACATTACATTCCTTTCCACAACACTTAATAACTGTCTGGGGACTGAACACACCAACTGATCCAATTTTGAGTACAGAATTTGTTTAAAAGTCTAAATCTGCGCAGCTGTATGGGGCCTTCTTTGTTGTATTATCATAATGTGCTGCATGTTTTCAGTGGGAAACAGGTCTGGACTGCAGGCAGGTCAGTCTAGTACCCACACTCTGATTACGCAGCCATGATGTTGTAATGTGCAAAATGTGGCTTGGCACCGTCATATTAAAATATGCATGGATTTCCCTGAGAAAGATATCACCTAAAGGGCAGCAGATATTGCTCCAAATTGTGTATATCTTTCTGCATTAATAGCGCATTCACAGATCAGCAAGTTACCCTTGCCATGGGCACTAATATACCCCCAAACAATGACAGACCATGGCTTTTGAACTTTACATTGGTAACAATCTGGATGGTCTTTTCTCCTTTGTCCTGGAGAACACAATGTCCACAGCCAATCCGAAAGGTTGACTTGACAGACCACAATCCATGTTTTCACTGTGCTTCAGTCCATTTCAGATGAAATCAAGCACAGAGAAGTCAGTAGTGTTTCTGGAGGACAATGTTGACATATGACTTCTGCTGTGCATAGCACAGCCTCAACAGCGATGCGGCAATGAGCATTTGTCAACGCATTCCCTAGCCCATGTGGCAATATCCATCACAGAAGCATGCCAGTTTTTAATGCAGTCCCTATCTGAGCAATCAAAGTTCACATACATTTCCTGAATGTTTTGAAGATAATATTCACTGTTCCATTTATTTGAAATTGTGGTTTGTAGGGAGAACCCTTAAAATAGTATAGAACATTTATATCATGGCAAACTTAGAAATCTATTTTTTTTTTTAAAATGGTTCTTTAGGGAACTAAAAGTGTTTTGTTCTAGGGCATCACTTAAAACTGTTTGTAGTTACTTTATTGTACTGAGTCAGTGAAAGGTAACTTTTCCATGCAGATGCAAACACCTACACACTATAGTTACCTGGATAAAGTCCACGAATGTCCAGGGAAGTAATGAGTCTAAGTGTCCAATGTCCTTTGAGAAACGGTTCAGGATTCTTCCTGGCGGACAACAGAAGAAATAAAGTCAAATCTCTTCCAGTGCTGGAAACAAAACTTCATGCTATCAAAGTTAATACACGCTGATAAATCAATAAATGAAACAGCCTACAGCTGTAAATTAGAACTGTAGTAATTGTGAGAGTCATTGTTTTCAATTATCTTATCTGATATGATATGATCTAATATAACCTGAAATAGACCCTTTCCCCTACAAAACAATCTGCTAAATAATAATATATTAAAAAAGGAGAATGGAAATGAAGGACCGCTCAGAGGGTGAACAAAAGCATTGCACAACAATGTTTTAACTCATGTGTCATAAATCAACTACAAGGGCTGGTCATGCTATAATGAACTTATTGTACAATACTCTGAATTAATCAGGTTGGTATAGAGTTCATTTAAACAAATATTAAACAACACATTGAACACCTTCACTGCACCTTGCCTAAAAGTGTCAACAATTATACATATGACAAAGAAAGTAATTACATCAGTGAGGGCTTGGACAGTGTTACTGAGAAAAAACACATCTGTGCACACCGTTTCAATAAATGACTGTTCACAAATTGAGATAAAAACAAATACAGGATGTACTGGTTCAAGCTGCTGCTTGTGGGTGCCATGCTGTGGTGCAGTATAGTAAATCGCAGCCTCAACTCTTTTTCCCAGCCTGATAAATCATTTTCACAAGATTTCTTTAAGCCCTAGGACTAATACTAAGTACTTCTCACTCTCACATTGTACCCCCTTGTATAACTGCTACTGATACAAGGGCAGAGTAATGGGCTCCGACCATTTCCTCAACAACCATAAAGTGGTAAGACTATTGAGACATGTAAAAAGCTTCTTTGCTCATATTATCACCAGGAACACCCCGATAAGCTGGCCAAAAGAGGAGCAAGTCATCTGGAAAACAACACATGGAACCACACTCAGGGCCATTTACTCTTCAGAGGCTTAAAACCACTTACAACGACTAGGCCGTTTTCTCTGGACTCTTACAAGTTTGATTGATTAGACTGCAGTGTGCCACGCAATCAGAAGCAGCCATATCAGCTGCCTTTTGTCCTGTAAACCGCAGGCATGGTCCTCCATTATCGGCAACACTTGCGTACCGTGTGACTATTAAGCCATTAGCAGATGCAATCAAACATTGCAGGTGAGACCAAAGTTCTGACATAGGGAATACACTAGCAAAGATGTAGGAGACAGTAAACAACTAAGGCAAGGGTGAATCTTTCACCTTGATGAAGAACAACTCATAGCCAATGTCATGCATATAAAGCTCTATGTAAAACTACATACATATAAGCAAGGGCTGACAAACAAACAATAGTATCAGCAGAAAACTGCTTGAAAGAATCACATTGGCATTGGTCCAATATTAAAAGTTCAGCAACGTGTATTGTTAAATGTAAATTAGCTCATATTAGAGAAGAATTAACAAGTTTTGAAAAGCATTACATGAATAGAACAATTTGTCATCATTACCTTTTTAATCTAAACTATTATCATCCACATGCTATTCTGTGAAATAATTAATATAATTTATGGGTATCAGCAGATACAGGCATGGAAATATCAATCATCAACTTATTTTGTTTGTTATAACAGAGTTATATTAGGTGCATCAGGTTTATGCCTCCATTTGTCTCCTGACATGACTATAACAGGTCAAAAACCTCGTCAATCTACCTATTCATAAAAAAACATCTTATCTAGACAACCTTAAAGAGCAAGGCACATTAATTAAACTATTATAACATTATACAGTCTTTTTCTAGTCATGTGTTCAGATTTTTCTAAGAATGCTTATCGATCCATAGCCTCATTTCATACAGATAAGAAGAGAGAAAAGGTGGCCTGCCAACCAGCTTCTGAGTGTGTGGAGGCTGGCCAAGTGTTTGTCCTCTTTAACAATTCCTCACACACCTGCCCATGACGCGTTCATCCATATGCTTCCTATCCACCAGCAAGCTAAAGCCCTGAACACTCATGTGTGGACCCAACTCCACAGAGCAAATACTGAAATCTAGAGTAAACACTATTAAGACCAAATCACTCCTGCTTCCCCTTTGTACTGCCCCTTGATCAAGGAGGTGTGGAAATCGGGGGGCCTATGACACATTAGAGAGCTAAAACGAGTTTACTTTGCAGCAGGTGATTCTTTTGGTTACACTTTGATTGCTTATGACAGCAAAATGCCAATGAGAGACACAGAGGATAGCTGAATAATCAATGAAATTTGTATCCATTTTTGTTTTTAGATTAAAGTGTCATTTAAAGACATGATATTTCCCCCCCCTGTTGCTGGACTATACTACAGGAGTGTGGACATTTCATGAATCCAAAAAAGCAAAAAGAAAAAAAAAAACAACAATTTTGTGAGAAACACAGCTAAAGTATGCTTTCACTGAAGTGTTACAAAAAAGAGTTTATGAAATAGGGTATATTCTCTAATTTCAAGAAAAGGTGCCTTATGTGTTCATCTGTTTGTCAAACAGAGAAAAAAAAGTTGAACCGGTATAAATGCACACTGATCAATAATACTTATTATGATACTACATATAAGATGTAAGACTACATTATCATAGCAAAACTACACTGTATGTACAAAAGTATCCAGACACCCTTTCTCATTAGTGAATTTGGCTACTTTAAAGTGCACACATTGCAGACAGAGGCATTCAGTTGTGCATACTTGGCTTTTATAAGAGATTAAAAAAGCACTGCTAATAGAATGGGACACTCCGAAGCAGCCACATAAAAACCCAAGGTCATCATGCCTAATACCTAGCATCATCTAGTGGGATATAAAGCCCTCCAAAACTGGGCTGTGTAGCAGCTGAACTAAACTGTCCAATACGTTTGAGATGAGCTGGAGTGGAGTTTGTGATCCACAACTAATCATCCAGCATCAGTACTTGACCTCACTAATGCTCTTGTGGATAAATCAAATCTTTACAGCAATGTTCCAAAATCCAGGGTAAAGCCTTTTTTAGAAGAGAAGAAGTTGTTACTGCAGCAAGCTGAGGACAAACTTTATAGTAATGCCCTTGATTTTGGAACAAACACTGGATGAGAAGGTGTCTACAAACTTTTGGACATACAGGGTAAAAACAGCACAAACTACTATGCATGTTTTTTATTCCTGCATACTAAATAAGCAATGATACCTGTAAGAAGTGCTCTACAAATGCAAACAATACAATGGAACATTCAACAGATCAAGAAATATCACACTGCTTAGACTCCATTGCTCTCTTCTGGACAATCATAGTAACAACTCTTCATTTTCATGCTATGCAGTTGCCTGATATGGAAGAACATGTTTTTCTTTGAAACGGCTCTGGTTATATTCATTGTCTTGTTTTAAATTTTCTTCATCCACTTTTGTTTTTCAGCCCTAAGAACAGAACAGCAATCACACTTTCAGGAAAAAAAAAACAACAAAACAAAAACAAACCAAACCAAAACAACAAAACAAAACAACCAAAAAACTGTTATCCATCACCAGAATACCCCTGTGATTGTGCACTCACCGATAGGGTTAATGTCAAAGAAGCGGACAGGGGTCCTCAGGATGCAATTGAACATGCGGTTGTGGAGTGTCTGAGCAGAGCGCACCAGAGCATTAAACATCATCAGACTGCGCATGAAGCCAAAGATGACGGTGCCCACGGTCAAACCTGATGACAAAGAGCAGGTTAGGTTTGCCTATGAGTTGGATTTTGCAATAATGATTCAAATATAGAATACAGAATATACACACCAAGCTCCAAGTACACACGCCACCTTCACACAAATTGCACATTCTAACAAGCCATTTCGTATTAGTGTCCTTTTATCATTTAGTCCAGTGTTTATAACCATTTTAGCAATTCTAACACTATTCTGTTATTATTTTAATGAGCACTGGAGTGGGCAAAATGACCCTAGTGACTCTGGACGAGAATGATATTTAGCGCTGGTTTGCTCATTCTAACAGTGCCAAATCAACTGTTGTCAACAGGCATCTTTGGAGTAAGGTGGAAAAAGCTGTGGAGCTGTGCAATTTGCAGCAACTGTATTAGGCAATCATCTACAGGAGAATTTATGCTGCTCTGAAGGCCAAATGAGGAGCACCATGCTACTGTATACCTAATAAACTGGCAACTCAGTGAAATTTTCATTCCAAAATCTACTTTAAAACTGTATTACAATCAAGGTTATTGTACCTTTTACATTTTTTTTTTTTTTTATTTAGTTTTTCATTTTGTTTTTTTATCTAAGTTTAGTTAGTCTTAGGGGCTGCATTAATAGTTTTAGTTTTGTTTTTATGTTCTGAAAAATAATGGTTCTATTAAGTTTCAGCTTTAGTTTTAGTTTTTGGTATTATGATCAATGCGGTGATTGTAGGTATTTGATAAAGAACAGGGTAGAATAAAATTAACACAACAGTAGATTGAGCTCAGCTTGGCTCCAGCTTTTCCTTACAGTCTGCCAATCACGGAAGAGATCCACTTCTAAACTCTCATTCATGCACTAAATAACACAAAACTAAAGTTTTTTTTCAGTAATTCTATTTAGCTTTAGTTAGCTTTGCAGAGGACATCATAGTTTTAATTAAGTTTAAAACTGTCATTTTTATTTTTATTACAGTTGAGCAGCACATTTCCCTGTTAGTTTTCATTCCAATAATAGTTATAGTTTTAACTATAACAACCCTGAATACAACATATTATGAATCTTACTTTGCACAGATTATGCAAGACAATTTATCAGACAGATGTTTGCATATGTGTGTATACCTGAATAAATGCCCAGGTAGAAGTCAAGAGAGAGTTGTTGAGTAACGTTCTGGTTAAGACTGCCGTTAATGCTGTGGGTGAAGGTAAGGTTGCGGTTGAGCACATCCAGTTTCTCTTGCTCCGAAGCCCTGTTAATCCAGATCATGTAGTTACTGCAAAAAACTTGTAGAGCTCATTACTATTCTGTGATTTAGGACAAAAAAAAATCTAAAGTTCTATTCAAGTACAACAAAGTACAACATGACAAACTGGAGCATTTTGTAGGTGCTGGTGTAGTGAAAATAAATTAAATAGCTCAAATGAAAACTGTTATGCCTTCAACATTTTTGAAAACCCTCCAAGGAGGCACTCACCAGTAAGCAAGCCACCAGTCTTGAAGAATATAGGCTGTCTGTCGATGGAAAGTGAATTCAAGTTTAACAAATCAACTAAACACATAATAAACAAATACTTAATCAGTGTGGGCTCCAGCACTATGTCTCACCTGTGCGAGCAGATTGAGCAGTATGAGGCTGAGCAGCATAAGCATGTTGACTCCAGCAGTGAAGTATTTCAGATATATGCGAACACCAATGGTCCCCTCAGAACGGCTCTCCTCTGCCATGGTTTGAACAGGTTCTGCCTGTTCATAATAGAGAGATGGGTTTGAGGTTTAATGCACGTTAAAGGGGGTTAATATAAACTAGCATCCACTGAATATTTACAGAGACATATTTACACTGAGCTGACATAAACACATATCTGTGTTAAATTAATTCACCCTTACTTCACAGTCCATATTTTACTCTCATAAAACAAAGTTTATCCATTCAAAAGCAAAGGCTTATACAGTATGCAGCAAAAGTGAGTATTACCCTAGTTAATATTTCTAAAAACAGTAAATAACCAATTATTTCAGTTTAATTCAGCTAAAGGCCAATTTCTGAAGATAAATCTAGGGCTAAGCTGGAAGTACTGGCCCATCTGTTTTTCAGTGCATGACTGCATAAACAGCAGACTGTACTGTTTCTTATCTTTAAAGGATGGCCGCTGCACCTTCTGTTACGGTAGAGCGGTTCTTTCAATACTTTCTAATAACTGGTGTAGCTGTGCTTCAGCTTTTGTTTAGGAGTTTACCAGGGCTGATGGAAAAGGGTACAAGAACACTGGTAAACTACAGAACAAAAGATGAAGCACAGCTAGAGCAGTTATTAGGAAGTTTTGAAAGTATTTTTTCTGCCAACATATTGCCACATGGAGCCTTGGTAGTTTACACACAGGCCAAACAGGGCGCAAATAATTAGTCTTAATTGGAAATTGCATCATAGGTGTACTCACTTTTGGTTCATTGACTTTCTACACTGGAGTCTTTAATTCTAACATAGTCCATCCAACCCAATTTTTTGTTAGTTAAAAATAACAGTAAGTATCCCGTTTTTAAATTTAAAATATATGTAGTCATTTTAATAAAATACTCTTAATAATCTTAAATCATTTTACATTTTACTGAACAAGGGTGTACTTCTGTTGTATACTGAAATAGCCTTTTTGGAGTTTCCAAAATTCGACTGCCACTAGATGGCGCCACTGGCACATGCAAAGACCATCTACTTTTTTTTTGTTTCTTTAAAGAAACATGAACCTTATACTTTGGATATTATGCACTTAATGCATACCTATCTTATACATCCACTATGCAAGTGTGCACGCACAAACTGTAGTCCACCCTGTACCCCATTAATCACTGGTTAGGTGGTCAGATATTATTTGGGTGGTTAACTGTTCTTAACCCAGCAGTGATACTGACGTGGTAGTGGCATGTTAGTGTGTATGGCGCTGATACGATCAAGCACAGAAGTGGGGTTTTTACACACATCGGTATTCCTACCTTTCTGGTCCACCGCCCAAAAATATCTAGCCAAGAGCAGCTCTGTGACCACTGATAAAGGGCTTGCAGATGGATAACAAAAGAGGTTGGATACACACACACACAAACACACACACACACACACACACACACACACACACACACACAGACATATATATAAATCTGTACCACATATACCGGTAGTTGCTCTGAATCATCTTTATCGGACATCACTGATGAGGTGCGCGAGCGAACGGAGTTCTGCGAGAGGGTCCGAGTGCGGAAAGACTCCACAGTCCCTCCTGCCTGCTCCTCTTCCTCATCCTTCTTCAGCAGAGAGGTGAAGTCCACACCTGAACGTAGCAGCTCTGAGTACGTGCCCTGTGCCACCATGTGACCCTGAAAGAGCGAGAGAGCATTAGTGAGAGAGATTTGACATACATAATATTGTTTACCACAACAAACTAAAAAATTCAACCTATTTTTAATCAGCTACATCCCAGACACAGAGAGAAGGGAAGGAAAGAGTAGAAAGAGTGAGTGAAATGTTGGTAAAACACAGAGGACAACAGAATGTCATGGACATTTTTATTATTTTAATCACTCACTTACACAAGGGGACATAAAATATTAGAATAATACAAACATGCCTATAACATATGCTTTGTATTTACAAAAAACAACCATGCTTCAGTACCAAAAAAGGGTTAGGTGTTGCTTTGAAAAAGGAAATATTTGTTACAACTTTACAGTAATAATAAAATTGCCATTTTGGTGACCATGGTCCGTGGTGGTCCAAGTTGGTCCGTCCTGCCGTCATTCAATCTAGGTTATGTCATTAAATACTATTTAGCTACTGCAGTGACAGCCAGCTTATTTAATACCTGATTTTAGTTTCAACCTTATTTCATAGAGTGATGTTAGCAAACATCAACCAACAGACCAGCATCTGTGATGCCAGACAGACCAGCTCAACGGTCTTTATGGGACCATAACAGTCACTGTAGCGTGACGTTAGCTAGTGCAGAGGTTACAGTTCAAAACCTGATGTGTCTGATTAACTTAAGTTGTAGAGGGAACACAGCCCTTATGATAAAGATGATAAAAATACGTACACACATTGTAAGGCCTGGTTTAGGCCACGATTACATGTTTTACTACAGCTGTTTTACTACTACCAAATTTCTTGTCTGGAAGCCTTTTTAGCGCAAGGATTAAAAAAGGCCTGGGTCATGTATTCACTGTGGTAGAGTGTGTGAAGAATTTGAGGTAGAGGCTCTGCACAAACACTTACTTCTTTCAAAACGAGGATATGATCAGCTGTTTTCAGGTACTGCAGCTGGTGAGTGACTAAGATCCTCGGTTTCTTCTTTAAAACACCACAGATACACCTGCACAACACACACACACACACACACACACAACCACACATTATACTGACCAGTAACATTACAATCACGCATACAGAAACCCTAGAAAGGGCACAGGACACACTGGTCTCTATAGACAGATCTTTTCTACTGCATAAAATACATATATGGATATGCATATGTAAATATATGTACAAAAAAAATGGCACAAAAAAATTGATGCTCCTTCAACTTGAAAACCATTTTTGTAACCAACGGTTTCTCAGTAAAGTACAACTGAATTTATTAAGACCCAGTAAATCTGGTTGTAACTGAAATTTAGTGAGACGAAAGAAGCTTACTGCAGCGTCTATATAAATACCTCAGTTTTCAGTCTAAAGAGATTTGACTAGACACACTGATTCACATACTGTACAGCAAAACAAGCACCAGTGGAATCCAGATGGGTCTTGTCCTAAGGGACAAGTTTGTACTTCAATTTACATTCACCCAAGACCGTATTTCACCAGTTGTCACAGATCAACCCAAACTACAACAGCTTGTACTAAGGCAGGGTAAAGAATTTCAAGCAACAACTAAAACAAATAAAACATGGTGATGTCAGTGTGCAGGTTAGGTGAGATTCCATAGTGCGAGAAATTTGCAGCCAAATTAAAATTTCTTTCTACTTTAATTTGTCCCAACACTGACTTAAAACGCTCATCTAAAATAGGGTAATATCGTACATGGCTGGTATTCTGAAATATGATCACATAAGCCTCAAATCTTTATCTATTGGGGTAAGAAAACACTCAGCCAACAATTTAATTCATTTCAATATACTGGCGTCATGAATGGGTATTCTCACATTATTCTAAAAACAGTTTGAAAAAAGACTAATGATGACTATAATTATGTTGCACAACATACTAACAACACCAGAACTGGTAGGCAGGAGGAGTGCCGGATTTGTTGATAGGTGCTCATCGTATTGCATACTTTCATTCAAACAATGCAACTGCACACATTAATGTTCACTGTATGTATAATTATTATATAGGCATATTTGCTGTTATGACTGAAGTGAAGAAACCCCTGCCACAGAGTACAGCCATGATCTCTGAGAACTGTGAAAATGCTCCAACATTAAATAAGGCTTAAGATCAACCAGCCATGTAATTTTTTTTTATTATATAATCATTAATGTGATGATATAACAACGCTTAATTTTAAAGTCTATACTTTACAGACACAGCTTTTTTACTGCTACGATAGATAATGCTAATTTCTCCTAGTGCATTGATGGCTTTTCTCGTGTTAAATTAGTATCAAGCCAAAGGTCTAGAACTACACATGAACTACACATGATGTGTAGTTTTACAGTGAAACTTCTGTCAACTTTTCAACCCAAAGCCTACCTCTAATATTACTAGGTTAGCCTCTTAAAAGTCTGCCGAGCTGGTTGTTAACCAAAACTGCATTCTTATGCAGTGTATATATTTACTATTGTGTTGGGCCTTTTACTTCGTATACACATCTGCCAACCTTTGGGAAAATATTTTGCGTAACACTTTAACCAAAAAAACTGCTTAGCACATGGTCATTTCCCCATTCGCTGCCCTATCAAGTTCGGTTATTCTTATTATCTTGAACATATGAACTGACAGGCGTCACCAGCTTTTTGCGTACAGTGACAAATCGTATCAGCGTACTTTGATGTAAAAATGCATACCTACTACACAAAATGCGTAGAGGTTGGCAGGTCTGCGTATACACCGAATTTGGGACCACAAACATAGAGAGTTGTATGCAAAAGTTATTATAGTATTTAATATTGTAGTATATTCAATAACCAAATACAGGCACAGATCTATAGACATGAAAACTCATGAGAAGCAAAAAAGATGACAAGTGATGAAACCAGTCCCCTGTAGCGGGGTCCAGATGCACTGTTCCCAGGAGAAAATTTTAGTGACTTTAACATGGACATTCTGGTTAACTCTGAGATCACAGTACAGTTGTAATTACTGTGGAATTATTTGGTCAATTGAGTTCAACAACTTAATTGTTAAAAATCAGTTTACCATATCAAAATCAAAACTTCAGTGTGAACAAAATTTGCAGCCATTGTTTTTTGAGAGCTACATCTATTATAAATAAAGACCCATTCTACTGTTCTACTGGCTACACAATAACATGTTGTTAAGAGTCCACAGAAAACACTAAATCAAAGAGTGTGTTCACATGCACTGAATAATCAGATAACTGCAGAACATCAGGTTTTGCCAGTAATCCAACACGTTTACATGCTTGAGTAATCAGATAATGGGAAACTCTGGTTCTATATAAGTCAGGGAGTAACTGGATTTCTGCTTTGCAACCGGCCAATAAACTCACAAAAGAAGATGTGACATAAACGTAATGTAAAACTCAAACTTCATGCCGTGGCTTTTTTTTAAAAACATCGTACCACATTACCTAAAAAAAAATATGAACATACATCATCTAGAAGATGAAGAATATTTAACTCCTTCATTTTACCTTATCCAGCTCTCTTTATCAGATTTCTTAATCAGATTTCTAGATCGGAGCATGCAGTTTACATGACCATTTGAATAATCGGATAACTGCAGAAATCCGATCATGATCGGATTATTGAGTGCATGTAAACATATTTGTTATTAGAGAGTTTTCAAAATTATACTCTATGCTTATGAGGAACTACATTAACATGTGCACTATATTGTACTAGAAAAACAACTTACTGATCAAACAGATGTCTGCCCACCTCTGCATCCACTGCACTCAGGGGGTCGTCCAACAGGTAAATATCAGCATCTTGATACACAGCCCTATGAAACACACACGCACACACACACAAACAAATATTTCTTCAGTGTCAGAATCTTATTGTTTTCATAATGTTGTAAGCACATTTGGTCCACACAAAGAAGGTACCACAGAGTAAAGACACACATGCATAGACACATACTGACATACAAACATCCAGACACAAACATAATGCAGACAAATAATGAATCAAAGCTAATAGGGCCAATTAAAATGCCCTATACCACTGGACCAGGCTAGCGATATACTTTGTTTTATTACATGTATGTGCATGCAAGATAGCTGCCCGCCTTATCCTGCAGTCATTTAGAGTGTTGGCTGTGCATTTTTTGCAAAAATTGATGCAAAATTCAACACCAACAGATTCACAGTGCTATATCAGCAAAGAGGTAGCAAGGCACTCGAGAAATATGTATTAGGAAGAGAATTAACAATCAAGGTATTACCTTGTTAATTACTTAACAAGATTACAGTTTATTATTTATTACTGTACCGTACATATATAACATTAAAGATAACAAATATAAACTCTATCCTTCAAAAAATTAACAATACAAACATTTTAAATAAAAAAGCAAAAAATCTTTACACTACAACGATATTTTACACATATTACACACGGAGTATTGATTATATTGCACATGGGTATGGAGACGAATTCACAGTCTACTTTCAGTAGGTGTGTGAGCGTGTGTAATGGGGGTGGTGGCGGGGTTCTACTGGGAGCAGTGCTGGTTGTACAGTCTAACAGCAGCAGGAAGGAAGGACCTGCGATAACACTCTTTCACACACTTGGGGTGAAGCAGCCTGTCACTGAAGGAGCTGCCCAGTGATGCAAGAGTCTCATGCACAGGGTGGGAGTTGTTCTCTAGCATGGATGCTAGCTCAGCTAACATCCTCTGGTCTCCCACCACCTGCACTGGATCTAGGGGACTTCCCAGGACAGAACTGGCCCTCTTAGTGAGTTTATCAGAGAGGGCAGTACACCCTCATAGAATCGAACCAACAGCAGACTGAACAAACATAGGTACAAAGTATGTTGTCCATGTAGCAGCTGTGTAAAAGCTGCATTATGTAAGATTTATTTTATTAACAATGAAAGAAGTAGCATTATTGAGTCAGAAGGTAAAAAACATGCCAAAATATGATGCCTGTGCATTGCTGTGAATTACTCTGTAAAGCCTGAAACAGTAAGTGGTATGTCAGAGGCTGAGGGTCAGATTTCGTAGGTCTTTTTGGACCGTGCCTTTGTGTATGTCATTTGGCTTTACATATATTAAAAAGAACATCCAGCTTGATGTTTAGATCTCCAATGCAAAATTCACTTACATCCTGTGAAAATAGGTCATTCACAGAGTTTTAACTGAGTTCTCTTTGAATACTCTTTCAGTACGCTTGCAATCATGAGCTTCATCCGCTCAGGGAAGGGGTCCAAAGCACACCCAATGTTAACAAATGTCCTTCTGCATGTTGCACGCAAATACATATTTTCAACAGACAGGACTCAAAATCACCCCCAAAACTTACATAGAATAGCTTTAAGTATAATGCTAACACTATTAAACATATTAACATTGCAGCAAAACAAACAAACGGCAGCAAAACAACAAACGGTATTCAGTAAGCTTGTATTCATACCTGGCCAGGTTAACCCGAGCTTTCTGTCCTCCACTCAGAGTTGCACCTCGGTCTCCAATCACAGTCAGGTCCCCCTCAGGTAGCAGCTCCATGTCCTACAACATATAGCAAGAACCAGACAGTGTACTGTATTTTAAATCAGAACAATGCCACACAGATGAGAGACTCTAAAACAGCATTTCTAAATTCCAATCCTGCACCCTCCCACCAAGCACAGCAGTTCCACATTTTCCCAGAATAAGCAGACCTGACTCAACTCAGGAAGGGCTTGATATTTAGTTTAATCAGATTTACTGAATGAAAAGTATGTGAAACTGCAATGTTTAGACACACTGCTACTAAAGGAAGCAGACAGAATTTAGTCAGACAGAAAATCTTACTGACAGATAGTGGTACTTATCCTTCAAAGCTGAAGACGATCAAATCTCATCAAAAAAAAAGGATAAGCAAATTTCACCAATAACTTCTATCTTTGTAGTGTCTGTATGTTCAAACTCACACATGGCAGGCATGAGAGTAGTGGATTAACAACCTGAAGAATGCCTGATCTGTGGTCAAATAATCTAAATTATTATCAACCTCCTCAATAATACCAGCAAAAACACTGTAAATAAAAAAATACCAATGGTAATTGGTAAAAAATCTGCGGAAGACATTGTAATTAAGTGGTAGGTAATTCAGTTTGTACAGTGTCAATGTGTAATTTGTAAATGTGAATACTAGACTTTTAGTTCACTGAGTAGTTTATATATATATATATATATATATATATATATATATATATATATATATATATATATATATATATATATGTGTGTGTGTGTGTGTGTGTGTGTGTGTGAGAGCATAAATTTGGGGATGTTACTGAGGAAGTCATTTGCAAAGGTTATATAAATAAAGGACTAACAGGAGGGTGTTTGTTTCCATGGAGCAGAAGCTGTTAACCTCAGACAACAGTTTCATGAATAATCCACTGAGGAGTTTGTACGTCATTCTGGGTGCTTGAATCTGCACTTGCTCTTAAACAACTTCGATGAATAAAGGTCACTGCAAGTACCAACTTTACTCTCAGGTAGCAATCATACCCTTTTAAGAGCACAGGCCCTCAGAACTCTCTCATATTTGTGTGGCTCCAGCTCCTTCCCAAACAGGATGTTGCTGCGGATTGTCCCTGGAAACACCCAGGGCTGCTGGGAAGCATAGGTCAACTCCCCTTTAACTTTTATGACTCCTTTATCCTGGGGCAGCTCCCCCAGAATGGTGGAGAGCAGAGAGGACTGTGAGACAGTGAAACAATGCAGAGTATAACAATTGGTCACAATAGCAGGAGGGAATAAGAAATGCAATAAGAAGGCAGAGAGAGAGGATGTAGTCACAGACCTTTCCTGCCCCAACCGGGCCAATCACAGCAAGCAACTGTCCTGGCTTTACAGTGAAGGACAAGTTTTGCAGCGTTGGAGCGTCCAGACTCTGTGTGTAAGGGATGCAGCACACATCTTCAGTCAAACTGAGTCGAAACGAGCGTATGTATGTAAGTATATTATCACTGCCGGAACAAAACCTTGTATCTCCTAAATGGCAACTATACGGCAGAAGGTATAAACTTTAACTTGTAATAGAAATTACTGTAAAAAGATTTTTTTTCAAGTTTTTTCAATTTCATCATGGAATTTTAATACATTGCAATGGTTTATAGTTTTCAAATCATGCAAAAAAAAAACTTTACAGTCTGAACGATCCATCAGCTGGACAAAAAAAAAATAAATCAGCTTATACTAACGCAGAATTTATGTGTTACCAATAAAGATGCCTAAAATTTATGAATCACTGATAATTAACAAGTGTAACAACTGAGCTTTAATTATATTTGATAATTCAGTTGGCAAGATGCCAATCATATTGGTCAGTTAAGCATCTAGAGTCCTAGATGCTTAGAGTGACTAATCTAGAGCAGAATTAGTCAGAATTTTTTGCTTCTTAAAATTAATATTGGTGACAAATTTTTCGTATCAGCCCAGTCCTAGTTTATGCGTGACACAGAGAGAGATTATGGTGCATTCACCTTGTCCCAGTAGCAGATGAGGTCATGGATCTCCAGTGACGCTTCCTTTTTCTCCTCTTGAGGCAATGGTACACTGTGCTTAACCAACTCATCCAGCAAAAGGAACTTCTGAAACCCAGACCACCACAAACACAGGGTCAGCAAATGTGCATGCGTTTACTGGTTTATTTGTTTTATTTGAATATGCATGACAGTCAACAGCTATTCTTCCTGAGTCCACATTAATATAAAATACATAAAACAAATTACAGATGATTACATGCAGAATGGTACATAAAGCTGTTTCATTCAAAATGACTTGCTGAGTACACAGCAAAATGTCCAGAAAGCAGCTTTGCTACTTTGTGTCACACCTGAAAAGATGTATATGATGTATATGGGTAGACAATTTCCATCTAAAGACATTAAAAATATATTAGAGCAAAGTTGTCACATATGGACCGAATGTTAACTTTTTCACCTCTGTTTTGTTGGCCTAATGTGTTAATCTTTGTATGGGCAGCGGTTGTGATTATGTGTGTGTGGTTTGTTTTTAACTTCAAGATATGGGTTTGAGATCTACTGAAACTGCAAGACAAAACTGTCAGAAATCAATCTGATCAAGTCACTTAGCAGTGTACAAGTGGAAAAAAAAATTTTTAAAAACAATCAACAGTTGGATAAAATGATAGCTATGCTATTATTGCCTAATGGTCTTAATACCAGACATCAACAGAGTATTTCATATGAGATTGGCATTCCTTGCTAAAGTACGTTCACAGGATTTAGGTACTTCATTGCTCAAATGAAGAAGAACTTAAACTAACATCATAAATGCAGACAGATTTGTTTACGACTCAAGAATTACATACTTTTTTTTTTACATTCTATAGTGACAGGATGACGAGAAACAGCCTACAATCATTGGGCCTGTTCGAGATGAACTGCCTCACAGTGGCTGGCAAGAGTTGCCGATTGCAGTTCAGGGAAGATCTGAGAAGAGAGTTGTCAAGTCGGACAGTTTTAGCGGCAGCACCCTACGTGAGCCAATAAATCAGACATCTAAACTAAAATCTAAAATCTAACTGGCATGCACCGTACCAAGTCATGTTTCATAATTACGTATGGACAGCCACGACTGTACTGTGAGCTGAGTGGAGGCTTAATTCTTAACACCCCACAGCACAGAATATCAGGGAAGATAATCATTCAAGAGCTTTCTGAAATTGGGACACCTTTTACACTTGTCAGGAAAGGCAAAATAGCCACAAATTAATCTTGATTATCCTGTAGTGTGGGCCAGGCATTAGTCAGCGACGACTGCATCAGGCTTACGATCACAAATTTGGCCTAGCTTTGCCATGTCAAACTATTTTAAAACATTTGCATAATCAAATTTGCGATAAATGATTAAAATATTTGACCTTTTTCATGACCTGCAGCTTTTATCTGTACAAAAACTCATTAAGCCACTTCCTCCATTCCCTCATATGAGCATGGAAGCTCCATTAACAGTGTGTTATAAGGCAGACTTCATGTCTAATTACACGATGACTTATTTTTAAGAACAGGCTATACATTAATTACACTGGGAATATTTATGATGTTAAATACTTCAGATAATTTGTTTTTGACAACTCTAATGCAACGTAATGTGTAAACTTTGACAGCTCTACACACTCACACACATAGAATGATGTCAGACACTGTGAGAGCCTACACATTTCCTGAAAATATTCAAAATAAACAAAAAGGAAGTATTGAGAATGCGTCTCCATTTTCAATCAAATAAAAACACTGAACATTCTCACATTATGCACATTGCACCCTCACAACCTATTTTTTCTAATGAATATAAACTTCAACAGTGGCATTATAACAGCGTTACATAATACAGCCTGCATTGGCCCCGTGCTTCGCTGCTGCAAGCTGATCTAAGATTAACCCAGTGAAATGACACCTGCCCCACTACATGCTGGAGTTGTACACAGAAGCTCAGTACAATAAAGCTAGCTTTTTATTTACCACAGGCTAATGATGCTAGCATCTTCCTGATTTATACAGGATATAGTCACTGCACTCGCCACTTCAAAACCTACAGCTATGTGTACAAACATTATCCACATACGTTTACGAAAGGAAAAAGCCTAATCTATTTGGTAAACCTGACCCCAAGTGAAGTCAAATATTGACTTGATGATACCTAAACAGATTTTCCTAAACTGCATGAAGCAAAAGCTGTGTTTGGTTAATTATCTGTGAAAGAGGTTGTAAATGAACCAAGAATACAAAATCTTTTGAAGTGAAACCAAAGTAAATAAGGAAAAACAGAAGAAGCACAAAAACAGCATGACTTGGCTGATGTCAGCATAGATGTCATCTAGGGTTATTGCATACAAAGAGCACTACCTTGATCCTGCGGATGCTGACGGCGGCCTCAGACACTTTCTCGATAGCCGCAGGAAAGAACAGCGTGACAGTGAGGCGGACGGCACTGTACAGCGACACCGCTACAAACACACGGCTGGCTGAGATTGTGTTTCCCACCAACACGTACACGGTGAACGTCACAAACACGATAATCTTGCTTGCCGAAAAGAAAGAGGCCATATTCAAGCCACGCAGGTAGGAGCTGCTCATGATCTTGGAAATCTCTTTCCTGAAAGAAATGAGGGAGCACGTCAAAATTAAATGAAAATAGTGTGAGGTTTGACCACAACGTTTCTAACAAAAGAAATAGTATTACATGCTTTCATATCTATTACTAATATTACAACAGCGCTGCAATCAGTAAATGTGACTTAATACTGAAGTTTATCTCTGTTCCCAGTGACCAGATGGGGCCAAAATCTCTAACCTCCTTTAAAATCTAACACCACAAAAAACAATAACACAAAAGTTAATGCTTCAAATGTAAAGATTCAACTGCATTCTAGGGCTGCCAAAGGGCCCCCCTAACAATTTAATCATGCCTCAAAAAACAACATATGAATCTGGAGCTGAAAACAGAAAAGAAAAAGAAAAGATACAGAGAAAAATCATGAAGATAAATATTACAACCCCATTTCCAAAGAAAGTTGGGACGCTGTGCAAACTGTAAATAAAAACAAATGTAAAGCCTATAAAATAAAAATAATTTAAACCCCATATTTCATTGAAAATAGTACAAGACAACATATCAAATGTTTTGAAACATATATGCCCATTTTGAATTTGATGCCAACAACACATTACAAAAAAGTTGGGACGGGGGCATGTTTACTACTGTGTTTCATCACCTCTTCTTTTATCAACTCTCTGTAAATGTTTGGGAACTGAAGAGGACTAATTGCTGTAGTTTTGAAAGTGAAATGTTTTCCTGTTCTTGTTTGATATAGAATTTCAGCTGCTCATCTGTTCGGGGTCTTCTTTGTCATATTTCATTTCATAATGTGCCAAATGTTATCAGTGGTGACAGGTCTGGACTGCAGGCAGGTCAGTTTAGCACCCGGACTCTTTTGATACTGAGCAATGCTGTTGTAATAGATGCAGAATGTGGTTTGACATTGTCTTGCTGAAATAATCAAGGCCTTCCCTGAAAAAGACGTTGTCTGGATGGCAGCATATGTTGCCAAAACATGTATCTATTGTTCAGCATTAATGGTGCCTTCACAGATGTGCCAGTCACCCACACCATGTGCACTAATGCTCCCCTACACTGTCATGAATACTGGCTTTTGACCTGTGCACTGATAACAAGCTGAGTGGTCTTTAGCCCGGAGGACACAGTGTCCATGATTTCTAAAAACTTCAAATGTTGAGTTGTCGGAGCACAGGACACTTTTCTGCTTCCCCTCAGGCCATTTCAAAAGAGCTCGGGCCCAGAGAAGGTGGCGGCATTCCTGGATCCTGTTTATACATGGTTTCTTCTTTGCATTTAAGAGTTTTAATTAGCATTTGTGGATGCAGCGACAAACTGTTCTCACAGGTTTTTTCAGAAGTTTTTTCTGAGCCCATGCAGTGATTTCCTCCACAGAATCATGTCTGTTTTTAATGCAGTGCTGCCTGAGGCCCCAAAAATTACGGTCAGCCAAAACTGGTTTTTGGCATTGTCCCTTGCATACAGAGATTTCTCCAGATTCTCTGAATCTTTTAAAATTATTATGTGTCGTAAATGATGATAAGCAAAAGTTCTTTGTTATTTTATGTTAAGAAACGTTGTTCTTGTATTGTTCCACTCTTTGCCTGTGCAGTCTCATCTTTACTTCTGAAAGACTCAGCCTCTCTGGGATGCTCTTTTTTATACCCAATCATGTTACTGACCTGTTGCCAATTAACCACCAGGTGTTTTTTTAGCATTACACAACTTTACCAGCCTATTGTTGCCCCAGTCCCAACTTTTTTAAACGTGTTGCTGGCACCAAATTCAAAATGGGCATATATTTTTTTAAAAAACAATAAAATGTTTTTTTTGAAACATTTTCAATAAAATATAGGGTTTAAATGATTTGCACATCATTGCATTTTGTTTTTATTTACATTTTTCACAGTGTCCGAACTTTTTTGGAAATTGGGTCGTAGTTTTTCTTTTCTGTGGTGTTAATATTGTGCTACATATTTTGCTTTTAGCTGGACAACAACAAGTAGTTTATCTGGGGTCTGTCTAATGAAACAGGTTCAATATAGGCTTTCTAAAAATGGTTCAGCTTCACAAAACATATAAAACACAAACATGGATAACATTTTCTACAACAGCAGTTAACAACTTTCCCTATCAATCCAGTCATTGTTATAAAATCCTATTTAGAGCCACACAAAGGCCTAAAGCGAGCCCTGATTATATGACAGAAGTGGACAAAATGATGAGAGGCGAGTGGCCTTATCCTCTACTCAAGTGTATATCCTGTCTATTAAGTAATAGAAAACAGTTCTTGTTCCAAATGAAAATAATTCTTATGCCAAAAAACAAAGAAGAATCTCTCTGCAAAAAGCCTTGCTATCTAGAACCATTAAATAACAATGAACAACTAAATACAGTCTTTATAATCTTCACATAGATCTAGAGAACAGGTTTCCAGGTTAACTTTGAACTTCAAGTCAAAAATCTCCAGGCAAACCATAGGAAATCATAGTTCAGCCCAGGCACTGCAGGTCATGTGCATGTTAACAGAGGCAGATAAAAGGTGAGCCTGGATCTTGTGGCTGGATATTATTAGTCTTGCACCCTGCGGTGGCTGGTGAGTTTTTAGTTGCCAACTGATGACATTCCTATGGATCTGCTTTTAAAGCCAAGGGTCTGAAGGTGGACTCCATTAACAGGATGCATACTGAACAGAAACTATAATCATACTCTACACATTTTTTGAGGACCAAGGTGCCCTTTTTCTATCATTCTTAAAGGGAAAGACAGATTTTGCATGCTGTTATATTGTGCCCTGCCTGGCCATCTTTTGCTCAGACTACTCCAGGTGCCCTAAGGTGGGAAAAAAGTGACCTCTATTTTGCATTTTTCCTGTGCTAAACAATGGGATGAAAAAGGAAGGCAGGCCTTCGACCCAGGTATCCTGAACTCCAAAGATCAAGATTAGCGTAATATAAACAAAAAAAACAACTTTTTTTATTATTAGTTTAGTTTGTTTTTACAAGCAGCACCATGCTTGCTAATAACAGATTACTTTCTACAAAGGCATGTGATAGAGTTTTCTGCCGGTATATACTGAAACAACAAGCCACCACAGCTGATCGACAGTTACAATGTCACTGCTGCTTAGTAACAGTGGGACATAGGGCCAGAGGCGGCATTCCAAAAATGCCTGAATCCCAAGGAAAAACAAACAAACAAACAAACAAAAAATAACATAATACAAACCCCTCAAGCTGCAGTCCACCACGCACTACCAGGTTGAGAAAATTATGACTCAGCATAGCTTACTTTCTGACATCGTTGACCAAGGCTGCAAAAGGCTTTTCCCAGGCATACATCTTAATGATGCGAATCCCAGACACCACTTCATTCATTGTGCGTATTCTGCTGTCAGTAAAAGCTGCTGTTTTACTCCTGAGACAGAGAGAGACATGACAGAAATAAAACTTTAAAAAACTTCCTTTTTCCTCTACAATGAATATACTGAAAGTTGCTGAAGAGGAAATAACTTCTTGTGGTTTTTCATGAGCCTGACATTACAAAGCAAGATCCCAGAGGACTGTGACAACGTTCATAACTGAAAGAATTTAATGTGAATTGCTACGTAAGACATTGTTAAGTGGATATTCTGGTATTTAGAAATGTATGCAAGTCTGTGCATTGTATAACCACTTTTACAACCACTTCTCATCACATGCTTCAACAACCACTAGGAACATTATGGCATTATGAGGCCTTTGAGGTCAACTGAACTACATCTAAACTTCTACACACAACAGTTTTGCAACATACTGGTAATTTTGTAACCTTGCAACGTGACTTCTGGTAAATTTTGGCTCTGCGAACCTCACACTGTGCTAGACTGTAAGAGTTCACACTGAAATGGGAGGTCCATGCAAATGAGGTAGCACAAGATGTGCTGATACTTTGTGAAAACGTAAGTAATTCCAACAAGAACTTTATCTCATTTTAGCACAACGTTTAAACCCAATGCAATCTCATAATTTTGTGATTCTGCCAGAAGACGCAAGCAAAAGGTGTACCGGAAACATGCAGCAATTACAGTGTATCATAGCATGATGTCTTATCTTTTATGTTCTTATTCAACAACATACATAATTGTAGGCTACTTGCAATGCGTCATAGTTGCTCTCTCTCACCGATACATGGAAGAGTAAGAGCACATGAACTTTATGTTACCAGAGCTGCACCAAATAACCTAAGATGCAGAAGTGACTTCATCTGTGTCTTTGACTGCATTGCACATGAGTTTGACCTGTCATTTCTTGCGAATGATCTCTCACCTAATTTGCTGTGGTTTACAGGCCCATATCCTACATTCTTCTTCATTTTATTTTTTCCTCAGAGATCCATTTATAACAGTTGTATGGTTTTATGTACCAAAAATGGATCACTATTTCTCAGTCTCTCTTTATCCTTTAGAACAGGCTGTTTTTGTTACAATACCTATACGACTGATATGTGAATGAACTCTGCTCTGATTAGCTGTCCTGTATTGTCACTCAGTCAAAAGCAATGTGGGCTGAATCACTCCTTATAACTTCAGTGTGAATGGGTGGGACTAAACTACTGTACGCTGCTGAATATGTGGATGTATGTAAACGAGCTGGTTCTTGTAATATTGCAGAAACAATTAATTCAAAACAGGCTGTTGCAGCTTCCTTTCCATATATGGACTCTATGGAGCAGACAGTGAACAGCATTTTTTAAAACTTGCACAACATTGACATATTACATCTTATACTACTTTTTTTTTTTTTTTTAATTTTTTACCCGATTTTCTCCCCAATTTAGTTGTCTCCAATTCCACCCCGCTAGTTAGGACTCCCCCAATCACATGATGCTATCAAAGCTAGGAGGGTGAAAGCTAACACAGGCTTCCTCTGAGACCTGTGAAAGCAGCCACCGCTTTCTTTTCGAGCTGCCGCTTACGCAACATCACTGGACAGCCGAACGCGCTCGGAGGAAAGCGCCAACCGCCAGATCTGCTACGTCAGCTAACAGACGCCTCCCCTGACTAGCATCGCGCTGAGTGAGTGATGGGGGGAGAAGGGCAGCCATCCCATCCACACACCCAGAGAGAGCGAGGCCAATTGTGCTCTCTTGGACTCCCGGCTACGGATGGCTATAGCATCACCAGGGATCGAACTTGCGATCTCCTGATGATAGGGCCAACGCTTAGACGGTTGCGCCACTCGGGAGCCCTTATACTACTCTTTTATTCATAAAAAGCAAGGGAAATTTGTTTTATAGTGATATGTGAGCTTTACAGCATTAAATGAACTCACTACCTTGAGGAGAAGGAGGTGAATATTTGCTTCTGTCAGACTAGCACTTTGCACTTAAGCACCTCAGCCTTCTCTGCAGTGAAGCATACTTGGCACTGTCAAATTTAGATACTGCATTAAGCGACACTGACAAAACGCACACAGCATGGATTTGTGGCATCAGAAAATTGCAAAGAATTTTTGGACACACCCTCATGTCTCAGTTTTATTAAGCAGTGTTTGACGTCGGTCATTGACTCAGGAAAACATAAGTCTTCCTGCTTAATTTCCTTTCTGAATCTCGGCTTAAATTTCTTCAAGACCTTATCATGTGTGCAGAAACAGTTGTGGACATTTATGTACCTGAATTTGGAGAAAAGACGTCCAAACACTGTTTGCAGCGGCATCAGAAAGACAAGCACCGCCATACCCGCCAGACAAGATGGTCCGATCTCTTGCCACAGAAGGCCGATAACAGCTGCAGCTTGCAATGGTCCCACCCAAAGAAAGTGCAAGAAAATTGTCACCTGAGGAAAAAAGTTCATTTTAATGGAGCTCATATACAGACCAAAAGAATGCTGGCATGACTATGGGTAATGTTTCCCATGTACTAGAGAAACCTGCATTTCCTGTAGTAGTACTTGGCAGCCAATAAGCATCAAGAAATGCTTGGAGGATCGACACTATTTGGGGACATGAAAAGACAGGAAAATGTAATCTTGGTTAAGCAGACATTTAAATAAATAAATCTGACTGGAGATTACAGATGAGTCTGCGAAAGAGAGAGAGATTAAAAAACTGCTGCTACAGTGTTTACCTCTTACAGATAACACGTACTTGTTACATGCTGACGAGTATTGAGCAAGCAGCAATGACCAAAGAAAGACAGAGAGAGAGATAACAATGTAATATAAATGGCATCAAAATGAAAGGACAACCTCCATTCATTTTGATGGCACTTTCTCATATGTTCCTTACACCAAAGTATCTACTTTGAAAGCCACTTTGCTAATTTGACTATCAAACTGTCTGTAATGGAGTTTTCGCACATGTTGATGTTGTGCCTTTGGCTACAACATTTTACATTTTGGCCACTAATAATGCAGAGTCTGTGGCCTGAGTGGCCTCTTGTTTTGGATATTTGCTTATTTCTCTGTACCAAATGACCAGACCAGTTGAATTTACATATATTCACAAATATTACAGCAAATATTTTTTACCCAAAATTTAGAGCCTGTTTGGGTGGACATGGAAATGACTGCATCGAATCAAATATTGTCAGAATTCTCCAACTGTAACATTAATGTTAACACAACGATAGCTAACTCTTCAGACTCTGACTGGGTTGTTCAAATATGCCAGTGGCAATGCTGACAGAAAAAAAAAGAAAAATATATAACCAGAAGCGGCAATGAGCAGGTTCAGGAATGCATCGGCACAATAAGCCCTCATGCAGTTTTAGACAACTAGGCCTAAAAAGGCCTAAGGCAGTTTGGGCCTTATTTATAGAGAGAGGATGAAAAGTGCAAAGAAGTCTAAGTGGAAGTGAGTCAGAATTTGTCAAAAGAATACTGCATGTTATGACTGTTAATCAGGGAACTTTCACAAATATATTTATGAGTTCTGTTCAGATTGACTGTTTGACTTTTGTATAATAAGCTATAGTCTTTAAAAGAATAAGTCAAAATACCAGACAAGAAGTCCAATTTATTACATAACATGTAATTACAAAGTTATTCAGGTCAGTGAACTGAATCACATGGCACCAATTGTTTAATTAGTAGACTTCAATATAAAATTATAATAGCATTTTAAAAGATTTTAAGGCCAGTCTGGACCAAATTTTGCAGACCTCAGAGTTTCAATATATATACAAATATTTATAATTTTGAGATGATCGGATCAATGAATGACCACATGGCCACAATGATTAACTGATAGTGTGAGAAAATGATGAGCAAAAAGTCAACATTTTAGACCAACTTCGAAAAGTAAGGATCAAAACCCAGAGACTAGTCTGAAAAACGCAGTTCAGAAACAGTTAACGATTGCAACAAAACCTATGCATTTTTAAAATACACTTGTAACACAATTTTTTTTGGCAAACTGTACTACATTACAGGAAAACAGTTATATGACCATAAATAAAAACAGGTACATATAATGTGTAATAATTACTTGATTTTCATGAACAGCACCCCCAGTGGCCAAATCTCTTGAAACTTCACTGGTTGTTAGACAGTGCCTACATAGAGATATCATTCAAGTTTCATGATGACTTGTCAATGTTAAACCTGTCAAATGCCTGCTGACATATGATTGGCTGACAGCTGCCATAAATTCTAATGTATCAAACTGTCCTCAGATATTCATAATAGTCTGTCTAATAGATGCTACCTGCACAATTTCAGCTTGATCAGATGTACGGATGCTGAGAACAGTTATTTAGCAGTTATAACACCCCCCTAACAATGTATGCACACCAAAATTGATAGGCTACCTCAGAATCTACTACTGAATAAGGCTTCAAAAGTTTGAAATTTTTAGAGTTATAGAATTTTAAAATAATTATGAATAATTCCAAAAGGGTTCATTAGCATATAGCAGCCATATTGTTTATAAAAGTCAACATTTCTTTGATAATTATTGAGGTTCAGGCTCTTGTGAATTTTTTTAAATCAGTTAAATGAGGATCCAGTGAAAACCTTAGGACTAGTTTGCAAAAGCAGGTTTTGCATATTATGCAAATCTGTGAAAAATGTAAGAGGCAAAGCAAACAGATCCAAATTAGAAATTCGTTTGGCTTGACCAAAGGAAAAATAATAATAATTTTGCCTCTAAAAAATTTGGTTTACGTGTTACAGGGACAAATGCATTAGGCATCCCCCGTTAGGCTGACTGGGCTTAGTCATGCATCTGTGTAACCGAAGGTAATACTACCTATTGCCAAAGTTTCACGTCTCTACGACCTACTGCTTGGTCTGGCCAAATTGTTTTAGGGAAGAATCAGACTAATAAGACAAATCCCAGACCTGCCAACCTTGGAAAAATGTTTTGCATAGCACAATAGATGCAAAAAACAAAACAAAACAAAAAAACAAAAACAAAAAACAAGGTTAAAAAGAAAGCTAGCTTGCAAATTACATAACATTGGGTCAATGTTACTAATGTGAAATATTTTTCCAAAGTTGGCAAGTCTGCGTTAACTTAACTCAATTCAATATTTCAACTTTCCACAAGCCCTTCAACCTGTTTAGTATTGCAAAGGTGTAAAAAGAACCGTCCTCCCTTGTGGAACCAGCCATACGAAATGAGTAGGGGGCGAAAAGGCAAGCAGTTGCATTAACAGATCTGTAGGTGCACTTTAAGTTACTCAGGTCGTTTAAAGTTAGGCACATGCTTAATTTGAGCACATGCTCCAAGTACACTGAAAACACCCATCAATTCACTTGATTCCTGTTTATTTTTTCTGCACAAATGCTGGATGCCTAATTTATTCACATACAAACTATAATGTTTGATCATAAATAACCCGTCAGAAAGAGCCTTTAAAAAGTACTTGATAGGTGTGTGGGGGAGTTGCTTTTTGTCTCAGTAATTCAAAGTCTCAATGAGCGTGTAAATGAGCTACACACACAAATAACAATTCACAGTCTTTTAACAGAGGCCAACATGTTACCCAGGAACAAAAGCTCTCTAAATTATCTCACTCATCCTGCCAAATATGTAGCCTCTGGCTTGCAGCCTCGGAGTTCTAGATTTAAGTGAACAGTGAGAGGGGCGACAGCCAACTACAGAAGCAATTAAAACAACCTGCAGGCCAAGCAGCAATGTCAGACCCTGTTTTCTCTAAAAGAATGATTCCAAGAGGGGCTGGGTAGAGAAATCTAGATTAAATGCAAGAGTAAGAAGACAAAAGTCAGTTTCAGAAACTACCTACCTCGTCAAACTTGTTGACATCATTAGATAAGAGGTTGACAATCTGTCCCGTGGTGGTCTTACCCATAGCGACACTGCTAAGGCACAAAGCCTGGGGGGAAGAAAACATATTTGAAAGGTTCTCTAAAACCACTCAAGGCTCATAAACAAGGTGGATATGTGCAACAAAATATACAATGAATTACAGCGCTACAGTCATTCAGACATGAACATATTACCCTCATTTTGTATTGTATTAGAGATATACTGAAATTCTGGCCACTGAAAAATTTCAGAGCAGCCTGAGATTATTGCTGAAAATACTGTCCAAAAAAGCAAAGGATTAAATACATCTACAATAAAGTGTCACAATCTAACACTTAACAAATCATTTGAATGCTAAAAAAAATGAGACGCAGTCATTAAATAAGCTGTTTTCTTCGCTCTCCTGCACTGGTCAGCAAAAACATATTCAGTTTGAGTGGCAGCAGATCAACTGAAACATACAAACATCAAGAGAAACATACAAGCATGATCCACTGCTGCTTACATCAATGTTTTATGCAGTCAAAAATGCGTACATCCTTTTTTGGCATTAACTGATTTAATGAAATTCTTTACTGGAAATCGCATATTAAACATGGCGATTATCACCTTTGAAAGATCGTCAGCATCATTATAAAATTAAAAAGCATAAATAAAACGGCAAATTATACAGACAAAAAAAAATTACTTTCTGCTATTGGTTTCTGCTGATTGAGTCCTGAAATTCCCCCAAAAAAATCCCAAACAAAAAAAAAAGTTCCTTGACCCAATTCACAAAAGTTTCATATGGATATGAGACTACCAATATACACAACTTCACAGTGCCTGACAAGTAAAGGCATTTAGGAGAGCCAAACCTTCTTGTAGATCATGTGGCACATGGCGATACGTATCTTCATGCCAGCTCTTTGGACGTGGTAGAAGTAGAGATGGTGTAGAAGCGCAAGGCCCAGTGTGGAGAGAGAGACCCCGGTAACATAGCCATATGCCTCATACAGTGCACCCATGTCCTGAGGGTTATAGTTCTCAAAGTACTGAATCAGCTTGCCCAGAAACACTGGCTGCACCAATTTAATAACTTCCTGTAAAGACAGAGGCAGAAAATGATGTAAAATAATAGCAATTTCATTTTAACATAATGAAAAGATTTGTAGAGCAACATAACGACATAATGAATTTCTGCTCTCTATGTACCTCAATAAGGGTGAATATGCCAAGAATGGCATATGACTTCCAGTAGCACTTGATAATGGCTTTGGTGAGTTTAGGAGTTCTGAGCTCTTTGGTTGCCATCTGAACCTCACGGTCCCAATAGCTGAGTGAGTAAGTGAAAGAAAGAAAGAAGGAAAGAAAGAAAGAAAGATAGAAAGAAAAAAAAAAAAGAAAGAAAGAAAAACGTAAGACAGACAAAGAGATCACCCAGAATTATTTTTATGTCTTGTTCTGTCTAAATCAGATATGAACATCACATGAAAAGCATTAAAAACAAACATAACACACTTTTGTTGTTTGATGGGTTAAAATGCTTCTATGTAAACCAACATAAACTAACCAATAGTCTACATTCACTAAGTCTGTCACTGTGATCTTGGCTATCCCTACTTCCCATAGTAAAACGCATAGTAAAAATTAGATTTCAGCTAATAGGGATTTTTTTTATGAATCACCAGAACCAAACACTGTTGGATTTGACTAGGACTGGGTATCATGCTCACATTAATAACATGCAAATGTTATCAGATCGCCAATCACCAGTGTAGATTTTGAAACAAACATGCTTATCGGTTCATTGATGCTTATAGGACATACTACTTGGGCAGTGAAATTTAGTACTGAGTGACATGAAATTTTTCAATACTCTGTAATATTAAGTAATTAAGTAATAGTAAGTAATTCAGTTAATACCATAAAGGTATTAAATTTAAATACCCAGCCTTTTATTACTTATTACATTCATGATGGTGCCACTTTGAACAGTATAGCATGGGTTAATAAAGGTAACGCACCTGCAGAAATTAAACTTAAAAGAAATGCCCTGAAATATCCACATTCGTCAGAGTGCTGTTCAGAATGGAAGCCATGAAATACCAATTTATCGGAATATCAATTAGTGCAGGGTTACATGCTATTTGGCTGTGACCCCAACAGCTCTGAATACAATATGACTGCAGGGTACAGCACTTGTGTGTGCATTTTTGCATGCTCTGGGTAACCTTAAAAGTACTTTTTAAAAGGATTAGTTTCTCTTCAGTACTGTGTCAAAAGGAGTCTGACTGAATCATAAATACTATAGCTGGAGATTTTTAAGACAGATCACTGTATCTCAGACTAGGATGACAGTACTGTTTTTTTATGCTTACATGGTTGATGAGAGAAATACTTACAGTGTAAGTATGAATTTCATGGCTTATGAGTTTCTTTTTCTACAGTATGTCACACACATGCAAAAGATATCAGCTAAACTGTCCTGAAGGTGAGAGTTTCCTCCTGAGGTGTCTTAAAAAGTCCTGCAGCTCCCATTCCATCAGTTTCATGAACAAACCCTGCCCCCAACGGCTCTGCACAAAACCAGTGCTTGGCACAAATAAAATTACTGTACTTGGTATACTATACCTGCTATTCACATACTAACACCTTAGACTTTAAATAAACTTTAACAAGGGGCATCAATTCCCAAACAAAAATATATATAAATAACCAGATGTGTAGCATACTTTTGTACCTCCCCTTATAATTACCAAATCAAGACTGTAACAAAAAGTACAAAACACAATCGTTAGGATATTTAAGCCAGCATGACTTAGTGCTTGTAGATTTTAAAGTATGTCTGATACTGAGTGTTTATACTGTCGCTTAATGTACCTCTGAAGTTCCTCCCCCAGTCTTTTGGACCCATCCTCAGGAAGCACTCTGAACATGTCATCTTCCTCAAGCCTTCTTTTGTATCCAATGCGGAACAGGGGGTTCAACCAGCTGAACCAAAGGAGAAAAGCTTCCATGATTATTCAAAGCAATGATATTAGATCTGTTAGTGTACTTAGTAACTGCTATTTAAGACAATGTATTTCATATGAGAACATCAATAGTTCTAAAGCTAATATTTGACATAAAAATGACCAAAGTTTACTGCAGACTCAAGGATTCTTGATAAGAACACTAAAAGGAAACAGATGTGCTTGTGTAAGCTATTGGATTTCCTGATTAAAAAATACTATTGCTAAACAAGAGTTACCTACTTCAAAAATCAGAAGCACTAGAAACTCACTGTATGAGATAAGCCACAGGTGAACTCACTTTAACCTGTGTTTCCAGAAGGACATGGCAAAGACACCAGCAAACATGACTTTACACAACAACCAGTCTTCGTCACCTCCTACGCTGAATTTAATCATTATATGGTTACTTTGCGTGTTTCTTGTAACAACTTCAATTGCACAATGAGTACAATGCGTTTGTTAGCTAATATGTTTGTCTGGGTTTTTTGTTTGTTTTTATATACCCCTGGTATATGTGTTAATTTTTAATGTATGCTGCCCCTCTTTTGTTCGTACATTATGTATTGACGCGTAAAAAATTATAAAACTTTACACAATGACCACTTCTGTGTCTGATACCACAACCCATTGACAAAGATTTTTGTGACAGTAGCTCAGAAGACTCCCGAGGAAAAGCAGTCATGCTGTGACATGATGGTCCCTGCGGGGGATGTATGGATATATGTTGAGTTGCTGATTTAATTCTGTTGCTGACGTGAACCAGTTTGGCCTGTAACCCAAAACAGTGTCCTGCACTGGATTTTTAACATTTTCCGAAGCAACTACAGTGAAGAACTGACGTAACCGCGTTCACCATCTGCCTGAAAACAGCGCAGCCAACGACTTCTGTTGCCTGTGAGCTAATCTGGCTAGTTCCTACACTAGCTAGCTAGCTCATTACTTCTACTCCCATTTACTTTTCTAAACGGAGACACTCTCGATGGACCGAAGGCATAACTACATAACGTGTCTGGAGCTTACTGCCTCTCCAGTAGCTGAAGAAGACTTCCTCTAAACTAAACTAGCGTTAACTTACATACAGACTGCTGGTCTGCTCCGGCATCGTAGTAGCCGACTACTCACCAGAAGAATATCTGCGAGAAAATATTAGCCGAAGCGGCCGGATTAGTCTTCGCATCTTTGCTTACAGGCTCCATTGCGACTGGTAACTAGGCTTCAGGCATTTGCTAGGCACCCACGTGCTGCACCACAGACTTTCTTCTTCACTTCGGAGACGATTCCTTATAAACTGTTGTGTAACTTTCCAGCGCGCGCATGGCAGCGACCAGGTGATAGAGGCTCTCTCGCGCTGCTGTATCGTGGAGGCGTGACTGCCGTAGATCAAGGACGCCGCCCAGTTCACCCGCGAGCGCACAGCTATTTTCTCTGAAATTCTATTGGTCACTTCGCCGCGGTATAGATAACAGGGGGCTCGAGCTGTAACTACTGGACTTAATCTAAAGAGAGTAATAACTTACAGGTGTTTTAAATTATTAGTTGACAATTAGTTGATAATCCCTTTGGAGATAATGTAAGTTTATGGCATGACAAAATAGTAAAAACTATTATTTTGGTTAAGAAGCAGTTAAAATAAATCGGAGCCCAGAGCTTAAAAGACACATATCATGACAAATATTTTTTTCCTTGAAACAAAAGTTTAAAAGATTAATGTAGAATGTAAAAGCATTGTTAAAGCTCCAAAATGTACCGTGCATTCCCAGTCCATGTATGGGAACAAAGCTGCAAAAACACGAGGTTTTGAATGAATTGTTATTGTAATTTCACGAAAACCGGTGTATTTACACGTATCCGCCTATTCAGCCTAAACCAACAATCATTAGGTTAAGAAAGCATCAAATGTTCAGTTTTATTGCCTTTAGTTATGGAGTTAGTTAGAATTTAGATACTCATGGTTCTGTCTTGTCCTTTCTATGTAAGATATGGTCCTTTTTTTCAGTCAGTATAAGCTCCATGACTAACGCAATGTCCTAAAGTAGTCATCTTCACTTTGGTCGTCTGAATTAACAAAGAAGAAACAGCAGAGCAAAATAAGAAAGTCTAAGTATACGGCCATTTGTATTGGATTTGGGTCAACAAAACTGGTCAGGTAACCTTGTATAACATGGTGTATTAATATGATATTTCGGAGGAGAAACATGTATGTGCACGATTATGATGTCCTCATCTCCCCCCCCCTCTCTCTCTCTCTCTCTCTCTCTCTCTCTCTCTCTCTCTCTCTCTCTCTCTCTCTGACCCCCCTTTATAGGATTTCCGCTAGATAAGCCTCTGAAAGGGCTGTGCATGAAAGATGCACAATGAGAGACAGAACAGGTGGCTGCTACTCTGATAAAGGGAATGCTGAAAGACACACACACACACACACACACACACACACACACACACACACACACAAAAGAACCTTTTGCAATAATCTAATCAGAATAATGGGTCGTAATAACAAATAAGACAGTCTTATTTAACATACAACACACCCATCCTTTTGCACTGCAACATCTTTACTAACAAAACGGTTTAAACAGTAAAGAAAATCTGAACAGTAATGACCTCTTGAAATGACAGTAATTGGAGTCAGGTGTTGCTGTATGTCAGGGTGTGGGTTTGACCTGCTCTGTCATATGAAAAATCACACACCTGCTCTTCAAAACAGATTTCTGTTCTGTTCAAGTGCAGTATAGCAGAAGAGACTTCTGAAGACCTCAGAAGACAAGTTGCTGAAACTCATAATACTAGAAAGGTTTACAAAAGAACTTTGAACTCCACCAGCTCACAGTCAGACAAGTTTACAAGTGAAAGAATTTCAGCATCAGGCCATTGAATTTCAAGCTGTGTCAGGAACTTCTACAGATTCTACATATTGTCTCTCTGTCATGCAACATTTTCCAAGAAACAGAAATAAAACAGCAAACAGAAGACATTCCAAGTAAAGATGCTGAGTCAGAGTCTTGGACTCAGTCCTCATTGAAATGATGTGGTGTGAGGCAGTTAAAGCAAGACATCCAAAAATACAGGAACAGTTTAGTATACATCAAAGGGCCAAAATGCTGCACAGGACTGATCAGCAGCAACAGAAATTGTTAAGCTTCAGGTGATTGATGATAACTATGGTTCTATTAGTTACTAAATATAGACATTTATATACTTGTTTGTTCAGTGACAGAATTGTTTATATTATTTGTTCAACAGAGATATGACACTATAAAATGCTGTATGTGTTTGTTACATAAGATTTTCTTTATCATAATGACTTGGATGAAGATGAAATCAAATTTTAGAAAGCTTCCTTGCAGAATTCCAAAGGGTTCACAAACTGTAAATGCTACTACATCTACACTAAAAGCTTTTTCCCCACAACAACCTCAGGAACCAAGAGAATATTTATTTCAAGGAAAATAGCACTTGAGACCAGAATAATGTCCCCAAAAGGAATGTTATTTTTTGTCCATCTTCATAAAACCATTTTCATTTGAAAACAAAATGCTTTTAATTATAATTTTGGCCATCATACTGCAAGGCAAAGGCACCTCATATTAACTGTTCAAACTGGTTTGCATATCCAATTTTTATCACTTGTAAAGAAGACCTATGTTCATCAAAAAGTGATTTACCGGGTGAGCAAGCTGCTGGGCGAGTCATGCTGCGTTCATCAGAAAAAGGCAAAGTGATGAGTCATACCTGCAGTAGTAAAGTCTGAACCTTGTGCAGGTATTACACTCTTCCAGTGCAATCACAGCTCACTGAAAACCCATAAACCTTGGATCAGTGCCATTTCAGGCCTGTAGAAATCTTGTGATAAGCTTAATACAGGATTAGTCTTTGACTAGCTTAATGTTCACCATATTATTCAGCCCTAAGAGCCAACAAGGCTGCCAGTTCCATTTCATTCTCATGAATGAAGCCTCTTATCTCAAATTTGCCACATTAATCTGTTAATGATTTACATTAGGATGTAATCTGTCATCTTGTTACGTAATACAAAATAGCATTATAACTTGTTGACAGGTAGTGTTTCATACCAGTTTTTATCAACATTTACACATTCCTCGTGAATGATAATATAATTTTACTGGATGGTAGGTAGTATAGTCTTCTGGGGTTCGCTATTTGGCCATTAGTCCACAACCAGAGGGTGAATGCCCTCTTCAAACTGAATCTTCTAACCTCTGTCACTGTTTTTACTGAATCTAGCCTGAGGTCACCCTGTCTTTTTTGGCACAGCTATTTCATTTTCAGCTAATGCAGTTGCATAAGGAAGAGAAAAGTCAAAGGAAAGTGAAAAAAACAGGGGTTTCCAAAACTGAAGTTAAAACACTATTAACAGATACAGAGAAAATGGAAACTCCTAACAATCATGCAAGACATGATAGACCACGAAAACTGACTGTCTGATAAACAGTGCTTGAAGCTTTAATTTCTGAGAAAATTAAGCTCCACTTTTGCTTCACATCTGACAAAATCCACAGATGTTTCGGTCTATCCTTCCACTGTGCGAAGACAACTCAAAACTATAGGCCTGAAACTATGTGTAACTGTGAAGAAAGCTGTTACTGAGAAAAGGAAGTAGAACAAAAAATACCTCAACATCAATAAATGTGTTTGGGATAACAGTAAAAATGACACTTTTTATTTTTGAAGTGAAAAGAAGAAAACAGAACTTCTGCAGTAAAACTATACACAAAAAATCTTCGTGTTAAAAACTAAAAAATGCTCTTTTTCTGGCTGCTAGATGTCTTTTCACTCTTGTTCTAAGAATTTTCACTCCCTCTTCCTAGCACAATGCTTGTAGTTCAGTGATATTCATGGGCTGATTTGCATGTACAGCATGTCTGAGATCTACCCACAGATTTTGAGTCAAGTTCAAGTCAGGGGACTGTGAGCCATTGCAAAAGCTGCCGCTTTTGTTTCGTGAAGTACAACCCCATTTCCAAAAAAGTTAGGACACTGTGTAAAATGTAAATAAAAACTAAATTCAATGATATGCAAATCATGTCAAACATATTTTTAAAGCAAAATACTACAAAGACAGTATATCAAATGTTGAAACTAAAAAATGTATTGTTTTTTGAAAAATATATGCCCATTTTGAATTTGATGTCAACAACACAGTCCAAAAAAGTGGGACGAGGGCATGTTTACTACTGTGTTTCATCACTTCTTTTTTTATCAACTATAGGACGTCAGCTGCTCAACAGTTCGGGGTCTCCTTTCCGTCGTATTTTTAATTTCATAATGTGCCAAATGTTATCAGTGAAGACAGGTCAGGACTGCAGGCAGGTCAGTTTAGCACCCAGACTCTTTTAATATGGAGCAATGCTGTTGTAATACATGCAGAATGTGGTTTGACATTGTCTTGCTGAAATAATTAAGGCCTTCCCTGAAAAAGACGTCTGGATGGCAGCATATGTTGCCAAAACATGCATATATCATTCAGCATTAATGTTGCCTTCACAGATGTGCCAGTCAGCCACGCCATGTGCAGTAATGCACCCCATATACCGTCATAAATACTGGCTTTTGAACTGTGCACAACAGCCTGGAGGACACAGCGTCAATGATTTCCAAAAAGAAATTCAAATGTTGATTCGTCGGACCACAGGACACTTCTCCGCTTCCTCTCAGTCATTTTAAATGAGCTCGGGCCCAGAGAAGATGGCAGCATTCCTGGATCCTGTTTATGTACAGTTTCTTCTTTGCATTTAAGAGTTTTAATTAGCAATTGTGGATGCAGCAAAGAATTGTTTTCACAGGCAGTCATTTTTAGAAGTGTTCCTGAGCCCATGCATTGATTTCCTCCACAGAATCATGTCTGTTTTTAATGCAGTGCTGCCTGAGGGCCCAAAGATCATGGCCAGCAAGTACTGGTTCTTGGTCTTGTTCCTTGCATATAGAGATTTCTCCAGATTTTCAGAATCCTTTAATGATATTATGTACCGTAGATGATGAAAAGCAAAAGTTCTTTGCTATTTTAAGTTGAGAAACGTTATTCTTGAATTGTTGCACTATTTGATCGTGCAGTCTTTCACAGAGTGGTGAACCCCTCCTCATCTTTACTTCTGAAAGTCTCAGCTTCTCTGGGATGCTTTTTTTCTAACCCTAACCCAATCATGTTATTGACCTGTTGCCAATTAACCACCAGGTGTTTTTAAGCATTACATAACTTTACCAGCCTTTTGTTGCCCCCGTCCCAACTTTTTTTGGAACTTGTTGCTGGCATCAAATTTAAAATGGACATATATTTAAAAAAAAAATGAAATTTCTCAGTATCAACATTTGATGTGTTGTCTTTGAATCATTTCAATGAAATATAGGGTTTAAATGATTTGCACATCATTGCATTTTGTTTTTATTTACATTTTTCACAGCATCCTTTTTTAACTTTTTTGGAAATGGGGTTGTAGTTAACGTTGGTTTTGAGGCATGTTTTGGATCACTGTCTTGATGGAGAAACCAGCGTTTCATAGCCGTCCCCTGCTTTGTAGGCATCACTTAGCTCAATTTTAGAGCCAGCTGCTTAGAGGATGGTTGTTGAGTGTTAGCACAAGGTTTGAAGAGTCAGAGAATTTATTATTCTATCAACAATTCCTGATGTGCCTAACCAGCCCTTACAAGCCAATAGAGGCCTATTGAGTTAAATATATTAAATAACAGGAAAGGTGGTCATGCTTTTGCACATGCCTCAATTATTATTATTTTTTTTAACTTAACTAAATACAAGGTAACTTTGCATTAATTTTTTTTTTTGGAGTTTTTTAAGAGTTCACTGCAGAGGTTATGTTTACTTCTTTTTCACTCCAAAAATCTGCAAAATATGTAATTTGGCCAGTGGTGCTCAAACAAAAAGTGGATCGTCTGAAGAAAAAAGGCAACCAAAGACTTCTGGGGTGTGGAAAAATTCTGCACATTCCTTTGAAAAACTGAAAGCAAGTCTCCCAAAAATTTTAGATCTAGAATATTACATTAGCAATTGAATTAATAGTACAACGCAGGCATTGGACAATAAGCTTTGAAAAACTATTTTGGTTACATTAATCCAAACCTTTTAAGAGTACTAATGCATTCAGACTGCTACTTTAAAAAAGACTGACAGATTGTCATTATACAAAATGTGACTTTATGGATTTTCAAGTTGTAAACTAGCATGCTTATGTCACTGTAAACTGACTTTACATCGGCTTGCCTAGGCACAAAGCCATCCCTGACTAATTGTATTACAGCAGAATCGACGTATCTAATTAGTTAATGTTCCTTTGGTTAAAATATTCCATTTGATCTTTGACCAGAAGATGCATCCCAGTCAAATTTGCTCGTCATATTTATGTTGATATGATGAGTTGGTTTTAAAGAATGGCCTTCCCGTTTGCCCGCAGAGATTATTTAATGAGCAGACTGGTGTACAGTTCACACGTTCTTAGAGCAACACCTCTCAAGGGATGCTATGTGGTCTCCATGACAGCTCCTACTTTGTTTGATGTTCATTAATACTCAGTTGCACTCAGCATCCATGCATTAGCTAGAGCAATTGCTAGATGTACTGATCTCCATTCTCCCCCAGACAAGTGTACTGTGTCCTGACCAACATACTATGCAGTCATTTTGTTCTAAATAGAGGTAGATAAATATAGTAGTAGCCGAAACTCATATTTAAGGTACTGTATTTATTGCTTCAATCAAATAATGACTCAGGTATACATAACAGTAGCACAGAGGACAAAAAAATACTCTCAGGAGTACTGAGGTCCCTACAGATCTTCTTAGAACAACCCTCATCTGTCAGCATAGGAACTGAAGTGTGCTAGGTATCTTCTTTTTTGGGATATTTTGAATGCTAAAGTTTGAAAATGAGAGATGTGAGCAACAGCAAAGCAAGTGTTGTCCCCAACAGATCAGAATGAAATTAAACACATAAAGAGAGCTAGCTACTCAAATTGTTTAAATAGAACCAAAGACATTATAAAATAGGTCCCCCAGTTGAATGGTGATAAAGTAATGTCCACTTCTGGTTCTCCTCCATTTGCTGATCTTCACATTCCATGATGTGGTGCCCCCTAAAATGTTTGTGCACAGACCTGCCTGAAGGAACCATGAACCATGAAGAAAGTTCTGTATCAGAGATTTGTTGAGAGTGTCTGTTCATCTATTCCTGAGCTGAAATTAAAACACATCTGGGTTAAACAGCAAGACAGTTATCTAAAACAGAAAAGCAAATCCACCTATAAGTGGCTGAAAAGAAACAAAATTTATGTTCTGGAGTGGCCATGTTGAAGTCTTGAACCCAATGGAGATGTTGTGGCAGAGCCTTAATTAAGCAGTTCACGCTTAAAAATATTAAAGATCATGAAACACTATTAATTTTAATGTGGGCAATTATTTTCTCACATGGGCGACTCGTATGTTGGAGAAATTTGCTCCTCACATAAATTTAAAGACTAATTTTTAAAAAGTTTGCTAAGGTTCTCTTTGTCTAACATCACATTTTGTTTAAACATCTAAAATCATTCACCGTGACAAACCTGCAGTAAGAAAATAAGGATGGAGGCAAATACTTTTTCACGGTGATGTGCATCTTTTCCAGAAGTTCCACTTGGGATATTGAGAGACTGTGTCTAAATATGTGTTCTGTAAGTTAATTATCTTTAATACAGCTACAGTTGATTTAAAAGTTTTTCTACTATTATGGACGCTCACAGTTATTATTATTACTGTGGTTATTGGTATTCTGCTTACCGTCATTCGGTGGCTTGTGAGGTTTCTTTGTTTTGGACCAACTTCAGATATTCTGTAGCTGTTCTGTGTGTGCGGTGTACCCTAAGCTGAGTGGTGTAACCCTCTCCAGTGGGAGTAGTAGGACCAATAACAGGATGTCCAAGTGGACCTGAAGGCAGGAAGGGCTGTTTGATCTCCATTTACTAGCTTGAAACACACACACACACACACACACACACACACTCACAGGCACGCACGCATGAGGCACATACACACAAATTGGAAACTCAAATACTCTCATATGCTTGCAAAACAAAGCTCTCTCTTCAAAATGGACATATAAAAGGAGGAGGGACACCATTAACCTTTGCCTGAAGTGCAATAGCTTTAAAAGACCTGTTATTTTGAGCTGCTGGAGAAGAGCACCCTCAGGAAGCCTGTCTGAAACTTTAGACATGCTTCAGTGTTGATATTTTACATGAGCCTGATCCATCCATCTCTCAGACAGAGGTCAGTCATTCAGGACTGTTTATGTTGCATTCTCCACTAGTGCTGCTCATTTTATACTTATTTTATATAGGATAAAATACATGATTTTTTCTATACATATTTTATTAGTGATGACAAAACAATTTGTCTGCAAAGAAATGGTTCCCAAGTAACATATCAATCAAAGCTTATTCCATGAACAGCATTATGTCTTGAACTGCTGTGAGGTCATATGTGCACTGAATATTGCTGTGTATGTTTTTTTAATTCCAGTCAAAACAGCCAGTTACAGTACAAGTTTTTCATTTTTAGGGAAAAGCAGGAAAAAAACAGAAAATCTTTAACAGATAATCTTTAACAGAAAATTACATAGAAGCCTTAACAACTAAATATAATGTTTTCTCCTTTTTGTCTGTTTCCTTTTCTCAGTAACAGCTTCTTTCCAGCTATACATCCTTTCAGACCCATAGTGTTGAGTTTTAGCATGGTCATTTTCAGTTAATTTGTTTCAGATCTGAAACAAGAGTGGAGCTTGACTTCCTTCTGTCTCTAAAAGATGAAAGCTTTGTTCTGTTCATCTGATGGTGACAGCTTTGGTGGTCTAGCAGGTCTTGCACCCTTGAGTCCCTTTGTCTCTTGATCTTTTTAGTAATTTTTTGAACTCTAGTTTTGCAAACATGAATAACTGAATCACTCAATAGCTATTTTGACCAGAAAAAGAATGAACAAAAGGGTGGTCTCTGACATTTGCACAGTACCGTGTATGTTTTATAATGTGTTATTATTCAGAGAATGTAACAAGTCAAGAGACAAAAAATAAAGAAGATGAAAATACTTCAAAAAGAATATTAACATTTGCACTGTCACTATTGTTTTGTCAAACAAAGCACCACCTAGCACTGAAAGCTGGGGTTTATAAATCCTTATCTAACCTAATCTGATCTAATCACTAACTGCTAAGGCCCACAAATGTTCTCATTTGCATGGTTTCCGTGTTCAACACTGCCAGTTTTCTTTTTTCTCTGATCTAACTACTCGTTACTATTATCTGGGCAGTCATTTCTCCAATATCTGCTGCAGGCACAGACATTTCAGGTCCTTCCAATAACATGCACCACTGATGTACTCACCTACTGACCTCTTACGCCTTAGCCATTTGCCTCAAATCATTCTTGTGGAGTGATATGTGTGTGTATGTGCACCACTGTGTTGTGGTGACATAGATGGCTAATATGGATACAAAAAGCTATTGGTCAGTTGTTGAAAAGGTCTGAAAACAAAGCCCTCCCTGTTGTATATAAAGCAACCAGAGCGAGACCCAGCTCCAGACCACTCTATTCTGCACATCCCCTTCAGAACCACACATTGGAAATACTGCTCTATTGACCACTTCTGGCTACTGTTCTCCTTACACAGATCTGACTGGAACTTATTACATCATTCATACTTTCAGGTGACCTGGCTTGTGGTCTTGGAGAACAATGACTAACATGGTAACAGAGATTGTTGCTTTTCTGCTTACCATATCTGGCTGGGTTCTAATCTCCTCCACACTGCCCACTGACTACTGGAAAGTGTCCTCCGTAGATGGAACTGTCATAACTACAGCAACCTTTTGGTCCAATCTTTGGAAAACATGTGTTACAGATTCCACTGGAGTCTCCAACTGCAAGGACTTTCCCTCCATGCTGGCTTTGGATGGTTTGTCATTGCTCTTGTGCATGTGCTGCCAAAAAGTATATGCATGCTTTGTAGTACCCTTGTAGTAACACTGGCAGGTTGCTTGTGAGTATATGTTTTTAAGTAGCCTTGTATGTATGCGAGCTGAATGTATCTTGTTTTTTTTATTATTAGCCCAGGTTTTAGTCTTTTACTTCCTCTCAAAAAGAGCAGGTGACCGTGATCGGTAACGAGAAAAGAGCAGCAAGGTATCAGATAGCTCTAATGTGGTTTTGGCTTAAGCCATGTACTGCCATGGCACAAATTATCCAGGTCCTTACTTAGCTAACTGCATCATTTCAACAGGGCCTGTGCCATGGTTGTGTAAATTGTGCCAAATGCACTTAAAGTACCACTAACACTAGATTTGAGAACATCAGAGAAATTGCAACAGGTCATGTGAAAGGATGAAGAGAAAGTCATACGTCTTAGTAGCTATGTTATATCTTGACAACTGAAAAACTACTGACAGTACCAAGAACTGCATTCTAGTGTGCTCTGACCTGCACTCTAAGATTATTTCACAGCTCTGCAATATAATCTGTATATTATTGTTTTCCTTTAAGTAAATTCCTGCCACTTTTTCTGTCTGATCCTGTAGCTTATATTCAGGTGTGCCGTGGACTCATGATCTCAGCTGTGTGTCTGGGCTTCTTTGGAGCCATTTTGGCCCTGGTGGGAATGAAATGCACAAAGATAGGGGGCTCCGAGACCACCAAGGCGAGGATAACCTGCCTGTCTGGACTGCATTTTATCCTCAGTGGTAAATGTCTGATGTTTTTACTACTTTATTGTTTGTTATGTTTCTAAAGAATCTGCCAAGAATACAATGTTATGGGAAATAAGGAAATTTGTGTTTGAATTCCACGTAGTATTAAGGAAACACAAGGGGAGATATGCTTTTTTAAGATGCATGTTGTAGCTTGATATATTGCACTGGAAAGCATAACAAGTTCAGGCTTCTCTCATTCCCCTTTCCTTTCTCTTTCTCTCTTTGCAGGTATCTGTTCATTGACGACATGTTCATTATATGCACACAGGATCACCTCTGAGTTTTTTGACCCTCTATTTGTGGCACAAAAGTAAGTGATTCTGCCACGGCACCAAAGCAAATGTACTCTGAATAACCTAATGATCATCAACCAGTTATCATCCAGCTGCTAATTCATGTTATCCATGTCCAGGTTTGAGCTGGGGGCTGCTCTCTTTATTGGCTGGGCAGGATCTGTGCTCTGCATCCTGGGAGGCTTTATTTTCTGCTTCTCCATGAGTGAAGGCTTCAGCATGAGGTAGAGTGTGGTACCTCTTGTGCAGCATTGTTGCAGATTTCAGTGGGATCACAGCTTACGGTGCTTTAAAGTTGGGGTCATAGATATTGGCAGAATTGAGCTGAAGCTAGAGTTTTTGAAACTCAACAGCCAAACAAATACATTCCCTCCCCTTCAGTGTTTACTCTAAAGGCTTACAACCAGAACACACACATGCATGCTGCATAAGCTAGAACACCTAACTGCTGATGTTATCTTCTTAATTGTTTTCAACTGTCAAAAATGATGCCTTGAGGCAATATCGACAAAGTTAGTTAGCTTTTTCTTTAATAATACTGATGGAATATTTTGATAAAATGTGTATGGCTTACAAAACCGAAAGCAAACTGTACTTTCATCTTTGTAGGTGAGCAAGCAAGACAGAATTTTAACCCTTAGAGCCCTAGCACTATTAGGTGTTTTTTTCCCCCTGTTTTTGTCAGTTCCTCTTTCAGTTGTTGTAACTCTAGTAATCATATGAGACAGCCACATGTTATATGTTGTTTTATTTTCAGAAGACATGTGGCTTCATAAATATGTAATCACCTGAGTTGTAAATGCCCACAGAAGTTTGATATTTTTATGAAACTGGACATGTTTTGATCAAAAATTTACCAAGCGCCTGTTATTTTTTACTTATTTTTGACTGTATCTATTCAAAACATCACTGCACCTCTTAGATGTCAATGAGAAAGTTTTAGGATAAAGTGTCTATGAGCTGAAAATATAAGAATTTTGATGATTGTTCATTACATGGCTTATTACTGTGAAATAGTATGTGATTAGCATCAGGCGGACTTATTTTTCTTGATATTCTCACCTAAAGGAGACATGCAGATTGCTATTCGATTTTTGTTCAGGGCCAATATGGCTAATATTCCAGCTAATACAACACTGTTTTAGTACACTGGGTGTTTATTATCAGCTGCTTATAATAACAATGACTCCTATAATAAAGAATCCTTCCAGAAATGATCAGATAAACACTAGTTTATCTAGAAAATACACAATAAAGAGTCTGTACCATAATATAAACCTGAAATTTGGATCAGTCCAGCGGGGTTGGACAGACGCCAGAAGACTCGGAAGGTGCGCGCGCAGCTTTTCTGTTCTAGATGCGCGTCACGTGACCAACGAGCCGTTGCTAGGAAACACGTGCACAAACACAGCAGGAACACTGCCGAGCCGCGCGCAGCTTCAGAGCGGCTAATCGGCGGAGGCGCTGAGAGGCGTTTTCGGTCGATGATACTGACTCATCTAATCAGATATTAGATCTGAAACACCGTGTAAACATTTCAGAAGCCCTATAATAAACAATAGTAGTGGAAATAAAGCGAGATGCGCGCGCACGCGGTGATCAGAGCGCGAGGAGCGGAGCGAAAGGGCGGTTTTTTTAGCGGAGGGCAGTGAAAGACGCGCCTGGAGCTGCAGAGCGGCTAATTGGCGGAGGCGCTGAGAGGCGTTTTCGGTCGATAATACTGACTCAACTAATCAGATATTAGATCTGAAACACCGTGTAAACATTTCAGAAGCCCTATAATAAATAATAGTAGTGTAAATAAAGCGAAATGCAGAGTTTATCAGCACAGAAACTGAGATTTACTAGAAGAATAAAACAGAAACTGTGAAGGAGCGTCTATTTGACTGTTTTTCCACAGTGGATTACTCACAGACGCTTCGTCGGACCGCGATGGCGCCGCTGTTTTTAGAAGCGGGAGACTCCGCAGTTTCTGAGGATATGCGTAGTGAACTGCTGCGGTAAAGCATTCCTGAGTTATAAAGCTGAGAAGACAAGGTGTGATTTATGATGCAAAATCCGTCATTAGGGCCGATAAGGTTAAAAAGCCTTTTTATTGTATTTAAATATTTTTTTATTGTGACAATTGACAATCAAGACAGCTGCAGTTGTGCTGTCCCTTTAACGTGGAAACAGCGCTGTTCTGATAATTGTGATAATTGTGATTGTGATAATGTCTCCTCAGGGCTGCAGCCATGGGCAGGCCTGCTTAAGACTGGTCCTACCCAGATTGATCACAGGTCTACACAAAGAAAGTATAAATAAAGAAAGAATATTTTTAAGATGACATTTGATTTGTGTGAGTGCTGTCACTGTGTTATAGTCAATCAAATCATTTTGCTCTAAGCCATGGTCCGCCTTATATTCTCCTTCCTCTAATCACTGCTTAGCAATTGTTGCTATTGGCTATTGGTTTAAGCCTTCAGTTCATTATCATCGTCCATCATGTTCAAAACTAGCATTACAGCACTAAGCGATTGAATAAAATTAAACAGAGTAACTTGAATTTATGGAACAGAGATAGGAGTTTATGGAAGAAGGGATGTTAAAGGCATAAATGAAAGTAAAAGGTACATAACAATTGTGGATGGGTTAAAAAGGGACAATGCGGAGAAATTGATAGTTGGTGTAATACTCATTAGTTAGTTTAGTCACTGTGTGATGTAGGTCACTTTTCAGCAAACTGGATCTCACTAAAATTTTGATCCTAGTTACAACTCTAGTTTTCAAGCAGCGGTTCTCACCCCTCCCCTCTAACGCCTAATTGCTCACTAGCAGCTCAACACAGACTCACACCATTTCATAGTCAAAGAACCAACAGTGTCCTTGTTAACCTGACTGAGCTGACAGAATGGCCACTAGAGGGCGTGCAGAAAGAGGTTAAAAGGGCCTTTATGACTTGAATTCAGAATGTTAAAACACTAATAATTTTTGCAGGGCTGTGACCCTTTGGGCCCTTACTTTTGACACCCCTGCTTTAAAATAAAATGGAAAAATAAGGTAAGAGGAGACAACACTGTGGTTCTCAGCCTGTGTCTCCTTTAGAGATTGTGAGACCTCCACCTTCACACAGCTTTCTCTGTAGATGAAGAGGACATGACAACACTGTGCCAAAAACCAGATGACTATGTACTAACAGAACACAAATTAATGTAAATTGGCCATACACAATTATTTACAAATTGTAAGTGACATAGCAAGAACATATTCTTAAGTCTAATTATCTCTGAGAAGCTTAAAAAAACTCTCTGTTTCTTAAAGGGAATACTCCTACAATGGAGCCACTTCATTCTTATCAACTCGAAACAAAAAGAGTCCTGATGGTCCTCATAAAGATGCAGCTGATCATAGCAGCTCTGCCAGACAGTTTGGGAGGAACGCCTATGTGTGAAATACTCCCACAGGAAATCTCACAATAAAATCATTCTACCGGTAAGAGACATATGCCTATTGTATGTGCATAATGGATGTACAACTGCTGTTCTTAGGGCATGTTAAACTTGGGCAATAATCTAATAATCTAATATTCTCATTCAGCATTAAATACCTCAGATTATTTTCCTTTATTTTATGTCACCTGTCACAAATGTGCATTAATAGCCAAGTATGTATCATTTTTATCTTTGTTTGATGGTCAATTTCTGAAAACTGGTCAATGTCAAGCATTGTCATAGCAGGAATAACTTTCCAGACACATGATTTAGAAGGAATTAACAGAGAACATCTTTCATGGGTGTGCCCCTTGCTGAACTGAGGCCTGACAACCACCTGAATTGATGACAGACATTTAAGATGGTGGTTCCTGCTGTGCTCCTCTGTTTGTGGGAACATGTTGTCTAGATGTGGAAATTGGATCGGAAGTCACTTCCTCAGGACCTGATGTCTGTCTCCACCTTCTGATCAATGGAAACCCTAGACCTTGACCTCTGTTCCTCAAACATTTCTGGAGCTCCTCTGTACTAGCAACAGTGGTCCAACTTCAAGTTCCAGCCAGGTGTTTCCGTAAAACATGTCTTAGGTGTCTCAGTGATATGTGACGTCTTGTGGAATTTACTAACAAAATCTAATAAAGCACTTCTATTTCTTTATATATAGGCCAGCCTGAACTAGGAGTAGCAACTGACTGAACACTGGACAGTCTAAATAGGATGGTTATGTTTTGAAAGGACATCAGGGAATGCCATTAGCAACAGCCATGCATAATCAAGCTCACATACCTTTAAGAAATCTGCCTTGTGGTTGTTCAGCATATGAGTTTTGTCATTATTTCTTGCTCACACAGTAATTACCTGTTTTGTTGTATTTTGCATTTGCTTGACTTGGAATAAGCTATCATTCCTCTTAAGAGTGTGCGGAAATATTAATCAAAACCACACACAAACTGATAAAGGGAGGATGGCAAAAAACAATAGTCATCTAAAAGTTCCTTTTCCTTGTACAGTCACTCTTTTATTGATAACAAGTATGCCCTTCTTCATTATGTTTCGTCTTATGAATTAGGTGAATGTGTGCATCTACAGTGCTTCATAAAATGTATTCTACAAAGGCTGGCATTAATCTTTCAGGGATTGTCCTCCAATGTGCAAAAATAACCACCAGGGGGCTGCATACATTACCATTGTAAAGGCTAAAACTATACACCCCTGTAATGCAGTTGCTGGAGATTTCAAAAAGGTGAAAATTTACAGAAGAAGCATGATGCCTGAATGCATAATATGCATATGATCTAACTGTAAGAGCTAAAACCCCAAGACATAAAGATCAATTTGACATTTTTAACAATATGGTTCATGTACAGTTTATGCAATCCTGCTTATGATGGAGTATGATACTTATAAGATCTAAAAATGTAAATGATATCATCAGAAAGTATAAAGAGTTTTCACCAAGTTTTCTGTGTGCTGACTTTGACATCATTTTTGACCTATTCGAATGCATCATAGACAAATAATGTAAACCAAATAAAATCTTCTAAATGTGGTCTGCATGCCTTTAAGTCTTGTTTCTTGTTTTCTTGTTCCTCTTGACTCTTTATTTTGGCATTTCAAAAAATTCAGGACTGTGGCCCAGGGTTGGTTCTGGGTTCTGTGCCATTTCTGCAGGATTGTGGAAGACCCCTTAATCTTGCGCCCTTGAAGGCTATATAGGTCATGAATCATGACAGAGACTTTCTCTTCTTTGATCTTCCTCTATTAGACAAAGGATGTCCTTCTCAGACTGGAGCAGGTTTAGGCTTGACAAGGAGTTAATTTGAAAACATCAAACACTGGACACTACTATATTAATACACATAGACCCCCGCACACCAAACTCCTAACCTTGTGCTAATTAAATCTGACAAACACACACACACACACACACACACACACACACACACACACACACACATACACACACACACATACACACACACACATTTTTATGAAATTATTACTTTACTGTAATAATGTTTCAAAGCCTGAGGCAAAATTTGCAGTAAATGAAAGCCCCTCTCTGGTGTTTGAAATTCCTTTTAGGCTTGACCTATTCAGTGACCTGTGCTTCATCTGATCCACATGTTTACTTTGAAACTATGCAATTTATAGCCAAACCATGACAACGGTTATAAAGTATAAAGTGCTTAAGTGAAGACCAGAGACTTTGGTCTTATTTTCTGTGCCGTTACCTAGCTAGCTAACAATAATACTAAGGCTAAGCTATGATTTCACCCTGTGTACTGTGCAGGACAAGGTGGTGTCTCACAAGATTGACTTCAGCCCTGGTGGGCCACAGCACTGCAGATTTTAGCATTCTACCTCAATTAACTCTTTTTGCCAGAGATAAAGTTTGCCAGCATCATTAGCAGCTTTATGAATTGTATAAGTCTGCTGTACTTAGGAAGTTGTTGTAGTGTATGACCCAAGCAATGAGTTTGAGCTGTTACCTACAGGACAATATTTTAGGATGCCCATAACTAAGAAAAAAACATTTACAAGACATGCTGTATTATCATTGCCATTAGCCTCCTGAATCACACTTAATTATTTTAATCGTGCGAGGACTGATGTTTATGTCTGTATGTTGTTTGTTGAGAATGGTTGTAACTGTTTTATGTTGTACTATGACAGAGGAAGAACAAAAACATATTTCCACTATTGTTTGACAAAAATAATATTTTATTCTGTTCTACACTGTTAGAAGAAAAGGTACTGTATAGGTAAATGTTTGTTCATCATGGTTCAAACAATGTAAATGTAGATTCGAAGGTGCAACAATGGTCTTATGGTCGAATTATACACCCTAAATAAATTTTAAAGATACACTACATACACTTTCTCGGAAGAAAAGTGCATATTTGTACCTTTTCACAACATTCACAAAAGTCTAGAGTCAAGACAGGGTGTGTAAAGTCAGCATGACGTGAGGGGTACCACCCCAGTGACAGCCTATTTAATTCTATTGAAGGCATTCTAACATTTGTGATAATATTTTAGTGAAGCAGAAATATGAGCTACATGCCTAGGTAAGCATTCTCAGTGCTATGCATTTCTTATCAGTGAGGCCCTGGGAATGTGTACTGAGACAGGCTCACACTGAGAATAAGGAGGACACCTTATCTTTAAGCCAGTTGTGCTTTATACTGGTTTGCAAGATGACCTGACAAGGACTGAGGCAGCATTTTGACCACGTGAGGTGCAGACCAATTACATGCTAAAAGAGTAGTGTCAAAGTGTCAAAACTAGGCAAGTGCATGGAGGGTAGGGAATGTAGACAAACAGAAAAGACAGGAAAGAAAGGAATAAAGGGAGAACAGTAGTGATAGAGGCTAAAAACAAGGAGCAGCGTGAGACTCTGAATCTACCTCACATTGGAGGAGAGAGCTGAAGATGAACATCCGTGCGCTGCAGATTTGGGGGTTTCTTCAGACTGTATTGGGCTGGACCTTCATCGCCTGCTCTTTAGCCATGGAGGGCTGGAAAGTGGCTGCTACCGGTGGCCAGGGCGGCAGTGCTGTCTTCACCGTGGCCTGGTATTGGTCCAGTTTGTGGAGGGCCTGCTCCACTGATTCTAACGCTGTCTCCAACTGCTACGACTTCCCTGTGCTCTGGTCTGTGGAGTGTAAGTGCAAACTGAGGGTCTGATAATACTTACACAATGTATTACTGCTATGCTAATGTACCTGAAGAAGGAACGGAGCACCAAATATTTTGGGTCCCCATTCAAGCCATATAAAACAGAAATATGAAGTAATGATATCTTAACATGTGCTACTTAAATATGCAGATACAAGAACTGAAATAAATGTTGAATATGCATATAAAGCTTTGAATTCTAAGCTGAAATTTATAAATAAACAAAAAGATAAAAGGTACAGGCACATGTATCCAGTCGGGAATTTACGCAATGTTACTGTCATTTAATGTGAAAGAATTGTATACATATTCATATTACATATATTTACATCCACTTCTGTCGGTTATTGGGGCATATATGGCCATATATCAAGTTTTTTGTACTGGACATATTTTAGCACTTTGGTACACCTACTGTGTACTTTACAAAAAAATCGTTTGCGAAGTACAAATTCTTCTGTGTGCAGATTACGTCCAGGTTGTGAGGGCTCTGCTGATGAGCGGAATAGCCATTGGTGTGCTGGGGTTCATTCTAAGCATGGTGGGAATGGAATGCACTTACATTGGAGGCAAGGAGAAAGAGAAGAACAGAGCCATCTTCATTGGAAGCCTCTGTCATAACACTAGTGGTACTAATGTAATTAATTATTGCATCATTGTACTTGTAGACTGTGATCATGAGTTCCTCAGAGGTCAAATTTTTGTTGCTTTTCTCTTTTGTAAGGTTTGTTGGCTGCGGCAGGCTATGCAGTCTACGCTTGGCATGTCTCCACAGAATATTTCAACCCTAATTTCCAATTGAAGTAAGTACAGTTCTTCTAAGAATAAATGTTGGCTATTCATTGTTGCCTGTGACAAATAAAACTGCTGAAATGTCCCTATCAAATTTCCAATAAGATTAAGATGGTAACCTTAAGAGTGTAATATTACGGTGGCTCTTCAATCTCTTAAAGCTACACTATGTAAGATTTTTTTGCTAAATGAAAAAAGAAATAGCATTACTATATCATGAACGTAAAACATGCACTGCTGCAAGTCACTCTGTAAAGTCTAAAATACTTATTTAAAAGTCAGAGGCGTTGGATCGGATTTTGTGGGAGTTTTCAGAGCTTGTCATACATCTTTACATATTAATGTTACGCACACAGGCTCAAAAATAAGGTCTGGCTTGATGTTTAGGTCTCAAATGCAAAATCAACATTATATTGATGAATATATGATGACAACATCCTTTACCAAGTTCTCTTTAAATATTCTTTCAACGTGGTCACAGGGGTTTCTGAATCACAACTGATGTTACAAAATGTTCCTCTGAGCATCTCCATATTCCCAAAACTTAAATAATAGCTTTAATTTTATTGAAAATTTAACATTTTGTCATCAGTGTTTTCTCAGTAATACTTTACTTAAACCCTGCTACATAACAGTAGCATATGATATGTAATGTTACCAACGGTTATGTTATCAACATCAGTAACTGTCATGACAGATGCCACAATGTCAGATGTCATGACAGCTTATGTCACGCAAATTTTTGTGTCCTGTAGTTAGCCCTCATGCCATAAAACATTATGACATATGTTATGATAGCCATTGGTAATGATAACATGACACTGTTATATCACACAATGTAAACTGTCATGACAACTCATTACCCTGTATGACACCTGCCATGACATGTTTATGGTATGGTTATGTCAATGTTATGTAGCAAGATTCAAGTAAAGTGTTACTGTTTTCTGTTACTTTTATTGTCAGGTATGACTTGGGAACACCGTTGTTCCTTGGATGGGTTGGATGTGTATTTCAGATCACTGGTGGGCTGTTCTACCTGGTTTCAGTTTATAAGCTCTGGTCTCTGGAGGACAGTAGGTGAGTTCACATCTGGAGATACTACACTACATTCTCTTAGCATCTTATTAGTTAAAAGCATCAAACTGCTTCCCCAGACAGTCACAGCACAACGCATTTAAATATTTTCCTTGGTCCAACTTGAGATTGTGGTGAGCTGAATGAAGTGTGCTGTAACAGGAATAAAACAAGACTATGCAAGTCTGTGGCCCTCCAGTACATGCGGCATAGGTGAAAGACCTTTACTCCACTTATAAGTCTTGTGTGGTTTAAGTGCTTTTAATGCTCAATCAAACCTGTTTCTACAGTACCCGCGATCTGATGGATGCTGAAGAAAGCAAAACCTTGCGTTCGACTCCGACAAATCTCTCCGTCATCTCTGAACTTTCCAGCAAATCCACAGCATCTACTGTGTCTGACCTCCCCTTACAGTCACCTTCCACTGTGTCCAAAATCTCACACAAGACTCAGCATCCTTCCAGCACCTGATGTTCCTCTCAACATAGTAAGAGATTAGAGGGCTCTATATTTGTATTTTTCTTACTCTAGATGTTCAATCAGGGTTTATAGGTCCTCCAGGTCCAGCAGTTAAGACAGACAGAGGATGATGCCTGGACAAAATCTGTTCATTAGGAACTTCTCCGAAACACTCTTTGCTTGAACTGTACTGGGATTATGGCCTTATATTCCTGTTACCCATCTATCCTTCACTGGCTGCTGACAACAAGCCCTTCTGGTGGGCCATATAGGGAGATAAACATTATAGTAAGGTTACAATAGTTCACAAGTAGTCATATCTCTTAAGGTTTAGCATCTGCTATTTAGACGGGGAGGTGCCCTGAGACTGGTTAACAATCACATCTCACAACAAAACCCTGAGAATATTACAGTTTATATTGACAAAATTCTGCTAAGCAAACTAAACTGAACTAACTCGGCGTATCATGTATCACCTATTTCACTTGCATTTGTTTTTGTTTTAAAAGGAAATATTTGATTAAAAAGTTTTTTTTTTTAAATTTTTCATATACAAGTAACAAATTACATATGGATGGCAAAGTATTGCTCAGATGGAATCTGAATTGTCTGCCCAATAAACTAATTTCCCATACTGCAGATTGTAATGACTCTGAATCACTGAGATTCTCACAGTAATCTATACTGGCAGAGGTGGTGCACACTAGTGCAACAGCTCAGATGTCTACCAAGACCTTAACGCGTTTTCAGTGGTTGTGGTTCACTATGTTTTGGCACCCTTGGTCAAATGGCATGCTTTGTTGATTTTCTAAGTGAAAATAAGTACACTTTACACCAATGCACATTTTAATGCACAATTACTGTTTATTTGCTGAACCAACATATTGGTTAAAAAGATAAAACATAAAATGTGTCCTTTGCAAAAGTTGGCACATTTTATTTTTTATGTTTTGTGTTTAAGCTCACCAAATAACTTTAACTTACTGTTAACTTATTATTAACACAATATATAATTTGATTGAGGGTGTTCAAACTTTTTCATATTCTTGCAGACTGTAAGTATTAAGAACGACTGTGTGGTCATAGAAAGAAATCAATGATGAACGGTAATAAAACTATATTCAAGTAAGCATATTGCTACTCAATGAAAGAAGGACTTAAATAGAAGTAAGTACTGTAGAGGTATTGTAGCATAAAAATAAAAGTACCAGGTCAAAAAACTACTTGAATACTGAGTCCTTTATAGAGGTGGGTAGAGCAGTGTAAACCCATGCTCAGTCAAAAGTATTGTTACTGTGAAATAATGAATCAAGTAAAGGTATTCCAAGAAAAAAAAAGTAGAAGTACAAAAGGAGCAGGTCAAAAACTAAAGAGCTGCAGTGGAACGTCTGAGTACATTCAGCATCTGTAAGCGTGGGAGCTTTATGTACTCTTGGTCTAAAATAAAATGAAGAACGTATAAAATCAGCAAAGTGACTCTCTGATCTTAATGCATTATAGATGCTGTCACCTGTGTAATATAGTACAATTAAACAGAAAAAATACTAATGACTAAAATATAACTGAGAAAAGTAGATTACTTTCTTTGCAAATTTACTGTGGAAGCAAAAGTGTTATATTTTAAAAAGTAGGCTGGAAAGTACAAATCCATCAATACTTTACTTCAGGTACATGTAACTGAATGGAACAATGGAACTAAATGGAACTAGCAGTGGCATAACTAGGCTCTTATTGGCCCTAGTGCAAAAAACAGTTAATGCCGACCATATGAAAATTACTTTGAATTAATAAAAAGATGAAAATGTAATTTGCATGTTTATTGAGTATTATTATGTCGCAAATGAGTTGATGCTCTCAAGGCAACATTGGAAAAAATACACAAACGCAAATACAGTATGGTACAGTTAAAAAAATGTGTTGTTTTCAGTAAAGCTTTGAATATGTAGATGTGAAGAACACAGTTAGAGAACTTTGAAAATGGTTAACACATATCAGATCACACTGGATTGTTTACTGGATGTCAGCATTTTTGGAACAAATGAACTCTTACTGCCCAAATTAATAGCTTTACAGATAATTTTCTCAGATGCCTGTGACTTTTGCAGAGTAATAAAACAGTGTGTACAATAAGAACTGATTTCAGACTTTTAAAATGTATACATGTATCACGTGATACAAAATAGCCTGTCTGACTACAACACCTATCCATACAGTACAAAAGTACCACAATCTGTTTCAGTTAAATCAGTTATAAAATAGCAACGCTTGCAAGCAGAAACTGGGCTGTTTTCATAAGTGAATGTTGAACTTGCCATCTTTAATGAAATTGCTGATGAAATGAAATCAGCTAGAGTCTGAAATTCAATAACAGAGATCATCGGTTAGAGGTCGATTAAGTAATAATTATAATTCCTGATAGAGGGAAAGTTAAGTAGTGCTGCTGGCCTGGACTGTCAGGCTACCAAACTCCCAGTATTACAAATGGGAAGTCCGAGCTTGGGTGGCCCAATAAAAAAAATCTGGGTGACTGGCTGCCCTCAACCATGGGCCCTAGTGTGACTGCCTTAGTAGTCACAGCGAGCTAGCTACTTCCTATTTCTGATCCTATTGAACTGCAGTGGGATTTCTTAGAACTATTATCATAGAATCAAGTTTAATAGGCACTAATCTTTTCTTTCTGGAATCCTTTTGGTCAAAAAAAAAAAATTCTAATGCTACAAAAAAAAAAGAGATGCAATCATCAGCTGAATCAACAGAACAGAATTAATTTAAACACTCAAAGAATAAAAAATGAAATATGAACAGCTGAGAAGATGTTTAAAAAAGAAGTACAAATCCACAGAAATGTTACTTTATCTCATGTAATTATTAGTTAAATTAATTAAATTAATTAAATGTTAATTACCCTTGGTAATAAATGATCAAAGATTAGCTTTTTCTGACATTATTATACAGTACTGTGCATAAGTAAAAGACCACGATTTTTTTATTTAATGTCCAGTCAAAATGGCCATTAAGTACAAGTTATTAATTTTCAGGGTATATTTCTGAAGAGATTAGATATAAGATAACCCACTTGCATAAAGAAAACAAAAGTCGTAAGAAAATAAATGAGGAGCAGAAACAGGAGTTCCCAAAACAGATTAAAAGCTATAGAAACTCCTAACAACCGTGCAAGACCTGGTAGACCACAAGACTTCCACCACAGATAAACAGGACTCAAAGCTTTCATCTTTGAAAGAAAGGAGTAAATCAAGCTCTAATCTTGCTTCAGAAAAATACATAATTGCTTCTGTCTATGCTTCCTGTTTAGGATTACCTGGATCATGAAAAGCATAAAATGTAACCAACTTCTAAGACTGAAAAATATCCCTGCAGATTTCTGTGAAAAACTGAACACAAGTCTCCCAAAAAGAATGGAAGCTGTCATAAAGGCAAAGGGAGGACACACCAAATACTGAAAAATGTGATGTTTTATTTGGTTGTTGAGGCTTCTGCATCATTTCTTGTTAAACATACAGTACTGTGCAAAAGTCTTAAACACCTAAGCGCATTTATTTAAAACCATTTATCTTGGCAATATGTGTTTTTGCTGGCAAATAAAATATAAATAAATACAATAAAAGGAACAACCATCTCAAAAAAGTATGTATTGTGTAAGCTAAGTTGAAGAACAAAGCTTGGCTCTAGAAAACTAGAAATAATACTGAGCTTCCTCCAGGAGAGCTTTGGAAATGGTTAAGTGAAAACTGCTTTTTTCCTGATGCTGAAAAATGTATCATTTGTACTTAATGGCCATTTTGGCTGTACATTAAAGAAATAAAGGGTGGTCTCTGACTTTTGCACAATACTATATCCAAACCAAAAGCAAGATCATTTACATTTTATTAGAGTTTAAACTTTGCAGAAGGCAGCTGAACCTTATTTGATGCTGATATTTCTGACAGTGCTCCTTATTGCTTAGACATAAATAGCATCATATCTGCAGCTCTCCACACAAAGGAGGATACTACTCTGCTGACCTAAATAACATTGAGGCCCTGAGGGCATACCTGCTCAGAAACATGTCAGTTAAGGTTCTTCATTTTGAAAAGATGCACTTTCTTGCAGATAAAGATCTTCAACATTTCTATTGGTTTCTTTTACAGAGCTGAGGCTCCGGGAAAGAGGGACAAGAAGAATCTTGAGTCCGTCCTTGGTCCCTCCTCCAGCCCTTGTGGCAACTGCATCATCCTGTCTATGCAGTACATGAGTGCAGTTGTACGTAGAGAAACTACCCGCATTGGAATGCCAAACCCAGTTATATTTACAAACACTTCTAGGGATGTCAAGTTGCTTACTATGCAAAACTACAGAAGCCTGCCTCGTTTCAGGCCTGAGAATGAGGATAAATGTAAAAGATTCAGAAAGAGAAACTGTCTTCCAGAGTCAGATATCTCTCTGTTTTTAATCTGTATATTAAATTCAGCCTTGATGGAAGGTTGTCTGTCAAATAAGCTGGGTGTTCTCTTATTCTATACTCTGTACATTCTGTTTCTTTAACTGTAAAGTCTCTTTAACTGTGTTTCTTTAACTGTAAAGTCAACAACACGAATCACATGGTGAATCAAATAGAGATTGGCTGCTTTGTGTGTTGGATCCTAAACTGTTCTACACAACCCACTGAGTACTAGAATTTCTCTGAGGTGGGAGATGTCATCCTAACCACAGTCAACTACTTCAATCTGTAGATGGACTGTGTATCTGACACCACTGGCGTGTCTGATTGCAAGTATTACCCCACTATGATGGCACTACCAGGTAAAGACTAGTGTAGTGCCTGATTTCCAACAATACATGTTATTAGCATTTCTGTTGAAGACAGTTTTTAAGACAGTAAAAAAAAAATATTATTACTTTTGTTCGTAATAATATATATTGTACTTTTAAATATTATTTCTTATGCTTTTTACTCCTTACACACTCATTCAAACTCATTTTTTCCTTCAGAATTCCACTGAAATCTATTGGTAAATTCAAGCGCTGCAAAAGTCTCGTTTGTCTTTCCTGTTGATGTGTAGGGGAAATTACTGAGACTAAGGAAATCGCCTTTTTTGTGTTTCTTTCCTATTGGGTAAACTAAATTTACTTTTTATAATTTTATATTCAGTCCCTATTCTACTTATTTAGTACTCATTTTGCCACTTTTTGCTCTTTTATCTGCAGTTCCTCCTTTTCTAATAAAATCTTTCATTTGCTTCTGAGTTTTGACATATTTTAAGGGGGGATAGGTCTTAGTAAAAGGCATTTACCTTAAATATCTCATTGGTCAACTGATTTGGAGTGAGATGTTCTCTTTAAGTTTACATTATTGTTTTATTAAGTTTACATTATTGTTAAACACTAAGGTTAGGAGAAGCTGTAACACGTTTTGGTTTGCCACTAACAGTTCCCTGCCAGAAAAACAGCATAGACCAGCCTAGTTGGTCACCAGCAAAATCAGCATTTGTTGTGTTTTGGATGCTGGTATGCTGATAAACCAGTATGACTCACAATAACAGTACAACCAGAGCCTTGTTATGCCTGAATATGGATTGATATGTGTGACCCCATATGTTGGAGTACACAAAGCAGTAGCAGCTGACAAAGGCTGGGCTGTCGGTTCAGGGTTTGATACAGTCATAAAAGCATCTTGACACTGGCATCAAGAAATGAGAAAGACTGATACCTTTTCATTGTCCTGGATATACTAGATGACACTTAATGCTGTGATGATATGATATTCTCAATTTCTATTATTAACACACTTCAATAATGACATAGCAATCAAACGCTGAACATATAGCATTTACATGTTCATTATGAGGCTGGAAAATCAGTGTAAGGCAAAGACAAAACATTAAAATCAATTACATAATGCACAGCACTGAATGACCAAACAATACTTCAATAATAGAAGAAAACTAGCTGAACAGATGAAGAACACAATCTAGAACGTAAACAGAGATTATAATAAAGAGAAGAACACACCTGCATGAGCTCAGAGGGCTTATCACAAGAAATTGTGCCCCTATCAAATGTCTAATAAGATTAAGATAAAGATTATCCATGCAGTAGTATGGTCTTTTAACTTATGGTCTTTCAGCTTCCTGTTTTACTGAAAAACGTAACGTTTTACGTTGTACCATAGAACAACATAGTCTAGTTTAGTCTTAATTTAATGTTAGGTTGGATTGGGGAACACTGTTGCTTCTTTTGGTGTGCTTGATGCATATTACAGAAAACTGGAGGGCTGTGTGACCTGGTTTTGAACTTTGGTCTCTAAAGGTCAAAATTAAGTTCACATCTGGAAATATTAAAAAAGGAGCATCACGGTAAAATGGGCAACACTGCATTTAGTGCTTTGTGTACCATCCTGTTCTCAAGATAATAGTACTGAGTATGTTTCTATGAAGCTGGATGAGGACGGGGAACAGACAGAAACAGATCTGAGACCTTTTATCCAGACAAAATCTCTCCAGATGCTTTATAGTCCTTGGTCCTCACTTGTGGAATCTCCTATTCAGTTTACCCTAAAAAAAAATTCTATGGAATGTAAGTCAGGGGACTGGTTTGGCTACTGCAAAAGCTTGATTCTGTGAATAAAATTTTGTATATACTTGTTGGTATGCTTTGGATTACCGTCCTGATAGAGGACCCAATCTGTTTTTATTCTGTTTTAATAGTAAAATGTTCATATTACAAACACTGAATGCTGAGGTATTACTCAGAAGGAATGTCTATTGTCTGTTTATAATTTTTGAATCAACATTAAATTATTGCAAACTAATGATATAGCTCTAAATCATTATGAAAATATTTATGTATTTACTTCTTATTAATCACTGTCTTAAAATCACTGATATAATTTATACTGGCAGAAGCTGTGCAATACTGGTTTGAAGGGGAATTCCACAAATTTTCAAAGAGATTCTGCATAATTCAATCACTGAGATGTACACAAAGTAATTCAGAGTGGTTTGTTGTGAAATGTGTCATAGTAGAGAAACTTATTGAATTGGATTTCTTTACAAAGGCGGTGACAGGAACCAGGGGTCATTATGTCTGTGGCACAAATATAGCCATTTTATTTACGAACCAAAATGACCAGTGAATAAACATAGGTCTTTGGAGGCTTATATGCAATGCTGATGATGGTGAAATAGTGGTAAATTCAAAGAAATACGTTTTCCTTATTTTGCCTTATAACTTCCTGCATGTACCTCTCTGCCATGAATAAATCTTCTCTCAAATTTTTGGTTAAACAATGCCTCAGGCAACAGGCAACATATTTATAACTGTTCCATGTACTAATTGATGTAGCTTTTAGAGACATTAAAATCTTCAGACATTTGGTTCCTATCAATACTGCTGTGAACAACTTTGATACCAAGTTTCTCTAGAATGGAGCATTTTACTCTAAACCAGTCAGAATGACTCTATTTACATCTTAAGCACTTCATTATGCAGACATTTTTAAACATTTATGGATTTTCTTTTAAGAACTAGCCACACATGCTTGCAGTGCTGAGAAACTGACTGTACAGTGACCTTCATGTGATCTTGCATGCACTGGGAATTGCTATGTGGTCGTACAATCAAACCTGTAATTAAACTTCAACCACAATTTAACTTACGTTATTATTATTATTAAAAATCCCCATATAAAATACATATTTATATACTGCATATTCATGTACATTAATCTTTGCAGAGAACAGCTCAATAGTTTTGCCACCTCTCTTACTGCTAGTATTACTGACAGTTCTGTTTTGATATAAACAGCATCATATCAACATCGCTCCAGACATAGGGAGATCCCACCCTGCTAATCTAAACAACAATTATTCCCTGAGGGCACACCGTCTTAGCAGTGAAATGGCTTGGCCAAAAAATATTCCCCTTAGTTGATCAGCCAAGACATGTCTGCTGTCCAAAGCTTGCTTTTGTAGTCGTGCACTGTGAAGCTAATATAACTATAACTAAATAATATAACGAGTAACTAAACATTTAAAATGTGACTTTTGGTCTAATGAAAGAAAAGATGTCTTAGCATGTGTCATTTGCTACTTGCAGTCAAATGGTGCTGTGTGCTACAACTACAATGGAACCAGTAACCAGAGGGATATTTTGAATCCTGCTGTGCACTCTCATGAAGATAATCATCTTGAGTACTTGTTTTTTTTAAAGCTGAGGGCCTGGGAAATGAGGAGAGGGGGAACCTTAGTCCCACCTTGGTCCCTCCTCTAGCCCTTATGGCAGCCTGTGTAATAGGGGTAATGTCCTTTCGTCGCAGTAAACGAGTCACAGAGTGAAATGGTAATTAGAGAAACTGCCCCCATTAGAAGGTCCATTTCAGTTATGGTCACATGAACCCTCAGGCATGAGAAGCTGCTTACTGGGCAAAACCACACAAGACAATGAGGAGAAGGCAAAGGGGTTTAGAAGGAGCTTTTGTCTTCCAGATTCAAATTGAATAACTCTGTGTTTTTATCTTCATACTGACTTCAGCTTTGGTGGCATTTTTAAGAGGGTTATTTTCTTTTTCTGTACGCTCCCTACAAAGCCTGGAACATGAATCGCACAGGAATTATGTATATGGAGATTGGTTGCTTTGTTTGTTGTCTTTGTGGCTGGATCCTGAACTGTTCTACTCTGGCCACTGAGTACTGGAATTTCTCTGAGATAGGAGATGCCGTCCTCACCACAGTCAACTACTTTTCCAATCTGTGGATGGACTGTGTCTCTGACACCACTGGCGTGTCCGATTGCAAGTACTATCCCTCCATGATGGCTCTGCCAGGTAAAGACTAGTGTAAAGGTTATTAGCAAAAATTCTTCAAAAACAGCCTTTAAGACACAAGGTGGAATGTTGCCTTGGTAATAAAGCACACAATGAGTTGTGAAAATATGTAGTATAGCTTAGTGACTTCAAAGAATTTGCATTTTGCAGAATTATTAATTAAGCACTGCATGTTTTTCTAAGTTTTCTTGCATGTGTGCCGTGCCCTGGCCATTGTCTCTGTAATCCTGGGCTTTTGGGGGGCTGTGCTCGCCTTGATTGGAATGAAGTGCACTAAGATTGGAGGCTCTGAACTTGCCAATGCCAGAGTAACATTTGCAGCTGCCCTCACGTACATGGCATCAGGTAGGATGCCCCATTAATTCATTTTGATCTTTGCTTACTTCACTCTGAAATAGATATTCTGATGCAATGCTTTTTGTGCCACAGGGTTCAGTGGTATGATACTGTACTCCTGGTGGGGGCAACGAACACGAGCACAATATGTGGATCCAAACTACAAGCCGCAGAAGTAAGTGATTTCCCCAGTTTTCATCTGGTCTTGTATCATTGCTAAGCTGGTTGTTGATCTATTCAATCTCTCCTGAGCTGGGCCTACATGCGATGGTTCAGCCAAAAATAAAATTTAGTCAATCAGCCAAGCATGTTTGGTGTCTGAAATTTGCTTCTTCAGTTAGTGCTCCATATATTAAATAGAAGAGATTACATAACAACTCAATATGGTTTGAGGCAAGTGTGCAAGGCATGCGGTTTACATGATGCTAAGCTGGTGGCAATAAGCTTCCATTACTTGTTAGCTACATTAACCTTGTAGCTCCCGTGAAAAATAAAATAGCAAACTTCAGACACCAAACACGTCTTGGCTGATCAACTACATTTGGAATAAGGGAAAATCTGTGTAAATTTGAGGAGTTATGAAATTTAAGTTTTTGCAAATTGCATTTAAGTTAGCACTGAATTTAAGGTGGCAGTGTATTTACGGTATCAGTACATTTAAGGTGGCAGTGAATTTAAGGTGGAACTGCATTTAAGGTAGCACTGAATTGAAGGTGGAACTGAATTTAAGGTAGCACTGAACTTAAGGTGGCACTGCACTTAAGGTGGCACTGAATTTTAAGGTGACAGTGAATTTAACATTTCAGTGAATTTAAGGTGGCAGTGAATTTAGGTTGGCACTGCATTTAAGGTGGCACTAAATTTAAAGTGGCACTGAATTTAAGATGGAATTGGATTCAAGGCGGCAGTGAATTTAAGGTATCAGTAAATTTAAGGTGGCAGTGAATTTAAGATGGAACTGCATTTAAGGTAGCACTGAATTTAAGGTAGAATTGCATTTAAGGTAGCCCTGAATTTAAGGTGGGAGTGAATTTGAGGTGGCACTGCATTTAAGGTAGCACTGAATTTGTGGTGGAACTGCATTTAAGGTGGCACTAAATTCAAGGTGGCAGTGAATTTAAGGTATCAGTGAATTTAAGGTGGAACTGCATTTAAGGTAGCACTAAATTTAAAGTGGCACTGCGTTTAAGGTGGCACTGAGTTAAAGGTGGAATTGCATTTAATGAAGCACTGAATTTAAGTGATCTATAAATTTAAGGTGGAACTGCATTTAAGGTGGCACTGAATTTAAGGTGGAATTGCACTTAAGGTAGCACTTTTGTTCATAGCTTGCTTTGAAAAGCTCTACAAACTTATCTGCACTCAGGCTAATTCAGTACAGGCTTAATAGTACTACTTACCCCTTGATAAGTTGCTTTAGGCCATCAAAATATCCTAATTATTCTTTTTTACTGCTAATATTTCTGATAAGGATATTCGTCAGCTTCTTGTTCAAATTTTCCCTTTCCACCTTAAATGGTCAGCAGTTACATTCTGGGGCCTGAGGCGCTACAATAACTTAGTAGGAATGAGAAAATTCGAAAAGCAGTTGGCAATAAAGAAACTAACTTCAGCTTCAGCTGCTCTTTCACAGAACCAACAGGTCAGTATTGTTTTGTCCTGTTTACTAGAGGTTGTGATAGCTAATCACAGCTGCTTCCCCAGTGTAAGGTGGAACAGGAAAGTTCAAACAAGAAGCTGGCTTCAAGAAGCTAATTTCAGCCTCAAAGTTTTAACACTGGTAGTATTTTTGATAAGGAGTTTTAGCCTATCAAAATGTCCTACCTAGAGGTTTAATTTATGGGCATACCTATAAATATGCGCTCCGGTAGGACATTTTGACAAGCCTTACCATCCGGTAGGTCAGTGATGTGCAGCTGCTGTGCAGTACATTTACATTTACGTTTACATTTACAGCATTTAGCAGACGCTTTTATCCAGAGCGACTTACAAAAAGTGCTTTGTCTATCCAGAGAAAGTATCTTTGCTAGCTACCAATAGGTTAGAGAGAAAGCCAGTCCTAAGCTCAGATACTGCTAGAATCAGAAAGTCATTATAGACACCTAGAGAAAAAGGAACAGAGTTAAACACAGAGCAGTGCAATACAATACAATACATAAGTGCAGTACAATACTTCACAATCAAAACTTAATTCAGTGCTCATTTAAGTGCTGGATAAAAAGATGTGTCTTCAGTCTGCGTTTGAAGACAGCGAGATACTCTGCTGTACGGACAGGCAGTGGAAGTTCATTCCACCCCAGAGCCGTGCTGCCGCATTCTGGATGAGTTGCAGAGGCTTGATGGCCTGCATTGGAAGACCAGCCAAGAGCGAGTTGCAGTAGTCAAGCCTTGAGATGACAAGAGACTGCACTAGCACCTGGGTGGCCTCTCGAGTGAGAAAGGGTCGGATCTTCCGGATGTTGCACAGGAGAAATCTGCATGACCGAGTTAGGTTCGCAATGTGAGTCAAGAACGATAACTGGCCATCCAGAACCACACCAAGACTTCTTGCCTCTACAGACGGGACAGTCAGAGAGTTCTCAAATGAGATGGCAAGATCATGATGAGGACCTGTAGTTGCAGGGATGAACAGCAGCTCAGACTTGCTAGGATTGAGCTTCAGGTGGTGAGCGGCCATCCATGAAGAGATGTTAGGCAGACTTGCCGAGATCCGACCGGAACCCTGTGTGTCAGAGGGCGAGAAAGAAAGCATTAGTTGAGTGTCATCAGCATGACAGTGATAAGAGAAGCCATGAGATGATACAACATTGCCAAGAGAGCTAGTGTAAAGAGAAAAGAGAAGAGGACCTAGCACCGAGCCTTGTGGGAAACCAGTGGAGAGCCTGCATGGAGAGGATGTGGACCCTCTCCATGTTACCTGTTAAGAGCGATCCTCCAGATAGGACTTGAACCACTTCCACGCAGAGCCAGTGATTCCAAGGTTGGTGAGAACGTCCAGAAGGATTGTGTGGTTGACCGTGTCAAAAGCTGCTGAGAGGTCAAGAAGAATTAGGACAGATGACAGACTGGCTGATCTTGCTGACTGGAGCTTCTTGGTCACTGCTATAAGAGCAGTGAAGTAATGTGCAAAGTAGCATTAGCTTGCATGTAGCAATATTAGTATTTTGACTCTTTAACGATCTCGTGATTCAGAGGCTCCAGTAATCTTTGGAAGAGAAATGTACACAGGACAAAATGTATCAGGTTTCTTTTGATTTCCTTTCTCGCTGGATTCCAATCTAGAATCTAATGCTGGAGCTAGTAATGGTGCAAATCACTGACTGGTCAAAAAAAAATAAAAATAAAAAAAAAACTAGCCTGCATTAGCCACTAGCCAACTCAGAGCTTGAAGCTCCTCCATTGCTGCTACTTCTGTTTGTAGTTACTGCTAACGCTAGATTCATATGTGAACTCGCAAGCTAAAGAGAACTCTACTATCATGGTTCTGTTGTACATTAGGTAATATACACTCAAGTACTCAACCAGGGTATGAATAGTTCTGGGTTTGGAATGTAAATATACAGCGCTGTACCGTACTGTTTGGTGTTGTAAAAAATCAGAGTTATGAAATAATTTAGGTTTGAGAGAAACATCATTCCTGAAACTATTTAAATTTCTACACTTCTGCTTTCCTGTCATTAAATTTATACATTACTTCATCACCCAGTGTCCTCCTCTTTCTTATATATCTCAGTCTCTGCACTTGTGAATTGCAGTAAATGGTAATATTTTGTTGTTCATTCTTTAGATTTGAAATAGGTGCAGCAGTCTTCATAGGCTGGGGAGGATCATCCCTGATTATAGCTGGAAGTGCTGTTATGTGTTACTTCTCTGGAAAAGAGGGACTCCGTTCCAGGTAAGCCCTGTGTTACTGCACAGTCTTTGAACAGAATATGAAGAGTATTTCACAGGCTAAAAATGTGGCAAATAATAATAAAATAGATGTGCTTGATGACTCCATATATGACAGAAACAATCCATAATGCTATCCTCTCCTCAGTTCTAGTAAGAGACAGCAATCAACAGAAAGTTATATGACAGCTCAATCCAGAGGGAGCTATGTGACAGCCCGAACCAGAAGGACCTATATGATGCCTATTTCCAAGCCCACTACAGTCATCATGGCCCCTGTATCCCAGTTAGGCAGGGAGAGCAAGGGAAACCGAACTCAAAGGACACACAGAGCCCACACTATCAGGACGACTGGAGCCTCCGTACGCCTGAATTTGGATTCATACGTGTGATCCTATGTGTTGGAATATCTACACATTGTCAAAGCCTGATAAAGGTGGTTTATGATAGTCATAAAAGCATCTTGTCAGTATGTTATACGTTATACATGGATATACACAAAAGTGAGAGACCACCCCTCATTTATTAAATTTCAAAACGACCATGAAGATGAAGTTATTAACTTTTCTGGAGATGTTTCTAAGGAGATTAGATATAAAACAATCCACTTGCGTAAACAAGGGAAAAGTCAAAGGAAAATATGTAAAAAAAACCCCAGTTGTTTCCGAAACTGAAGTTCAAAAATTTAAAAAATTTCAGAAGAAAGTGGACTCCTAACAACCTAGCAAGACCTGGTAGACCATCAAAACAGTCACTATCAAATAAACAGTACTTAAAGTTTTCATCTTTGAGAAATAGGAGAAAATTAAGCTGTTACTAGGAAAAGGAAGTAGACAGAAACAAAATCTGCAAATCAAACAGAGAAGGTGGTGAAGTTCTCCGAACAAATGACTGCTCACCCCAGAGCCCAGACCTCAACGTCCCTGAATTTGTTTGGGATCGTTTGGATCATAATAAACAGAAAATGCAACCAACTTGTAAGACTGAAATTTGGAGGTGTGGCACAGATTTCTTTGAAAAGCTGAAAGCAAGTCTCCTGAAAAGAATGGAAGCTTTAAAAAAGCCAAGAATGGCACCTCGAGTCCAAAGAAAACTTCTCTTCCAGTTAATGAAGGTTTAGGTGGGCCTTAACTAATGTAAAAAAGCAGTTAAGAAAATGTGTGCGTGTGTGTGGATTTCAGGGATCCTTTATTCCCAAAGTTCATCAATTAGAAATCAAAACTTTATCCAGCATGTAGGCATAAGACTGCCATAAACAGAACAGTACACCAACCTAACCTTAGTGGGTTTATCACCAGTTACAAATCACTGGTAAATCATGAGAAAAGAAAGCTCAGGTTAATTTGCAAAAAGTATAATGACCCAAAACATACTACTAAAGACACTATGTAATGTTATTCACCTAATGTAGACACCCTCAAATTAAAATGGACATTTTGCCGTTTAACCTCATATACATTCTTACATATATACACACACAGTACAGTCCAAAAGTTTTAGGCACTAGAGAAAAGCAGAATAAAAAAATGACTATCTGGGCAGTAAATGTCTATTTAAATAAAAAATAATCTAAGAATAAATACAAATGACATAAAAAAAACAATAAGCAGTGATTTTACATATATCTTAATGTGTGCATTTAACCATTTTCCAAACCTCTTCTGGTCGAAGCCAAGTTTTATCTGTAGTTATCATTTATTGCCTGGTTTGGCTTATTAATGGTTCATTATGTTAAATCAGTTGAGATGTTGATAAAATGTAAGAAATGCTTTTTACTGTTTATTGTATTTTTGTCTATTTAAATCTATTAGAATGATATATTTTGTTTTACTGGTGACCACTTATTACCAAGATAAGTTCTTTTTAAACAACATTCTTAGATGCCTAAGGCTTTTGGACATGCATATATAAAACTGTCACCATCATGCAAGAACCTTGTATGTCGATTTTTGTCATTTTATACTTTCTGTGTAATTTTTCTATAAAATCTTTCTCTAAAGAAAATTCTGCACATATAAGTGAAGACTAACATTTTCAATTTTTATTAAAAAGGCTTTATTTTATTATATGAATGTTTCTTGATATTTGTTTGTTTAGAAAAAATAGCAAACTATATACTCACAGACATTCATAAAAAAATACATGGATAATTTTTCAAAGTGCAACATCACATGACAAGATCTAAGATATTTTAACACTGAATATATTAAACATATTGACAGATACAAGGAATGGATGATTATTGCTCCAACTATGTCCCTGAATAGACTGTAACTAGGCCAGAGTTCCTATAGTTGATTATTACAGCTAATGCAATATACCTCTGCATAAACTATAGTAAATTATTGTTTATTACATGTTTATTACATTCTAAGTGTTGTTTTTGGTATTTCTTTGTTATTGCTTTTAAATATTTGCTACTGGATTTAAATGTCATCAGAATCATCCCAGTCACTAACTGTCACAATACTGCTCTTCAGGGTGCTGCCTGTGCCTGCATCATTCAGACCTGGAAAAAAGAAACACACATGCATATAAACACAAATGTAAATGTCTTTAAAAATACAAAGTCATTCACTGCTTTTCTCACTTGGCTTACTGTATGACACACACGCACACACTTTCTAAGCCACTTATCCTTCTGAGTCACAGGGAGTGCTGGAGCCTATCCCAGCGGGCATTGGGCGGAATGCAGAATACACGCCAGTCCATCGCAGGGCAGACAAACAGACATATACATTCACTCACACACACACACACACACACACACACACACCTAGGGGCAATTTAGCATGTCTTTGGATTGTTGGAGGAACCTGACGCAGACAAGGGGAGAACATGCAAACTCCACACAGAAAGGACCCGGGTCGCCTGGCCGGAAATCAAACCCAGGCCCTTCTTGCTGTGAGGCGACAGCGCTACCCACTGTGCCACTGTGCTGCCTGTCATTTGCTTTAACCTATTTGAAAATCTGAATTTCCACTTTACTTGCTTTACTTTTTATTTGATCAATTCAAACACTAAATATTAGTTACACATGTTACTAAGAAGACTGATAATTGTGATTGTTTTAAATTATGCATAGACTGGATACATTTTTATACTTAACATGCAGTGTTATTATCAGCCACATTCTTTGGTTTTCCACAATCATTTGATTTGAAACTAAAATGACCAAAATAACTTAGTTTTTTTGCTCTTTACCGCAATAAACGGGACAGTGGTTTAGGGCAAGGCAGTACGTGTTTTTCAACAAACACAGGGTGATTCAAAAAGATTTGTCCGATTTCAAAGCAGCATATTTTTACAACTGTGAGGCGCCTAGGAACCAATCACATACCAGTTAAAAGAAGGGGTCATAGAGTTTCTGACGGTCACCGGAAGATGAGCGTCAGAAACTCAGTCTGCAAGGAGATGGAGACCCCTGAGCAGAAAGCTTTTTGCGTTCTCCACTTCAATAAGAGTGAATCCGTCATAACTGTGCAAGGTGATTTTCGTCGGCAGTGAACCTCCAACAGCTCAGAGCGTTCGCTGTTGGTTCCACAACACTGGATGACCTCCAAAATTGCACTGAAAGAGTCGTGAGTACAGTGACACCCTTGACATGCTCAATCGAGTATGGGATGAATTTGACTATCGTGTTGATGTTGTCCGTACAGCTGGAGGAGGTCATATTGAATTGAAAATTACATAATAAGTTTTATGCTTACTTAAACCATTCACAATTTACTGCATTGTTCTGTAATGATTTACAAGTGAAATAAATTATTATGAAATTGGATAAATCTTTTTGAATCAGCCTGTATATATTCACAAACATTAACATGCATGAAACCCAGGGCTCCAGACTAGCTTTTCCACTGGTTGCACTGGTACTACCAACTTGCTCATTTAGTTGCACTAGCACATAATTTGGTTGCACCTTTTTTTAGTACAACTATTAATCCTTGTATGCTGATGTATAGTAGTCTTCATTTGCATATCCTAGTTTTACATTTATGTAATGATGTTAAGATTGACAGTGACTCGAGACTTTTTAAATTTTTAATCCGAACATTGTTTCTCTGCCACCAGCTGTGGCTGACAAAATTGGTGATCTTTTATTATATAATATTAAAAGAAAACATAAAAATGTTATCAAACAACAGCAAAGCATAACAGCATGTATGCTTTTTCATGTACTCTTATGTTTTTACCTTTTATGTTAACCCCCTGCAATTCAACTCAGAGAGGCCAGCTCTTATAGTTGGGCCTCCTCCTACTTCTTGGCTTAGTTGGTGTCTTCCTGCTTGCACCTGAACTCTCACTGCAGCCTGCCCTCTCACAATCAGTTGTTTCTGAGTCGTGACCTGGCTCTCCCTCTCCACCAGAGCACGTGAGCGGTATAGGTTGGAGCAGGACGATGTGATTTTGATTGGAGTGTGGAGTGGCTCTTCAGAAAATCAGAGCATCAGTGTTCTCTCTCGCTCTGAACCTGCCCCAGTATCGCTCCATCTTGCAAGCCAGACAGTTGTTTTTTTTCCATACTATCTCTGCATGACAAGTGATGTGGCAGTGACTAAATAGCTCGCACATCCCGGCACTGATCGCTACAAAGCACTACAGATATGACACACAATTTTTCTTGACATACATTTTGCTACGCGAATGATAAAGAGGATTGTATTAAAAGCACAAGCATTTATTTACCCTCAGCAGTTTTCTAGCTTGTGACTGGGCTGTAGCTTCAAGCCTATACACTTGTAGCCTGTGTAGCACAGAATGTTTAACTTGTTTTTCATTTAATAATGACCATAAATAACATAATTCATGAAATAAAGAGTGTAGTATCTAGTCAATATGTTCAGGGCATAAAATAAATTAATCATATGGAGTGGAGGACATGGAGTGGAACGGTGTGACTGAGGAGCAAAAAATAGAAAATTTGGTGTGGAGCTGGAGTGGAGTGATTACAGAAATGCTTTAAGCAGAAACGTCAGGTGCTCCACTCCACTCACATGTGCTGCTTACCACCAGCCTCCTCCTTTCTCCTCATTTCGTTTTTTAAAATAATCAGCTACATACTGCTTCCTCTTTGAAACATGGTAACTGGATTGCTAACTAGATTCTTTTGTGCGTTTTATCAGAAAGTGCAGGCTGGGAAAGAGTGCAAGGAAGAAGATAACAACTGAACCACTGAAGAAGAAAAAAGCACTACTTTGAACCACAATGACTATTGCAGTAGCCATGTCGGAGGGGCACCTAAACAGCCTAATGATCATCATCTACGCTCACAAATGCGACCGTGTCAATTTTTTAACATTTTTTTTGGTTTTCTGTTTAGAGCTCTAATTAAACTCAGTGATGCACTCAAAATGTCCCTCAGTACCTCAGCTCTCAGAATCTCACCTCTCAAGCAGGAAATTTAAACTGGCTATAGGCAGCAGCGCTTCTTAGCACTGGTTTTATCAGTCTGATGGGAAACAACTGGCCGTCAAGGTAAATGCTGAACCAGAAAACATTTTACGCTGTCCTGTTTTAAGAAGCTGATCCTGAACTGTGTTTAAAACCAGATCTAGGAAGTAAACTATAATTGTGTTTATGTCTTACTACACCAGTGATGCCCAATCCTGGTCCTGGAGATCTACTACCCTGCAGAGCTTAGCCCCAACAAAAATCTAGCACATTTGATCCAGATAATGAAGGCCTTCAGGAGCATCTGAACATTAGAGCCAGGTGTGTGTTGGATCTGAACTCCAGATCTTGGTCTCCAGGACCAAGATTAAACACCCCTGTGCTACGAGTTCTTTGATTGGTTTTTGCACGTCAGTCAAATAGCCCATTCTTATCAGAGATGATTCTCGAAACCTAGCTGTATTTAGAAACAAGCCCGTATTTCAGCATTTTTACAGTTTGTGGTCGAATTGAGTTCACCTTATTATACATTATTTCCACACACATAAACTACTTTGGGCTTTGTCTTTAGTAGAAAAACTCAATGTACCAGGCTTCTGTCCTTTGCCTGTGGAGGTGCCCCAAACACTAGTGCTGGTGTCGACACTCTTGTCCGTGCTCTTTTTCACGGCAGCAGGATCGGTTTTGAGTGTGGCAGGAGCGTCCTCCAGAGAAGAGATATCCCAGTCATCATCATCATCATCAAACTCTGTGTACTGTAAGACAAAAGAGAGTAGCCGTGTTTTGCCTGACAATATCGCATTTTAAAGGGCCTGCAGAAGTCCTGCATCCCCTCCATAGCCACCAAGTGGATGATTAAATTTTGGATTTCCATTCTCCATATGCCTGTAACAAAACTATGATAGATTACAATTTTTACAGTTTCTGCTCCTCTTCGAGAGAACTGCAGTATTACATTATTAGTCATACTGCTTATTGCCCTTCACAATTCACAAACTGAGATGCTATCCTGGCATAGATGATGTGTATCAGTTATACACAGGAAACAGGGCAGAGGAAAATGGGAGTATTTCCCCAAAATATTCAGCAAAATAATTTTTTAGTAATTTGTAATAATCACATTGAGCTTAAATGTGAATCTTCTCAGAAATTCAAATGGTAAAATGGAGATCAATAGTAAAATGGCACTGTTCAATACAGACATCAATATTTCAAATTTATGGCTTCATAAAGCAAAAAAAGGTTCAGTTATTTGTCGTCTACAGGTAATAGCATAGATTCTAGTTTTTCTTCAGAAACTGCTGGAAAATGCTGTGGCCTGCATATTTCTGTACTGCAGGACAAAACAACAACAAACAAACAGCTTGAAGATCAGATGATGTCATGTTGAAACCCTTTCAGAGGTGATGTCAGCATGCCTTCATTCTTAATTGGGATAAGCAGAGAGATTAGCAGTCTTTAGTAGGTCTTACTTTCAGATCTCGGACCACATCATTTGTGTTGGTGACTTCAGTAGGTTTCCCTTGCACTGTGTTGATGCCCCCTGCTGGTTTTTTCAGGCCTCGCTCTGCGAGCTGTTGCTCCAGATTTTTGGTCAGAACCTTCACATTACCTAAAGACAGAACACTGGCTGATACACCTATATACATATACATATGAGTCGTAAACACTACTGTTCAAACATTTGGAATCATTTGTCTTGTTAACAATTGTTATTCAACAATAACTTAGTTGTTATAAACTACACACTAAAACAAAAAGTGACTTTATTCACAAAAAGCGGCGCATGGCAAAACATGGCAAAAAAAAATGTAATATTAAACTGTAATTTGTAGCTTTTACTCAGTGAGATTCGCCCATCAATATGATGCATTCTGGAAACTCATTAAGATTTATTCACTATAGATTTTACACAGTAGGGCTGTCACCATCGTTAAATTTTAGCTGATGATTAACAGTCATGCAAATAATTGTGATTACCGATTTAATTATTATTATTTTTTTGTTCACTGATTGCAACTATTAAAATACAGGCTTAAAGTGGCCAAACTGGCTGATTAGCTTACAACCCCATTTCCATTGGGACACTGTGCAAAAAGTTAACAATAATAGAATGCAATGATATGTACTGGCGACCTGTCCAAAGTGTATCCTGCCTTCTGCCCAGTGACCACTGGGATGGGCTTTATTTTTAATGCAATGCCACCAGAGGGCCCGAAGATCACGTCGAGCCAGTATTGGTTTTTGGCCTTGTCCCTTGCATAGCGATTTCTCTGGATTCTCTGAATCTTTTAATGATATTATGTATTGTAGATGATGATCCCCAATTTCTATGCTATTTTACATTGAGAAATGTTATTATTAAACGTTATATTCTTGAACTGTTGCACTATTTTCCCACTCAGTCTTTCACAGAGTGGTAAACCCCTCATCATCTTTATTTCCGAGACACTCAGCCTCTTAGGGATGCTTTTTTAAAACCCAATCCTGTTATTGACCTGTTGCCAATTAACCACCAGGTGTTTTTTTCAGCATTACAACACTTTACCAGTCCTTTGTTGCCCCTTCCCAACTGTTTCGAAATATGTTGCTGGCAGCAAATTCAAAATTGGCAAAACTACAAACAGCAAAATATATCAGTTTCAACATTTGATATGTTCTCTTTGTACTATTTTCAATTAAATATAGGGTTTAAATGATTTGCACATCATTGCATTTTGTTTTTATTTACATTTTGCACAGTGTCCTAATTTTTTTGAAACAGGGTTGCACTTACTAGCTGTGTTTATTAGCTAGTAGCTAATACTGGCTCTTCTGTCGAATCCATCAACAATGTATACAGTTACACAGAATCATGTGAGTTAAACAAAGCTACAAGTCCTTCATAAGAGTGAAAATATAAGCAAAAAACCCACTTTGCATTTACTGCTTTCATTTATTTATATTTTCGTGCCTCAAACAAAGACTCAAAGTTCACATTTTGTTTATTGCAACTTAATATTATTGTGAAATCTAATGAGTGTAAAAAATATGGCAGTCATTTTAAACAGTTGCTGTAAAGTTAAATAAATAAATTAGAATCATTTTATACCCGCAACAAAATTGGTTTTATATTATTGAAGACAATAGAGTAGCAGCAAGAACATACAATCCATGAAGAAAAACTAGACTGACACTTCATGCTAGTTAAATAAAAATCACTGGTGCCGCACTTAACTGAGACAACACTGAAACAAGATTCTTACTGTGAGAGGTCTTCTGCACATTTCCATTCTGGTCTGTGTGCGTCTGTAGCTGATGTAGTGTAATCTCCTCCATTTCACTGCCCTCAGTCCACTCACTCTCACTCTCCACGGCAGTCACTTCTGTTCTGTTAACGCTGACCACAGGGGCCTGGTGAGCTCCAGAGTGCTGTGCTGATGGCTGAAATGCTGCAGAGCGCAAGGCTAAAGCCTGGGAGGAGCTTGCTGCCTGGAGGGCAATGCGTGGCTGGGCTCTTGGTGGCTGAGTTTTCTTTGTGGTTGTGTTCGCTTGTGGGCCTTTGGGCTGAGAAGTTTTCTGTGCCTGAGGAGATTCTTCCTCAGATTCCTCTTCCTCTGAGGAGGTTTCATCTGAACTGAATGGAGGTGTTCTTTTAAAACAGGAGCAACGATGGATTAAACACTTTACGAGCACTGAAAATACTTATTATTATTTATTATTATCTACAAATCTGATAAATTGCTAAAGCTGAGTGTACACTACATGGCATTTAAAATCCTAACACATTTTAGTAACAGAGAGCTTTGGTCTTTTACAGAATTTTGTCTTTTTTTCGTGGGGCACCTGAAGCTGAAACCTAGTCAGGAACCCTGCCTCTGCTGAAATAGCTTCATGAGACAGCAAGATTTCTTGCTAAGCAAGCTAACTTTGTTAATTCAACCTAACTCTGGATCGTGGGTCACTTTTTGTTGGGCTACATCACCATGGCAACTGATGCTGCACACCAAATGTGCTCAAGGGCAGGTAAAATTTGGGATTTCTGATCATAAACGGCTCTTAGACCAATCAGGACTGAGCTTCTGACCAATCAAGGTGTGACGGAGGTGGACGCTTTTTTTCTTTGTGATGTTTCTGGCGTCACTCACATGACAAATATCTCTTTTTTTAGCAGAGAAAGCAAATCAAACTACATAAATATTAAGAATAAAAAAACAATTATTACTATTACTCATTATTACAGGGACCGTGTTGCTTTATTACTGTTATAAGTGCTTTACTTTCCACATATTTATGCAAATTTCTTCTTCTATCTTTGAGAAATAAGCGCTTAACTCCTTTTTTTTTTTAGTTTTGCGTGATTGGCTGTTTGTCATTAACACCGTGCTTCCTTGTGCATATGCGTGAGGATTAATGGTAGCGTTAATATCCAAACTGGGGTAACAAAAAAAGTTGTTAACTGCCTCCGTGAAACCAGTTAACCACTGTTCCATTTTTTAGGTTTCGCGAAGCTGAAACGTAGTCAGGAATTCCGTCTTGCTTTGTGAGACAAGCCCATTTGTTCTTTTATTCCCATACAAGATGTGTAGCAAAAACACAAACTTGGAATATATTTGGGGTTGAGAAACACAAATATCACAATGTAAGCCAGAGAAATATTTTTCTACAAATTGGCAGCTGACTTGAAATTGTAAAGAAAAGGACTCTGTGTTCAACTGCTGCACACGTGGACTGCATACGTGTCTCTTTGCCTTTTTTCTCCTCTCTCCTAGCTCAATCACTGGCTACCGCCTTAAGCTCTCACTCATTTACATTGCTGACGTTCTCATGCTACAGGACTCGTCAATGTTTTGAGTCGTAAAAATGAAACATGCTTGAAAATTTCGGAGGGCCTTCGGTCACTCCAAGACTCGATTGAAAGGCTAAAGATTGACTTGCTCCCCCCCCACTTCCAGATCAACCGCACCATCAGTCATTGTTCTGAAAAATCAGTTTAGATTGTGACAGAAACTGTAGTTAAAATCAGCCTAAAAATAGTGTAGTGTGGTCCCAGTTTGAACCATAATCTTTTTGTATTTCTATCATCTCTCTGCAGAAACTTAAGGCATGCAAACAATGTAGCACACTGTGAGAGGATGCTTACTTCTGATGTAACACTGGTGTGGAGGTCTTGGGCAGAGTGCTGGTCTTGTTCCGATGAGCAGGCTGGGGTGTGTGCTGTTGTCTGGCAGGAGGGCCTGATATTACTCTGGTGACTGTGGTGGGTAAACTACTAGACCGTGGCCTGGACTCAGCTACTGTCATTAGTAAAAGAAAAAATATGTTCAGTAGGTACGCTAAGCTATGTCATTGGCCAAAAATGGCTGCACAAAATATACTTTGCTAATTGGTATTGTAATATTTGTCTTTACAATACTGATATTGGAGGAATTCAATTAAACTTTGTCACCAATACCTTGTATACCAATACCTCATTTACCTCAACATACTGTACATTTCCAATTAATACACAACTATAAACACCTATACACTTATATATCGCTGCTGTCGGAACAAAACCTTGTATCTCCATTTTTGTCTTTTTTCAGTTTTTGACATAATTTGAAAATGCCTGTTGCCCTTTACAATGCGTGTAAATTTCATGATAAATGGACCAAAAGAAATGGCCCAAAATTACTTGGGGAAAAAAGTCTGGTTCCACTGACTTATATTAAAAGTAATGTATGTTTTTTTTTGTTGTTATTTATTTATTTTTTGCTTTTTTTAAAATTTGACTGTTGAATCTTTTTAATAATTTCTATGTAAACTGTAATTATGTGCACTAAAATTACAAAATGACTTTTAAATACTTAGTCCAAAAAAAAAGTTTCCAAAAAAAAACACTATTTACAGATTCAACTTCAAACCTTCCTATGTTAAGTAATGAGCAGTAATGCCAATTTGTAAAGTGTTACTAATATAATTTAACATCTATCTAATTAATTTAAAATAAAATAAATCATTCAGGTTTTTTTTTATTATTCAGCCAGGCATAATTGTTTGTATATGCAAAAAAACAAAACGTTTTAGTTATTCAAATCTTTTCAAGTTAGTTCCCAGTATTTGTCATGTTTGTAAAAAATAATGTATTTACAATATATTTAGTATATTTGAGTATTTTACGGAGATGCTAAAATAGACAACACTGTAAATATTGCAGTGATCTTAATGCGTCCTTTTATACACATTTTATGTGCGATTATGCACATTTCATGCTTTATGGAGTAAAGTTTCCTGAAGACAGTGGCAGTCACACACAACGATTTACATTGATGTTCTGCACAGGTAGAGGTTTGCATTTACATTTTATCGCTTTCATTGTAATTTCTTTTTTGGCCGGATTTCCCTCCCATACTTAGTGTAGTTGATATTTTAAATCTATTTCAGTCAGAACCACTTTGTCAAAGAAAATATTTTGTTTCCATTTGCAGTAAGTAATAGCTGGAGGTATTGCTCTGTTCTGGGACCTCCTCGCCCTTCCATGTGCATACATGGAAACCCTAGGGCAGGGAGAGCATCAGAAAGACCCGCCCTAGGGCACATTTTATGCAGCAATGGCATCAATGACACCAACATGACAGGAAGTCCGACACAGCACGAAGGAGGAGTTCGGGTGGAGGTGGGTTGCAAAGGGGCTTGCAGAAGAAGCACGAGGATGGGCAAGCTAAAGCAGCTTAAATAAACGCCCTCACAAACTTAGACAATTGGTGATTGTCAGCTGATTGAGATCAGATGATAACAGATTAATTGATTTGACACTGGGGCCTGATCTTGACTTTGCGGACTGCCTGTACTAACGCTATGCTCAATTTGGCAAAAAAAATGTTTGCTTCTATGTCTCATGGCATTTAATAAAGCCTGTTTAGTCAGAATTATAGCTCTCTGACTGAAAAATCACTCTTTTAAGCTATTTCATAAAGAATGCATCAATATCGAGATATATATTGTCAATCTCCAAAAGGATAAAAAATATAGATTTTAACTATATTGCCCAGCCCAATTTCCAACTAAAGCATTAATGTACTCTAACAAATGCAAATACCTTAAGCTAAAATATTAGTATATGTTAGTATATGATGATCACATGTTTTAAATATATTGCAAATCAAAACATAGCAACGCAATTACAATTCACATTCATACAGGGCAGGCCGGACACAAATGTAAACTTAAAAAAGACTGCATCGTATTTTTGCATTATCTCTTATAAACAACCATGATGATGAAAATAATTTAAGCTGACACAGCAAATTAACTTCCTCCCTGACATACAACAGAAATGCAGAGCTCAGACCTTGTACTGATCGTTTGGGCTTGGAGGATGGTTCCGTATTCTTCTCCTTAAGCCTCTGCTCCAGCTTTCTGCTGACCTCTTTCTGCACTTTCCGGTATTCTGGGTCTTCCTCTTGCCTCTGCTGTCGCTCAGAGACCATCTGGGCCATGGCACTCTTATAAGTCGTCTTGGAGAGCTGACTGACTCCCTGGACAAAACAGGAATCCTAAACATTGGGCAAAAGTCGGCACTTTATGTCTACTCCAGAATGAAGATTTTGGATAATCCAGCATGTGAATGCTCACAGAAAAGAAAAATGAAAAAAAGACCTCCTTATTATTGCTGTAGTTTCTGCTTGACAACAGTAGAATCAGACAGAGGACACTTTTGCTTAAGTCCACTGCTGCTCAGATATTTATCCTGAGCAAAAGACTCCAGTAATCTCATGTGCATTTTCACTTGAGTTTTAGTAGAGGTCTCGAAGTCACACAAAAAAGTTTAGGAGAAACATCTGTGACAAACTTGATAACAAAGAACAATTAAGCACAGCAGATAGCAGGTAGAATTTAATAAAGAACTCACAGGTTGAATGCCTAAACTGAGCAACTTGTCATGGAGGCTTTGCTGAACAGCCATTCGCATGTCCTTCTTGAGGCCGGGTTTTTTTAGCAGCTCTTCTGCTTTTTGCTGCCATGACTGAGTGTCAGGAAGGCTTTCTGAGATGCTTGAGGAATCTGGAGACAAAAAAAAGAACTTAATACATGTATCAGACAACACCCAGAGCAAAGAACACACTGTTCTTTCTAACATGCTCTAAAGGTGGGCAATATGGCAAAAATATAACACCTTGCTTGTAATGAAGCTGCAGCGTAAAAAAAGCAATGTCACATTTAAAAAAAGGCTATCAAAAACTATGAGCACAATATTTTTTTGTTTTAATTCAGCAATTGTCAAAATGAAGAATAAACTGGAGACTATAAACTTTTACTAAGCTCTCTATAACTGGTATAAAAGGAATACTGAAGACACCCATGATATACTCAGAACGTACTATGACATAATTTATCACAATAACAACAACATATATTGCCCACCCCTAACATGCTCCACAGCTCTGATGGTATAGAGAGGTGAGGGCTAAAAACTACACTCCTGTTTCTCAGGGATGTAAATCTACCTCTCTCCTCTATGTAGTTTGGAATTACTGCCACATGCTCACTGACTGGACAAGACAGACAGACACAGTGTCCATGCAGAGAGTGTGCAGGCATGCCACAGATGTCTATGAGCATCTGCTTTTTTTTTACCTTTGTCCTCCTCTGACAGCTCCACTATAGGATCCAATTTATAGACTGAACTGGACTGCTCTACTAGGACATCACAAAAGGGGTCAGACAAGAGTGGGGATTAGGGGGTGGACTAAGGGAACCTAAATCTAGAGGTAAATCATCAAGGCTTTTTTATTACTGCGTGATATGCACATATCTGCACACCCCTAGCCAAATGTTCCAGTTAAATCCTAAGTGGACAAACCCTAATCTGAACTCCAGAACGAAGGAGTGGCATTTTTTGCAACTTGTAATGCAATTTCATTTGACTTTCTTCAAAACAATAAAAACATGCACACTGATTAATACTGGATTGTACTGGACATTCGATTACATACTACTAGAATGTTAATATTAACAACAAACTATTTACACACACACACACACACACACACACAAAGGTTATTACAGGTTTGAAATTTTACCAGGCTGGATCCAAATATTCGACTATACGGATATTGTTTGCTGGGTAGATATTCGGTTTTAATTCTGAGATTTGGATATTCCCTAAATGGCTAAAAGTATTCTATCAATAAAGGAGTGCTGCAGAAGTGTGTAACCTTCAGGGTTCTCGGGAGAAACCTAGACAACAGCTTTACGGTTAATTTGCTAAAAACAGTGCCAACCACGGCAAAAAGAAACACAGCCTCTCCAGCGCTAACAGGTAAAAGCCAGAGAACGTGTAGCGAGCAGAATAACCGCTCTGTAATGTCTTCCAGGTTTCTCAAATGCTAGAGGGTGCTCCCGAGTGAGACCAAAATAAATAGGTAAATATGGAGCTTTTGAGAAAAATCATAGTTTATAAATACTTAAATATTTTTAAGATAAAATAATGCATTCATATGCTGAACACAGAACAGCATAAAACATTTTAACACCGCTGTTATATTTTTAAATGCTTTTGGACTTGAGTTATAGGAGTTTAAAACAGCACCTCATGTACACACACACACACTTAGAATGGGATACTCTCAGAGTGTCGGCTAAAGGTCAGTGAACAGTAGCAGGCAAAATATTGAGCACTTCCCACATCTGACAAACTTTCCAGCAGGTCTTTTTCAATTATGTGGGGTTTAAATTTAATTATTTTATTTAAACGTAACTATTTTTGATGCCTAAATTGCCCCTAGGTGTGAATGTGTGTGTGAATGTGTATGTCTGTCTGCCCTGTGATAGACTGGTGACCTGTCCAGGGTGTATCCTGCCTTCCGCCCAGTGACAGCTGGGATAGGCTCCAGCACCCCACCGCAACCCAGAAGGATAAGTGGTTTAGATGATGTGTGTGTGTGTGTATTTTTGACGCTTAAAACTGGACCACAGGTTCTATTCATTTATACTCATTTTATTAATTTATACTCATTAACTTTGGGTGCTCAAACATCTGCATAATATTCTACAACAGTACTTTTTAATCCCACTTCTGGTAACATAACATTGCACGGTTTCAATATTCCTTGACTCAACACACCTGATTCAGCTCATCCATCAGGGATGTGAGGAAAAGCGGGTGCTGAGGGGCTGCAGCACTCCCAGATTAAAAACAAATAAAAAAATTTATATGAGCATAGTAAAGACCTAAATCTGCAGTACCCATGCACTGTTTAAGTACACATGGCATTTTCATTAAGGCAAGCCAAAGGCAGATGTTTTGGTAGCCTGCTGCTAAAACACAAGACCGTCCCAAAGTGACCTAATGTTTTGTTTTTTTTTTCAATTAAATAACACAATAAAGCCCCATGAGTGTTAAATCTCAGTGTACACTACAGACATGACACTTTTAGTTTCCATGACACAAATCAACAATCTGATCGGAGTCACTCAGATCTTTTGCATAAAGTTTGTCCAGAAGGTGAGAGAGCAGAGGGAGCCAGATGTGCTTAATATCAGAACCCCCAACTCAAAACAACTTGCAGCACCCATCATCAACTGATTGTCAAGTTTATGAGCTGCATCAGGTGTACTGGGGGCCCGTGTACATTTTGGCCAGCTGAATTTCGTCATGAAATAAGAAAATGGAAAATGCGAAACTGCCTAGTATCCGATTTTCATTTCCAAGCAGGAAAATGGGAAATAGCTCCTTATCTGATTGCTGATTTGAAGTATAAAATTGAAAATTTTTTAGGAGAAAACATACAACAACTGAGCCCGAATTCTCCTTCTCTCTTTCACTCTACAAAACGAACAAAACGTTTAGTTATTTTGATTGATAAGTGTGGGTGGGGCTAAGGTGCTAGTTGCACCACTGATTAAGTTGCTCAATCATGTGTTTTTTAGTAAAGCCCTCCAGTTTAAAAAAGAAGTCCACAGCTGTTGCTGGATCTGCACTTATTTTGCAGGCAGCACTGACTGGCAACAACAACAGAAGAATTTGTTCATGAAATATATGCAATGGTAGATGTGATCATGTGTATTTATGGATATGCATAAATAAGCTGTATATAAGATGTTTAAAAAGGTGTGATAGAGCATGTGAGACTCTATCATATTAGCCTACTGCTAGAACTCTTTAATTGTTACAACAATGTTATAAGAATAATTATAAAATAAAACAAACAAATAATATAAAACAACAAACAAAGAAGCAAACATTGTTGTTAACATTAATTTTTGTATTGTGGCCTCTAGTGATTACACATGTGGTGCTGTATTTCCATTCAGGAATGAGCCCAGTTTAGAGTTTTAATGCCAACATAGCTCAGCCCTGATATATATATATGTATATATATATATATATATATATATATATATATATATATATATATATATAATAGTTTAATAACTACTGGAGCTGTAATTTTATTTTTTATGGAAATATATGACCTCATATGTGACCTGCTAGGCCTCAGATGAGTTGCCATGGAATAAGCTAAGGGCTAATTTGTTTTGATTAAAAAACAAATAATTACTGTGGAAAATGTATTAAAAAATAAAACAATTTTCTTATAATGATTTGATATTTGTAATTATTTGAGTACACCTCATGAATACTTCAGTATTTTTAATATGCTAGTCTATTTTCTGTGTTAATTTACTCATGAAGAACATTTATTCATGATTTTACTGCATAATGTAATTTTGGTATTTAATACGATGCTAAACTGCCTCTTTCTTTTTCTTTTTTGTATTTTACATCTGCCAAATAATGAATTTCAGCATAAAATTCTGTGGTTATAGCCTATGGTAAGACAGTGGCACTGGACTTAATACAGCTCATCCTGAGTGGCGGATAAATGCGTGCCTCTGTTTTGAGCGAAATTAACTGCTTTTCTAATTATATACCCAGATATATTTAGCTTAAAATCAATGCATCATCCTACCAAAAATGTAGCTGCAGGTGACAAGACTAAAAATCTTTTTTTCTGTTTATTTAGCATTTAGGATAATGATTCCCATTTTAAGTTAGGCTATTTAGGCCTATAATTACATCATCACACCTTGCGTTTCATATGTTAGAGCATATATGTGTTTGTTATCCATTTTCAGATAAGTTGTTGTATCTTTTCTTATAAGCCTAAACGACGAAACAAAAAAAACAACTTCCCGTTTTTTCATTTTTAATTCAGCACGAACATGCTTTTTATTTTCCTTGTTGATGCCAAGAAAAGGAAATCTGATACTAGCCAGCATGCTGGCCATTTTCCAATTTTATACTTCAAATCAGAAATCGGATAAGGAGCTATTTCCCGTGTTCCATTTTCCTACTTGGAAACAAAAATCAGAGGGTGTTTCCCATTTTCCGCTTTCTTATTTAATGACGAAAATCTGATGGTCAAAACGTCCATAGACCATTGGGCTGGGGAGTACTTGAAATTGTAATGCAGTGCTGTGGTTCACAAGAAGCAGGATTAAGAAACAACAAACTAAGCCACAGGTTCCCAACCCTGGTCCTGCAGTACCCCTGTGCTGCATTTTTGTGTTTTCCTGCTTTAACACATCCACGTCAGCTCAAGAAGGGCTTGATAATTAGTTGATAGGTTAAATCTGGTGTGTCGGGAGCAGGGAAATCACAAAAATCTGCAGGGCATGTGGTACTCCAGGTCTACGGTTAGGAACGACAGATTTAGACCATTATTAGTGAACACATTCACATGACTGACCAAACTGTAAGCAAGCTTTCCAAGTTATCATCATTATGTGTTAATGGATATTAATATTTATGGATCTCTAAATATTATACTGGGAGGACAGACAATGTTATTTCACTTTTTGGAGGATTTTGAGGAGGACTATGGTAGACAGAAAAAACAAAAAAGAACATCTAGGTCTTTGTTGGGGTAACATACCACTGACTGCCACTTTGGGTTTAAGCTCCGGAGCTGATGGAACAACCACTACAACAAAGTGAGAGAAAAATGCTCTTTGAAAATTTTAAACACAAAAATGTAGTAATGATTAGATATGTAGATATACAGATGAATAAATACCTTCTTGCTGGAGTACTAGGGTAGGTGGATTTGAGGTGACCTGTTTCATCTGTAAAGCAAACACAATCCTGTTAAAAAACAATCTGAGCAGTAATATATTACATGTTTCATGTCTTCTGTTCAACGTTAATGCATTGGTAGCACCTACTGTAGACAATGCAGTCGATAATACAGGGGTAAAGTAAACAGGAAGTATCCCTCTTGCATTTATGATTAAGTTCTTGAGCTCCATAAAAAAAAAATCTTTCTTAGAGGATGTCATAAAATTGTTTACAGCTTAATTAGGACTACACCAAGGTACTGATTCTTAGTTCTAAATTCCAGCAAAAAAAAACGATTAGGGAGACATGAGGCCGTTTTGCATCATGTAAAATCTCAACTTCAAAATCTGCCAGTTTTTTCAGCCTCTGGTTTTTTTTATCCCTCTTTTAAAGAATGTTTCCAAGGAGTTCTGTGATTTAAGAAATACTGCTAATATTTTCCATCCCAGGGTGATGTGGAAAAATGTGTATATGACGTTGTTACAAGCAAAACTGATTATTGTAATACTCTTATTACTGGGCTTCCCCAAAAAAAACAATACATTCTTTACAACTCGTACAAAATACAGCAACGTGGATCTTAAAGAAAACAAGAAAGACAGCACATATAATTCCTATTTTGAAAGAACTGTACTGGCTACCTGTAACTTTTAGGATAGATTTATAAACTCTTTTTTTTTTCAATATAAACTCTTTTTTTATTACTATTTTTTAAACCTCTCAATGGAGTAGAACCTGTGTACTTCACTGAATGTCCATTTGTTTATGTTCCAACATAAAATCTTAGATCTGCAAATGCAAATAATTGCAGATTGATTATTGGGGTCAAACAATGCATTGTGACACTGTGATACTGCAATGCAAAAATGTGACAATGAGCATCATGGATATGTGATAATATATCGTGTAGAATGGATATTTTATTAATTATGATTATGAATGCAACTGCATTGGTTGAGCAGTAAGTTTTTCTAAATAACCAGCACCAATCAACAGCACCAGAACGTCTATTAGCAAGAACATTATTTTCTTTCATTCAAATTGTTTTTTGCATTACTGTGGGAATATTGAATTGTGAATCCAGTGTCATGAATTGAATTGTGGGCCAAGTGTAAACTGCTAATTGATTATACTCAATCAAACAATTAAGCTAATAGGTCCTACCTTACTTGCGGGTACTTCATGAATGGAGTTTGGCTGGCTGTCTTATATACAGCTTCACACATATACACATTGAGGACAATACAATACGTGCAAGTGAAATGCTCATGCTCATAAGGCAATAAAAATGGCAAAATCTTAACTAGGTGATTCTTAGTCTCTAGTTTATTGTCTTCTCTGTTCAAATAAACCTGTAATAACTTTTCTGCTAATTATTAAGCTATTTAGAGATTGTGTCCACATAAGGGAAACAGCAGGATGTGCATTGTACTGTGACAGAAACTACTGCTTTAACTGCCTTCATTTAATGTGGCAAAAAAGCTAAGTTTTCCATTCTTTTCATAACAAGCCTCCAAATTAATCTATTGAGACCTATTACCCGATTAGATCTTTCTTATGAACAAGCAAGTCTAGTACACTCCCTCTCCCATGACTGTAAAGAGGCGGCTTTGCTAATACAGGAAATCCTGAACAAGTGTCGGACTTCCTCTGCTTCTCTGCAGCACTGACCTGCTTGTCCTTGGAGGCGATGATCTTCTGCTGCTCCTGCAGCACGAGCTCTAGCTCCTGCCTCTGTCTTTGTGCCTTCTCCTGCCCATCAGCCAGTGTGGCCTGGAGCTGAACCGAAAGCAAACAGAGTGCACATGGATGTCAAGGCAATAGTCATTAGAGGAACGGGACCAATCAAAGCTGGGCTGACTGAAATAGCATATGAAAATAACATATAAATACCTGACTCTTCTCACTCTCATATTCTTCTTTCATTTTTTGCATTTTAGCTGCCCACTTCATTTCCTAGTAAAAAGAAAAACCTCAGAACGATGCTAATGACTTCATAAATACATGTGCTTTCACTTGAAGAGGCTGACCTGTTTGTGTAGTTTCTGTTGGAGCTGGATGACCTCCTGCAAGTGCTTGTTCTCAGTGTTTTGTAGTGAACTTGTCTGTGCCTGCATAGTCTGCGTGCTATCCTGCATCTTATTGCTCTGCTGCAACTTCAGTACCTCCTGAAGAACAAATGCAATACAGTACACCTTTATAACATATTTTTGTCTCACCTGTACCACTGTACCACTTTAAACAAGCCATATTCTATTAACACACATTTCACAAACTAGGGAAGCACCTACTTGGGAACTGCAATGATGCAATTTTGTCATGTACATACGTGGCCATACTGGTACATAAACATTTATTAAATGCAGAAATTGGGACCACTTTGGGAATTGGGAATCTATCTGGATTAGCAATACAGAGAAATATAACATTTATTTCTAAGGTGTAAGAAATGCAGTAAACTGAATGAAATGCAGATATTTTAGTGCAGTAGCCCAGCATTGCCTAAATATTCTGCTCTGTTAGGGTACAACATATACATTGTAAAAAAAAATGTATTTTCATTAGCAAATTACTGTAAAATGTAATGGTCAATATCCATTTTTCTTATTAAAAAAAGGTTTAATGCATGTAAAAAAACATATACATATACTACATTTTAACACTGCTGTTGTGAATATACAAAACAGAAAGTAAATTCACAAAAACAAATAATCACATTTATTTTACAGACATTTGCATTTATTTTAACGATCACTACTGTTATCATTAGGATAACATAACTATATGTCGGAATAACTAGTTGAACTAGCAAAAAGCAGTATTGAATACTGCCAAACTTTTTACAGTTTTATACAGATTTTTTTATAGCGTATTTTATCGCAGTTTCAGTTATTTTAATTAAATTTTTTTTAAGCAATTATCCCGCAATACTGATTTGGATATCATTGTGCATCTGTAGATTTTCTCAGTATTTTCAGTCATGAACATGAGAACTCACTTTCTCTAGATTTCTGTTCCTCTGGTGCAGAGAGTCCATTTCTCTCTGACAGGCCTGCTTGACTTCATCTATCTTGCTGTTCATGCGCACTCGCTCGTCCTCCTTCCACATTTCCAACTGTTTCATAAACTCCTCCTGTTTCTGAGTAAGATCTTTCTCCTGAATTGCAGAGTAATAAAAAGAGATTTAAAAATATCAACATGAATAAAAAGATATTAAATAGCCTAATTATTTGAGACGGGTATGAAAGTAAAAACTATGACATGGAACTATGAATAAAATCTACAATAACCATAAACATAAGATTTAACACCATTCTTCTTGCCTATTTGAAAAAACCAAAACTTAATGAAAGGACACACAGTGTCCTCTAGTCTGACCTGTTTGACAGAGTAGTCTTTCTGCTGCGTCTCCATTTGCAGTCTGGCCAGGGTTAGTTGTTCCTGCAGCCTGTTGATCTCTTCTTGTAACTTCACAGTATGAACTTTCTTCTGATTATCAGTCATCAGTTCTGTCAGTGTTGAAAGGATATGAATAAACCTGAACAGAGTCAATACACACATGACATTCAGCTTGAGAAATGGCACTGGGACTCACTGATGTCATACTCCATAGGATGTCTGCGTTGCATGTGACTTTGCAGGAAAGAGGCATTCATGAAGGCTTTTTCACAATGTTGACACTGTAAGATGAGCAAAATTAAACGGGCAAATCAGTGACAAGTGCACACTGCTTAAGGTGCATAAAATATATACATATATACTGTGCAAAAAAGGTGTAGTTACCTAAAAATATATGTTTAAAAGCTAATATTTAAAGAGGTAACTGGGCGGCAAGAAACAATCAGAAAAAACACTAATATTAACTACAATATATTAAACATAACATAATATACAATATAATTATATTAAATACAAATAACATTAATACTTTAAATACTGTTTTCATGTATATCATTGTTCGTTTAACCATTTCCAAACCTCCCCACATGGCAACCCTATATTAATTGTAGTCACCATCTAAAACTTACTTTTGCTAATCAATCCTTCATTACATGAAATCCACAAACAGCACTCCTGATTTAATGTAATGAAGGACTGATTAGCCAAAGTAGGTCTAAGATGGTAACTACATTGAGAAGAAATCTAGAACCAAACCTATGTTCTTCTACCTACAGTTCTCACAAAGGTTTAGGGCGCCCTGGTCTAATTACACGTTCTGTTGTTTTCTAAGTGACAGCAAGTACACATCCTCTACAGAGAACACAGTTCTGCACATTATGCCATATTTAAGTCTAGTAGACGATTCGTAAACTTATTTTCACCTCAACTTCTGCATACAACTGTAGGTCATACCTCTATTACATTTTTGAAAACAAGAAACTCTTGTTACTTCTTCTTTTACTGCACTAGCATTTATTCTAATGTATATAACAGTATTGTTTTCATAAACAAAAACACACTTTCTCTTGAGATAAACAATTTGCTGAGGTGCCACAGACTTTTGCACAGTATTGTATATGGAGGAAGGAACTAGGAATAAGGAAAAAATTAAGGGAATATGAGCAAAACAGAAAAAACAATGACTCCCAGCAGAGAAAACACTGAGAAAAGTCACATCAAGTCAAGCCAGAGAGATGACTGGGTCACAGCACGCTGCCATAAAGCCGTCATTCGCAGACCACACGCACAACAGTGAAGTATGGAGTGAGGAGCCTCTGAGGGCTGTTGCCATGGAAATGTGCAGTGGTGCTATCCTCTTCTTGCCAATCAACCTCAGAAAGCTTCAGTTCACACAGAGACTGACAGGAGAGAAATAAACCAGCCTCTGCACTTCACACACCACATTTAGCAATGACACACACATCTGCTCATTTTTGTAATTCAAATTGAACCAGACTGTCACATGTTCAGCATTTGTGCGCGTGAGTGTGTGTGTGTTTGTGCATGATGCTAGAAAAGCAGAGAAAATGTGCAGTGCTTGCCAAACTGCCTCCACAAGGCACTGCTTGTGTGGCATAATTGCATTGCTGGTCTACCATAAATTCCCGATTCAGCCGTAAAATTCAATTACCCCTTTTGAAGAATCTTTGCAGCTAGGGATCCATTTCTATCTATTCACTTGACAGGTGTAATCAAGCGGTAACGCTATTTAGTCAAACTCTGTATTGCACAAACCACTGCCTGTTTCATATAGCCAGTGTACCAACAGAACCACTGCAATGCTGTAGACAGCAAGGTATAGTAAGCTACTGTTTTTGGACATAGTGTATTGTCCTCTCTGGCTCTTTGTGAAATGATTCAGCAATTACAATGACCAACAACTCTGGAATTAAAGCACTGTACAATTAATTATAGAGCCACATAGAGCAGTGACAGTTTAAAACTGCTGTTAGCTAAAACCTTCAAGCACCCAAGCAACCACAGGCATATGAAACATTAGGTGTTGCCTTGGCAACAGCTGGTCGTGGTTAACAGTGATAGCAATAGGCAGCTCGTCTATTTCAGCAGTAGGCCAAAATGTAGAAAGGTATAAAGGGCAAATACTGCTGCAAGGGAAATGATGATGGCAAGCCTCAGATTTAAGGGTACATTAATCAGGAAGACGGGGAAGGGGGAGGGGTGTCTTTGTTTTGGTTACTGCTCTTGAGGCTTTTTATAAGTGGATTGAGAGAAGTCATTGTCACCAGCTCACACCATCTGCTTTCAGCCCCAAATCCTGAACATTGCCTCAAAAAACAAAGGGACGATTAGCTAAACAAATTCAAACAGCCCAGATTGCACCAGTAATGTAGAATCTGCATATTTTCACACAGTTCATGAAATACTGTTCCATCACACCACAGAAGTGACAAATTCCCTAGCCCTCTCCACCTTCACTAGATGGGAACAATAAGCAGTGAGGCAAAAGCTTCAAATGGGGGAGGGGCAACATCACACCATCAATGAGAATGATAATAAGGCATGCTCACATCTCAGCATGGTTCACACCAACCTTATGGTAATTCGCTATGCCTGCAGTGATCATGGCTTGCTGAGAGGCAATAATCTTCTTCCTCTGCTTCAGCTCTTCCTTTAAGGACTTGGCATCCTGCGTCTGCTTTTGCAGCTGCACTCTGAGCTGCTCCCTCTCCTCTGCTTCAGCCTGGAGACGCTCCTCGGCAGCCTGCAGGCTGACGGTCAGGCAGTCCTGGGAGTGCAGTAGGTATTCCACAGTGAGCTGGGCCAGTCTGAAGAGCTTGAGTAGGGCTGGATCCACTTGGCTCTGGCAGCGGGGGCACCGCTCACCTTCCACATTGCAAAACGTCACTGCAGTGATGTGGTCTTGCAGAGTCTGGAAGTCCAGCTCGCAGGCAACCCGTTCCACGTCAACGGCATTGATCCGACGCCAGTCCACACTCTCGCGACGGGCACGAAACTTGAAGGGTGCAGTGACAGCAGCGGCTCCACAGCTGAGAACCCTGGACATGGCTGAGCCAGTAGGTCTGCTCTGGCTGCCTGAGGACAGCTGGCTCTGGGGGGAGTTCAGCAGGGATGGGATCCCTGCTGAGGAATGAGCCCCCTGGGCCTCTGATGGAAAAGGGTAATAGACGTTGTTGTAAAATGGCTGCAAAGGAACAGAAATGGTTAGCAAAAAGACCAAAAGATCATCCAAATGCAATGAAATGTCAAGGTCAAACACAAGATGTTGCAGCATGGTATAGCTATAGCAGATCAAACAAGCGTTCACGGCAAAAGGCAGAGAAAATCAGCAAGAGACAGAAGCAATCACTACAGATACAGAGAAGCAGAGAAAGCGATGATCAATATGTCAAATTCAGCCATTGACAGGAATCCACCTTACGCTACCGGTTCGTTGTCGGTGTACTCGCCTTACCATCTTGCGTTTTTTCACGAGCCTTCAGAAATAAATAGGAAGGACACTCAACAGCGGTTCCTCCTCCCTGCGTGTGGAAACACCGAATCAGGGCGTCCTGGCAGTCTCCATGGAAACAGTACCGCGTGTCCCACTTTGTTAGCTGTTAGCTAACGCTAGCTGAAAGAAAAAACGAGAATTCACGAAACCTAAAATCACTGCTGTGAACAGAAAAGCAAACAGAAAGAACAGCGAACAGAAATAATTTTCACAAGCATCTAACTAGGCATGCCAAAACTTTAGGTAGTCAAAACTTTATGCCAGGAAGGCTGAAATCTTTACACAGAGCGTCGATATTCAACACTAAGCTCAATATTACACAAACCTAGCTTTAAATTAAGCTATCTAGGCTGGTAAATAATCTAGTGCATGCAACTGTTTGGAGTAACTTTCAGTGATAAGCTAATTTCTACTGACTTCTAATGATTCTATTAGTATATATACGTGCATTAGCTAACGTTATAGGTGTAAAGTTAGTTTTTAGATTGCAAAATCCCTGATTAACGTTAACTAAGTTACACTGCTATAGACCTACTAAATAAAACCTGTGTATCACTCTTTTTCTCACAGTTTGTCATTTCTTTTAAAAGCAAGGATGTCGAAATGCATATATTTTATGTAATTTAGAATTTGTTCTGGACAAACCTGTGTCACTGCATAAACTTCCTCTTTCAACCATTCATTACCCAGCTGGCTAGCTAACTGACTCCTTCTCAAGTTACTTCGCCTTCAAAAACATGTCAAGTTGGGACAAGCTCCCCCGCTGAACAAAAGGCGGACCTAAGCACTTCGAGCAGCAAGGAGTTTGGAAAGGGTTTAAAAGACCCGATAAGCAAGCTGAAAAGTAAAAAGGCTTGGCTTCATGGCTGTATTCATACCACACCAGCGACCGTTACATTTTCCAGGACAAAATCAGCCAGTTATCCAAAAGCTAGCTTAGTTCTAGAAGTAACGGGCAGGCGAACCTAGCCTCAAAAATGTTCGGCTTAGTCCTTGCGAAGAACAAAGACTGGCTTAAGACAGTATTTCGATGCAGAATTAAAATGATTTTGTAACTGGAGAACGTCGAAAGAACAAGAAATGAAAACTTACCTAACTAATTACTAAGTTAACTCACGAAAAAAGCGCCCAATTCCCCAAGTGTAACATGCAGGACGACGTGACGTAGCAGCTCCACACATTCCAAACGCTGCTCATCATTGCAGAGAGAGAGAGAGAGAGAGAGAGAGAGAGAGAGAGAGAGAGGGGGAGAGTGCGCGCGCGCGCGCGAGGGATGGGGGAGGGGAGGGAACCCCAGACTGCACGCTCCCCACTGAAATGTAGGGTTTTTTATATTTTAATTTAATGTAATAAATAAATGAGGTGCTGCATGATGGCTCCAATTTTTTAATGACTGTCGTTTTAATGTGAACGAACTGCAGGATACTTTTAATTGTCAACAGCACTCTAAGCGGTACTAAGCTACCACTAAGCGGTAATGTCCAATATAAACCGTGCGTAAATTCACTGGTCAGAACACCGTTGCCATGGCTGAGTAACTTTATGATCAGCGAGGGCTGTAAGGTGGCTATGTTTTATTAGTCTGTAGCGCCGCCCAGTGGCCATAACAGGAGACCACGCTTATTTGTACCAATTTGCACCAACATGCTATCTGAAAGGCTACCTAAGAGGAAAAAAATACTTTTTACAATGCACATATACTTTAAGTTCTAATTGCAGTTACAGTGGGAAGAGTACTGAAATTACTCTAATAGACTAGAAGTTCTCTAATTTAACAGAGAACCTAAATTAAGAAGTAAAATTACTGCTTTGAGAAATGATTCTAACAGAAATTAACTAAATTAATAATGCTATAATTAAAAATCTCTAGATCTGTTATTTACACTACATGTCACTAAACTGATTTAGACCTAGTCACAAGAGTTCTAAAAAAATAAAATATATGTAAACGAATAATTAAAAGAATAGATAGATAGATAGATAGATAGATAGATAGATAGATAGATAGATAGATAGATAGACAGATAGATAGATAGAGAAATAAGCCATGTAGATAAAAAGGCAGATGAAAAAGTGCATGATTATAATTATTGGTTGTTGTAGATTCTACAAGATGTACAAGATGATCATTGCTGAAGTATACATAGTAAACCACCTGCTGCTTTTAATGGTTTCTTTATTTGATTAAATCATTTAAATAGTTTTCCTTATTAAATTGAGATTAATAATATAAGTACTATTAACACATTTAAAAGTATGAGAATCTCCAGAATCCACGTTTTTTACTACTATTACATACATACGATGTAATAATTAATGTCTTGCTAAGAGCAAATTATGTGTAAAAATCTTTCTTGATGTTAAACAGTGTCTCCACTAACAGTCTGTTCTTCTTGATTGCCCTTGTTTTCCTATTTAACTAATTACTTTGTATTTTAAGTAGGCCTTTTCTTTCGTATGATCGCCAAGTGGAATGCACCTATTGAGTCTGTCCTTAAATGTAAATGTCGATGAATGGCAAGGAAACTAAATATTTGTAAAATGTGTTGTCTTGTCACTTGTAATGCATTCAACACAAGCAGATAATGGTGGAGCTTGACATTTATAGTTCTTTATGAAGTGTAAACTTGACTAGCTGAGAAATTCTGTAAAATATTATCATATTTTATAACCAATTCAAAGTATTTCATTGAATACAGAACATTGCAAATGTCATTATAACAGATGGGTTTCAACCAGGGTTGCACTACATTGCTCATGGCAGACTGGTCTCTTTGGCAGTGTAAAAAAGTCCTCACAGCAGGAATAAAACAGTGTACATATACTGAGTCATATACTGAATATATTAGGCACATTTACTGACTGCAGCCACCTGTTGTGGCACAATTTATCTGCCCCTCCCCACCCTGTCCAACAATGGAAGTGACCATTACAGGACCAATACTGACCAGATATTATTTGGTTGGTGAATCATGTTCCTTATAGCAGTGTTACCGTCATGGTAGTGGCAACAAGGTTATTGTTTTTTCCTTTAACATCTCAATGTCAATGCTGGATTGAGGATGGACCAGCAATCAAAAATATCAACCCACAAAAATGGACCACATAAATGGCTAGAGCACAAACAGTCTATGGAAAAAGATTATATCTAACTGTGCACCTACACAGTGCACCAACAAGAAAATCAGTCTAAGAAGCGGTCAGTAAAAGTAAGCAGTGAGCATGACCTGTTCACTCACCGCTGACATAAAGGTGTATTCCATAACACATGCTGCATACAAATCCCCTATCTCTAAATAAACAAACAAACAAGCCAAAACCCAATAAACATCAGCATTTCTGCAAACATAGCTAATCTTCTGAAGAGTTAGTATTTACACATAATTCAAAGGAGAAAACATTCCAGGTTGTGCTCTGTTGCATTTCACTGACATCTTGACCGTTGCAGGCCGGTGAGAACTTGAGGGGAATTCATTGCACTCTGTGCAATATTTCAGTCAGAGCTTTGAGATCTGAGAACAATGAACAGGTCTGTGATGAGTCTTTGCTGCTTCAGCAATCTGGCTTCCCTGCTGCTCTCAAAGCATTAAACCCTACTGTTCCATTCCCAGTCTAACAGGAACAGGGCAGAAATTGCCATGGGAATTTCTATACTGCCTGCTTATTGGAACCATGTCACCATTACTATGCTCTCTGTCTCCCTTTCTCTCTCTCTTCTCTGCTTCTCTTCCTTGCTTGTTCTCAGTCTTACCTTGTACCATCTTGAAGCCAGTAGCTAACAATAGACCATTGTGTTGGTACATGTTGGTTAAACATGTTTGTTAAACATGTAAATCAATACAGTGCGGAGTGAGCTTTAATCAAAGCTGTCCTCATTCATTTTTGACATCCTTTGCCCTGTACAGCTGTTTGTGGACACACACTTTGAATTTGAAGACAGTATTGTGTTTTTTGTTAGAAATGCACTACAATGAGCTTAAGGATGAGTCATGAACTTGTGTTGTGCATCCCTGAGCTGTAGGATGAGTAGGTGCAGGCCACTTCCACAGGCCAACAATGTAGCCAGTCTTGGGGCCTTGAGAAAAGTGGGCTCCCTGATGAATTGGGATTTTAATGTGAGCTGACAGGAGGACTGCACTCAAACAGGATAGCCTGAGGCAGACAGGAGGTGGCTCCCTTGTTAGACTGTTCCAAGTTCAGCCAAGCTAGCCAGATTGGTGGCATCTTAATGAGACTCCACATTGCAAGAACAGCTTCTGTGGAGCCACTTACTGTACCTGAGTTTACAAGTTGCTCTTTCTTTCATTCATGAAAATAATGACTCAAGTAGAAATAAAAATAGCCTGTGCACTGTAAAAATGAGAAGTCTGCTCAATTTAACATGATGAGGTAACAGATTACATAGGGTTTTTTGTGTCAGCTCCATTTGATGGCACCAGAGTTCACCCAACTCAAACTTATTAGTTTAGTTAAAAGTTCTCCAAACTCCCTGTTCTAGTTCTGCAACTCAATAAGTTAAAAAATTAGATTTTTTTAACCCCTTGAAATCTCAGGCCTATTACATACCAAGGCTTATTATACAGTATTTATACAGTGCTGGGGGGCCCTGGCCTTTTAAGGGGTTACCTCAGTTTGCCCCCCATTTGGGACTTCTTCCGTCACACAATCCCATCAGGCATTATTAAACAGTTTTGCGAAGTTAAAACAACAGAAATTTATCTGCTTAACTTCAGGTGCTCTTAAATAGCGCATTGGACTAAGCATTCACCCCAACAGGAGATTGTAAGTTTAAACCCCAGCACTGCCATAGCCATCCATGAGTTCCCAAGAGGAGAAAATATCTAATGGGACTGTGTGATGGAATAAGTCCCAGCTAGTGGGGGAATTGAGTAAAAGAATATATATATTAATTACCAAACTGAGATACAGAACTGAAAAATTAACAGAATTTTTAAACTAAACTAAGACATTTGAGTTGGGTGAACTCTAGTGTCCTTAAGTTGAGTTAACTGAAAAAAAGCCAAATAATCAGTTATTTTACAATTTTAAGTAGAACTGACCTCAATTTTTAACAGTGCAGTTGAACTTCTCTTTACATCCAGTAACTATCATCATAGGAGCTGAAGTCTGTTAGACATTATTCTTCTCCTTTTGGGATCTTTAAGGTCTTAAATAAAGTGCTACAGCATAAAAAATTTGAGGTGTGAACAACAGCAAAGCAGTCCAGGTGCTGTCACTGACATAACAGAATGAAATAAAAAACAAAAGGAGAATTATAACTCCATGCAAAGGGGTAAAGTGGAAATGTTTGAAATTTGAAAATACTTACAGAAGTACAAATCCCTTAGAATTGTACTTGTAACTTATCACTACTATCCATGTCGATACAGTGCCAGTGGCTGAGTCAAGATCTGCAGGATCATCTGTTCAGAAATAACACTCATGAGCGTGATTATTTTGGAAAGCATCTTTCAGTTTGAACTGTCAGAACAGGATGCAGATCAGAAGTGAAGATATTTCTATCCCATGGATCATGCCAGGTTTCTCCTGGAGACAGAGGTAAAAATGCTCTTCCCTCCGTCATACATTTTTCTCTGTTAATTTAACTCTGCCAAGCTCGTCCATCATTTGACTCATGGACCACCGCAAAACTTCTCAGTGGAATGGCTTTCCACAGGGCGCAGTGGAGAGGAGAGCGGGAACAAATTAGATGGCTATTTCTGTCTCCAGCCTGGGAGGTGAGAGCTCTGGCTTCTTGCAGGTGAAAAATTAATTAGGTGTGTGGGTGGAGGTGCTGTTGGGAGCCGGAGGCAATGCATAAGTCATCAGGATAGACGTCTGCTTGTCATAGCCATAGAAAGTCTCCACGAAAGGGCTCATCAATAGCATTTATAGATCTGCCAAGGGAAAACGACACAGCATGTCAGTCTGACATTCTGGACATGCTGTTCCCCCTACGTTGTCTCCTCCTCACTATCACTGCACAGCCTTAAGGCTGCATTTACCTGAAGAGCATCCAATTTTACACTAACAAACCCTTTTGGAGTGAGCGGTGGTTTGAGGGGGTTTGTTGGTGAGAAGCCTGATTCTGAAAGCCAAATTTCTATGTTTCTGGCACATTTTAAGTAGGGTTGTTAAATGATTCAAATAGTATATCGTGATTAATTGCATTGTTTTGTGTAGATTAATCATATTTCA